GACAGGTCTCTGGGTTGTTTTTAATGAACATGAGACAGGTCTCTGGGTTGTTTTTAATGAACATGAGATGGGTCTGTGTTGTTTTTAATGCACATGAGACGGGTCTGGGTTGTTTTTAATGAACATGAGACGGGTCTCTAGGTTGTTTTTAATGAACATGAGACGGGTCTCTAGGTTGTTTTTAATGAACATGAGACGGGTCTCTGGGTTATTTTTAATGAACATGATACGGGTCTGTGATGTTTTTAATGAACATGAGACAGGTCTCTGGGTTGTTTTTAATGAACATGAGACAGGTTTCTGGGTTGTTTTTAATGAACATGAGACAGGTCTGTGTTGTTTTTAATGAACATGAGACGGGTCGGTGTTGTTTTCAATGAACATGAGACGGGTCTCTGTGTTGTTTTTAATGAACATGAGACAGGTCTGTGTTGTTTTTAATGAACGAGACGGGTCTGTGTTGTTTTTAATGAACATGAGACGGGTCGGTGTTGTTTTCAATGAACATGAGACGGGTCTCTGTGTTGTTTTTAATGAACATGAGGCAGGTCTGTGTTGTTTTTAATGAACATGAGACGGGTCTGTGTTGTTTTTAATGAACATGAGACGTGTCTGTGTTGTTTTTAATGAACATGAGACGCGTCTCTGTGTTGTTTTTAATGAACATGAGGCAGGTCTGTGTTGTTTTTAATGAACATGAGACGGGTCTCTAGGTTGTTTTTAATGAACATGAGACGGGTCTCTGGGTTATTTTTAATGAACATGATACGGGTCTGTGATGTTTTTAATGAACATGAGACAGGTCTCTCGGTTATTTTTAATTTACATGATACAGGTCGGTGTTGTTTTCAATGAACATGAGACGGGTCTCTGTGTTGTTTTTAATGAACATGAGGCAGGTCTGTGTTGTTTTTAATGAACATGAGACGGGTCTCTAGGTTGTTTTTAATGAACATGAGACGGGTCTCTGGGTTATTTTTAATGAACATGATACGGGTCTGTGATGTTTTTAATGAACATGAGACAGGTCTCTGGGTTGTTTTTAATGAACATGAGACAGGTTTCTGGGTTGTTTTTAATGAACATGAGACAGGTCTGTGTTGTTTTTAATGAACGAGACGGGTCTGTGTTGTTTTTAATGAACATGAGACGGGTCGGTGTTGTTTTCAATGAACATGAGACGGGTCTCTGTGTTGTTTTTAATGAACATGAGGCAGGTCTGTGTTGTTTTTAATGAACATGAGACGGGTCTGTGTTGTTTTTAATGAACATGAGACGTGTCTGTGTTGTTTTTAATGAACATGAGACGCGTCTCTGTGTTGTTTTTACTGAACATGAGACAGGTCTGTGTTGTTTTTAATGAACATGAGACGGGTCCCTAGGTTGTTTTTAATGAACATGAGACGGGTCTCTAGGTTGTTTTTAATGAACATGAGACGGGTCTCTAGGTTGTTTTTAATGAACATGAGACAGGTCTCTCGGTTATTTTTAATTTACATGATACAGGTCTGTGTTGTTTTTAATGAACATGAGACAGGTCTCTGGGTTGTTTTTAATGATCATGAGACAGGTCTCTGGGTTGTTTTTAATGAACGAGACAGGTCTGTGTTGTTTTTAATGAACATGAGACGGGTCGGTGTTGTTTTTAATGAACATGAGACGGGTCGGTGTTGTTTTTAATGAACATGAGACGGGTCTCTGGGTTGTTTTTAATGAACATGAGACGGGTCTCTGTGTTGTTTTTAATGAACATGAGACAGGTCGGTGTTGTTTTTAATGAACATGAGACGGGTCTCTGGGTTGTTTTTAATGAGCATGAGACGGGTCTCTGTGTTGTTTTTAATGAACGTGAGACGGGTCTGGGTTGTTTTTAATGAACATGAGACGGGTCTGTGTTGTTTTTAATGAACATGAGACGGGTCTGTGTTGTTTTTAATGAACATGAGACGGGTCTCTGTGTTGTTTTTAATGAACATGAGACAGGTCTGTGTTGTTTTTAATGAACATGAGACTGGTCTCTGGGTTGTTTTTAATGAACATGAGACGGGTCTGTGTTGTTTTTAATGAAAGTGAGACAGGTCTGTGTTGTTTTTAATGAACATGAGACGGGTCTGTGTTGTTTTTAATGAACATGAGACGGGTCTGGGTTGTTTTTAATGAACATGACACGGGTCTGGGTTGTTTTTAAAGAACATGAGACAGGTCTCTGGGTTGTTTTTAATGAACATGAGACAGGTCTGTGTTGTTTTTAATGAAAGTGAGACAGTATAATTTTGGCCCCCATACCGCGCCATAAGACGGGTCTCTGGGTTGTTCTCTATTAGCAGAGGGCTTGATGTTGGAGCGCTACCATGGAGACCAGTGGCTGCAGGCAGAGCTGGGTTAAATAAATGGACTACACTAGGCAGGCTGCTTTTCATAGTAAAATGAAAACGTTATCTTAAGTTTTGATCTTGCTTTATGCTCATTCAGGCTGTTGTTGCCTCTGCTGAATCAGAAATTCTGTGTGAGTTTTCTGAGTGTGAACTTATTGTTTGTTATGCCATTTGAACATTAATAAAAATATTTGGAAAAAAATTAATAAAACCAGCAACACTTACCAAGGAAACCATTTAGCATGCTCCACTCCCGGATAATCTTCAGCCTTCCAGCATCACAGGCCTCAGTCACTGCAGAAACACGTCTTGACGGCATCATCACAATCTTGTGCTGAAATAATAAAACGTATACATAAGACAGCTGTTTCAGGTGTGAATTTACTTGTTTGTTTCTCATATTTCATTTCATTATAGTAGAAAGTTTAGCCCCATATTATACATTTAATTTATACTGTATGCATCTTGCATTTGATTTTCATATTCACTTTACTTATGCAGAAAAATCCCGATCGAATGAAGCGGAGATTGGGTGCAGCTGTGCGTACTCCATGTTTGATAGATCACAAACCCCAGGGGTCTCATTTATCAAACATGGCGTAGAATCCTTACTAAAACCGTACTTAAGCTCAGCAAAAAAAATGTACTTACGCCAAGTAGGTTTGTGATCTATCAAACATGGAGTACGCACAGCTGCACGCAATCTCCGCTTCATAAATCAGAGACTAATGAGAATGATTCTCAGCTGCATTTTAGTCACATCCCGCCCTCACCATGCCCACTTACTGCCATAAATAGTCAATGCAAAGTGCCTTGTGAATCTCATGCATATACATAAGCCGGCTGTTGCAGCGCTCCGCCAATGACATGGCGACCGTAGATCAAGGCAGATCAAGGAAGCGCAATTTCACAGAAGCAGAAGTTGAGGTACCTGTGGGTGAGGTGGAGAAATGAAAGGAAGTGCTTTTGCAAAACAAATAAGAGAAAATCCACGGAGTGGCACAGCGTTGCTGAAGCCGTCAATGCTGAGTTCTTCAGAGAGATCTGTGGCAGATATAAAAAAAATGGTCCAATAGGGATTTGATCCCTAGACTCCTGGGTGAAAGTCACGTGTGCTAACCAGTCAGCCAAACAGAGATCTCCCCTGTACAAGTAGCCAGGGCGCATGATCAATCGGGTCACAGTGACAGGACACACACTGTCACAGACGCATGACGTTCTGTCTCAATCTGTCCCCCTGCTGATATTCTGCATCCAGTATTCTGCGCTTCAGGCTGTGTGTGTGTGCGCGCTCATGTGTGTGTGTGTGTGTGTGTGAGAGAGTGTGTGCGGATGTGTGTGCGTGTGGGGGATCTTGTTCTATATGAAAACGAAGCAGTACAAGTGATAATGCTGCAGGATTTCATAACTGTATCTTCTCAGCAGCAGCACTGCAGGTGCTCTCCATGTCCAACATGTGTGTAAGCCAGGTCCTTAGTCAACTTAAAGTTGCACACATTTTTCCACTAAGTTTTCTTTCATGAATCCCAAAGTTTGCGTGGAAAGTTGCTTACGCAGTTTTCTGACCCCGTTTTGTGCGTAAGCAAGCTTGATGAACGAGGCCCCAGGTCATTAAGCCAATCAGTAAAAAGTTTCCTATATAAGGAACCCAGCAGGTTGCATCGAGTCACTGACTAGTGTCAGAGTCTTTACAGTAATCCTCATACTAAGCATGCATGAAGCGACAGTGGAGAGGAAAACTCCCTTTTAACAGGAAGAAACCTCCAGAGAATCCTGGCTCGGTATAAGCAGCCATCCATGGGTCAGCCATGGGGCAGCAGTAGCTAAGCAGGTAGAGCAGGTTTCCCAGTAATCTGATGGCTGCAGGTTCAATCCTGACCAGAGAATTCTGCTGTTGTGACCTTGGGCAAGACACAACTCACCTTGCCTGCTAGCGGTGGTCGGAGGGACTGCTGGTGCCAGTGTTCGATAGGCCTCGCCTCTGCCAGTGCGCCCCAGGGCAGCTGTGGCTACATCGTAGCTCATCCCCACCAGCGTGTGAATGACTGATTGTGTTGTTAAGCGCCTTGGGGGGTTGTAGGAGGCACTATACACAACATTCTCATCTGAGGCCATGAGAATATCATGTGTAACTTTCACTAATGCGGTTTCAGTGCTGTGATACTCTAAAACCGGACTTCTCCAAATCAGCAGTTTCACAGATAAATTAGACTCAAATGAAATAAAAATTATTTTATTTTTGAATGATCGCATACACGACACAGTTACATGTTTGTAAGTTGAGCTTAAGTAACTTTGTTCCCTTAATAAATAAAACTCCATTTTGTATCCTCACAGGTTGCTTGTTTCCATTAGACTTTGCTGATGTGAACGTATTTACCCGGTAGACTACTGGGCCACTGGACCATTGGACGGAGGGCCAGTTTAATGTTACTGTTGTATTGTTGTACTTGTTACATGATGAAATATGACAACAAATGTTTCAGTTGATTGTTTTGTTTCTAGGCCTTAAGAGGTTAAGTCCAACAAACAAACAAAAGCATGATAAATAAGGGGTACACACTTTTACCCAGCCCTGCGTGTCATAAAGACCACCATCATGATTCGGTGTTGTGTGACTGACAGAGAGACGAGACGCTGAGCGCCGGTCGCAGTGCTTACACCAACTACTGTGGGATTCTGCAGCAGTTTGTCCAGGCTTACATCTCCAAGGAACAGGTGGAGGACCAACGGTTGTCTCGGTCCTGTTTAAGTGTCGGTTCTCTCTAACCATCCGTCTCATGTCTTCTCAGAGCTCCGCTCCATGGAAAGGCGCATTGTGCGGCGAGGCTCAGACTCTGCTTGAACTTTACGCTACACAGAATGATCTCTCTCCTTTTCTGCAAGACCTGGCGTAAGCAGTGCTTTCAGTTTGCCGAAGCAAAGGTACCTCTGTATCTCACAGATCTGCAACAAGACTTCTCACAACCTTTCTAGATTTCTCAGTTTCTTTTTTATGACAAGCAGAAATGTGAAAGTTCTCAGAAAATGTACAAGTTTTTTCTCAAACTACAGAAACATCCTGTGTGTGTGGAAGCTTCTGGTTTCTGCAGGTCAGAAGGTGTGAGACAGCTTCGGGGGGGGGGGGGGGGGGGGGTGACTGACTGGAGTCAAAATGGAAAATCTAACTTTCCAAGTGTGACAAAATGTGAATGAAATGAGAGAAAAATGGGAACAAATCAAGACTGAAGACTCTACAATGGCATTTCTGCCTGAAGACAACATTCTCAACATGGTACTGAAGCTGCAATCACACTCAGGTCAGCTCGGTCTGTCACAGGTGTGGCAGAGTGAGCATCCTGTCACAGTGTTCCGATTGATCATGCGCCCTGGCTACTTGGCCAAGGGGATGTCCCTTCGGCTGACTGGTTAGCGCGCGTGACTCTCACCCGGGAGTCTGGGGATCAAACCCGCCCCGGCCCTCGCTTCTCCACCGTGCCACACTGGTAGGGTAGTTGTGTGGATGTCCGTGCGGAACTGACCCTTTTTTTTCTGACCCGCTTCCCTCCGTTTTATGCTGAGCCCACCATACACACGCACCCAATTGGCTGGCTGATGTTCATGCCTATTTGCTAGTGGGAGCCTCTGATTGGCCAGTGGCGTGATGTAAGGTAACACCTTCTCTGACTGCAGCTTGGATCGGGCACTCTGGCCGTGGGACGCGAGGACTGACCATCCGCTGTGAGCCCCCAGCAGCACAGCAGCTCAGTGAGAGTAGGAAGCTGTGTGCTTCGTGTCAGAGTCTCCGAAAGCAACACTGCTCACGTCTGCTTTTGTTTACTGTTGGGAAGATCATCATGGACTTCTCCATGCCTCATTAGCCCTGCCCACATGCTCAGAAACATCCACGTTCTTGAGAAAGCTGTGTAAATGAAACTGAGGCTGAACTCACTGACGTGTACATGGTCTATTATTCTCTTCTTAAGGAGCCCAGACGTTCCTCCTCCAGTACCTCCGTGGTACCACGAGGTCTTCCCAGTCTAGACTGGAGATATAACTCTTGAGTGAGGCCCAGGGTTTCCTCCTCAGCTGCTCCTCTGCACGTGGAGGAGCAGCAGCTCTACTTTGAATCAGTCCCAAGCTCCTCACCCTGTCTCTGAGACTGAGGCCGGCCACTTGATGGAGGAAACTCTTTTGGTTGCGTGTATTTGCAATCTTGTTCTTTTGGTCATGCGTAGATTGTAACCACCAGTGGGGTTTGGGTGTGCTGATCGCCAAAACAGACCAGTTTAGAGCACCCATTGCCCCAATCTGCCATCGACCTCTCACTCCCCTGGTTCTCTTGTTTGTGAACAAGACGCCAAGACACTTAAACTCTTCCACTTGAGTTTGGAACGCCCCTCTCACGCAGACTTGGCAATCCATCCGTTTTCTTTTGAGAGCCACAGCCTTGGATTGGGAGATTCTGATCCTCATGCCAGCCGTGTCATACTTAGCTACAAACCTCCCCAGCAAGAGCTGAAGGTCACTGTGTGATGGAGCTAGGTGGACCACATCATTGTTAAAAAGAAGAGACAAGATCCTCCTGTCATCACAAACCTCCCACCCCCACTCACGGCTGCACCTAGACTTTCTGTCCATAAAGTTCCTGAACAACCAGGAGCAGGTCTGGCTTACTGCAGGTCTCAAAAAGTGCCACGAGAAAGCAACCGAGTATGATTCCAACTGATATCTTTTCACAATTTTGTGTCTCCAACTATTCACAAGCAACCACGGCTCAGTCAGGTATCCTGGCCTGTCTGAGAGGATTCTCGGGTTTGGTACCCTAATGAAGATCACAGTTTAGATGCATCAGTGGGGATTTTAGTGCAGCTCTAGTAAAGCCTCTCACACACTTCCTGTGTCAGTGTTGGGATGTTGCACCAAAATGTGACTAATGTGGTGAATAACAGCTAGTATTATGGGAGCTGTGCTGTTCTGCACCATACCGCACAACCCTGCTCTTAAATGAAGAACGTGTGTGTGATTGTGTTCACCTGCCAGGAAGTGGGTGGCCTACAGTAAACTGTACCAGAGTTTAGAGGTGGACTCGTCTGTGCTGCTCCAGCAGCTCACCAGTATCGAGTACCACTGGCATCAGCAGGAGCTGCCCTACCAGCAGGTAAAGTCACTGTCAGAGCTGGGAACCAATCCACAGGTGAGCTCATGTTTTCTGATCAGAATGGTCCGAATGTGTAAGCTCCGTCTATAAAAGAGCTCACCCTCTTCCATCACCAGTAAAGATCAAGATGTAAGGCCACAAAACCTCGTTCCACCATTTTCATAAGCTGCTCGTGTTATTGTGGTACTTTGGGAGTTTTTGCTTGCTGGGTTTGATCACGATGGTTAACCAAAACTTTCAGAAGAACCTAGAAGTAGTGTTGAGAAAGTGGCATTGTATTTCCAGAAACAGGAACTTGGGGATTCTCTCCACGGGTTTCTGCAGTACGGGCTGTGTTTGGTGGCCAAATACCGGGACATCTTCCCTCCGACTCCTACTGCTACACCAAAATTACACACGCTGCTCAGGTATTTGCTGTTTTGCAAGTCTTTTTAGCAGCACTCTTGTCAGTAAGGCCAGATGAAACACGTGAATGTGCTTCTTTGTTAGGATTTTGGTCCAAATCTGTAAGACTCAGGCCTTTCAGAAGCTGAACCCAGCTCACTTTGAGCTTCACGATGAGATCAACGATGCCATACAGGTCAGACATCACCTCCGGAGCGCTCTGACAGACTTTTATCTACTGTAAATTTTCACAATGTGCTTTTGTATCAGACAGGGACTGAGGAGTGGTTTACCATCAAAAAGGGTTTGCATCAGCCCATGACTAAGGTAAAGCCAGTCACATCACAGAAGACTTAATCCTTGGAGTTCTGGCTTCCACTTGTTTTTGGATTTATGTTACTGTGCTCTCGTGTCTTTGTCCTGCTGGCATAAAGGACCTGAAAGAGATCGGCAGCGCCCTCTTCAAGTTGATCACAGAGGTGAAGGAAGACATCAAACACAACAAGGATGTGTGGAACAGAGTGTTTGTCAGGTAACATGAACAATCATGTGCATCTTTGTCTATTGTGTGTGTGTGCGAGTGTAGGGATTAGTCATAACAAACCTCTTAAACTAGTCTAACAGAGGTGCAACCACATTTCAAGGCTGCGTTAATAATTCTGAGCTAATGTCAAAGGTCACTGGTCCCAGCACAGTGTTGACTTCAGTGAATTGGAAGAGAAATGATGTAAAACTAATAGGGAACAGTTAACGTAGATCTGGGGAACTTGTCATGGCATCATGACTCTTTGATGTTGCGTAGAGTACCAGGGAAACACCTGCAGGTGCACCATCAGGATGATGGTTTCTTTTGGTCAGTAAAGGGAGGGAAATGTGAGTTTCTTACAGCCATTATGGGACTGTAGTGGCCAGTGTTCTCCACCATGTTGGAAAGGAAACTCTGACTGTTGAATGTCAGATTCAGGAGGAGATGCTTGGGCTGTGGAAGAGTAGACCATCTTCTTGCTAGCACAGGTGCTGAAGGAGTCGTGGAAGTTTGCTTCTCCATTCCCATGTTGACCCTTAAGAAGACTGATCCCCATTGGTGCTGAACTCTTCCACAAATAACAGAATACTTTAAGGCGGTAGTGAAGCGTCCAAACCTGGTAACAGCAAACCCTTAGACCTCTGTGTATAATAACGAAGAACAAAAGAAAATGAAATTGTCCGACAGAATACTGTCAGATGAGGAGAATGGTTGGGCTGGTTGCAAAAGGCTTTTACCGTATGGCAAGCGAGTGAATTTTCCGTAGGGGTGGAATATCCCTTTAATAGTAAGGACAGAAACCCCCAACACCCGGTCGGAGCTTTGAGTAGAGCTGCTGCTCCTCCTCAGTGAAAGGAGTCAGCTGAGGTGGCGATCCTTCAGCCGGGGGGGGGGGGGGGGGGACCAGAGACTGTACATGTCCCGTCAGCTGTCCTACCTTGGATAAGTGTCGAAAAATCAATGGATGGAAAATTAAATCAACTGAAACAGGTTGAACAGGATTTTTAATACTGACTGTCTCCTCATGATTGCAGTGCCGTGCAGGTGGATGTGTTTACTGCTGTCTATCAGAAGTTTGACTGCCTGGTAAGGATAGATGGGATCAGTTTGAGCCCTGTTAATCTCGTCCTCACAGCTCCTCACCAGTTTTTACTCTCTCTTGTTATCCTTAGCTTACAAATGAAGTGAAGCAAACCTTATCATTAATGGACGGCCAAATGGAGCAGAACCTTGCCAAAAGTTTGTTTCCTATTTATCTGAGCTTGCAGACCATCCACAAAGACAAGGCTTTTCTGCAGAGGAGGTCCGAAATCTTGATAATTATTCAACTCAGACTATTTGTTGCACATCATTTAGATTCAAGCTGAATCTCTCAACAAAAAACAAAAACACACACACAAAGGCCATCATTAATGCCACAGCTGTAACTGTTTCAGGGGGTTTCTTCAGCTGTCGAGCTTTCACGAGGGCTTCAGAGAGGCTCTTCCATACTGGCTGAACCAGGCTTTCAGCACCACTCAGGACAGGGTGGAAAGGGCGGTGCAGGTGGACCAGGTAACACGTCCTGATATACATATCATGTACTGTGTGTCATCATCATCACATGGTAAAATCCCAATTGTCCACCCAGCTCCAGCCATTGCAAATTGGTGCCGTTCCTATCAAGCACAGCTCCTCAGCAGTGGACTCGGTCGCCTGCATCCAGCCCATCTATCAGCTGTGGGACCAGCTGTCCTGGCCCGATCCCGAGGAAGCCTTCATGCTCATGGTCAAGACTACTGAGGTGTGAAACTCCTCACATAATGAACTCTAGGTTACATCGGAATGCTGACTGTCATTGGTAAATGTGTGTTTTAGGATGTGTGTAAGATTGTGGTGAACTACTCCCACCTCCTGAAGCAGAGGGTCAGGGTGCTGTCTGAGAACTCCGACCATGGCAGCGCCATCAACATGGTAAACGCACCCCTATAGAAATGCAACACACGCTGCTTCGCATGACCGCGTCTCAAGCCTCTCCTCCTCTCTGCAGCTCTGTGTGGTTGTGAACGACCTGGAGCACATGCGCTCAGTGCTGGAAAAGCTTCCTGTTCAGCTGAAATGGGAGGGGCTTCGAGAACGCACTCAGAATGTCATAGGACAGAGCCAGTTTGAAAACACTCTGCATTCACAAAAACATCAAGCCCTGAGCACCCTCAGTCGAGAGATCAAATCAGCATTAGCCACCCTGGGGAGGAAGGTAGTCGTCTCTTTTTATTTAAACGGTCGATTTGATGTGTCGGTGTCGGTGGGTTGTGGTGCACTTGCAGTATAATCAGTCAGTATCTTACCTGCAGTAGACAGCAGTCAGGGTGATCTCCACATATATGGCTTTTTACTCTTCCCAGCTGGTATTATTGGATCCCGTTTGTCTTTTGCAAATATTAACAACAACTGTTGTTTAGAGCATTTATGCAAAGCGCACAATTTGCATCATTTTATGCTGCCATGTTGGTCTCAGCTAGCCAAGAAATGTAGACCAACCGCAGCACTGACACAAGATGTTGCTTTGCAAGTTGGTCTAGTCTCCATTGTAGCCTCAGCAGGTCTACCACTGGCCTGAACAAAAGGCTCAGGAATAGCCCGGAAAGTTTGCATTTGGGTTTTCTTAGATGGCAAAAAGATAGTGTTGAAAAGATCCTGCTGTAAGAAGTGGCTAGCCCGAAGCATCGCTCCCCAGTCCACCAGCTGAGATCGCTGATTGCCACCTAGCATGAGTAAAATACTGAATGTATGACTTTGACTTTAGTTATACACCGATATTGAGATTCACGTCAGAAGCATGTCAACCAGACGGAGAATCCCCTCCAAGTCCACAGAGGATGTGAGTTACCCGTTTCATCAGCATTCAGCTACACACGCCAGCTGTTTCGCCTCATGTCCAGCTTCCCGTCTGTTGTCAGGCTGCAGCCCCTCTGATGCGCTACCTTGAACAAGAGCTGGAATACATGAATGAAAACCTGGTCCAAGAGAACTTCAACAGGTTGAGACGACTTTGTATGAGATGTCTTTCATTTTAGGTGTGATAGTTTGTGTCTAGTCTAGTGCTTTTACTGTCTTCCTGCTGTGTGCAGCCTCCTGACTCCTTTATGGGAGAACTCGGTGAAGATCCTTCATCAGATGTTTAATCAGCATTCACAACAAGAAGGGCTCATGGTGTTCAGCCAGAGACTGCAGTACACCCTGCAGGTTAGTCCACAGCCACGTGCTGAACCAAAAGTTTTTATTGACACAACTTTTCTGAGCTTAGCTGCTCTCGCGTTGCTGCCGGCTGCCCATTAGTGCATTTGCCACGACGTTGTCCGATCCCCTTTTGTGCCGGATTTCCAGGGAGAACTCCTTGAGTAACAAGGCCCATCTCATTAACCGCTGATTGTGGTTGCACGTCCGGTCGAGAAAGGTCAAAGGGTTGTGACCTGAAAGAACAAGAGTAGTGAATCCACCGTTTCCAATGTACACATGAACATGTTGCACGGACCATATAAGAGCTAAGGTTTCCTTTCAATAGTGGAATAGTGGTTGAACTTCCGGGAGAAGTAACAGACAGGGTGATCAAGCCCATCAGTATCTTCCTGTCCCAGCCCCGACACTACTGGCGTCGACCTCCAGTTTGAATGGCCAGGAAAGGTCGGAAGCTGCAAGGACGGGAGCACAACAAAGCAGTTTCTGAAGAGAGACAAAAGCTTGTTGACAGCCATGAAAAGGGGATCCGAGTACGTAACATATCCGTAAGGGGTTTTGCTTCTGTTGAGAAATTATGACAAAAGCATCTGTAATATCCAGCCATGCCCAAAAATTATCTGAGCTCCCGGCGAGTTTTTGGTGGAGGAAATGAAACCTTGGCTTGGATCTTTTCTGATAGGGCCTTCACCTGCTTCTTTACCTAGATAACGGACAGTGGCTTTCACAAACTCACGTTTATCAAGGTTCAAGGTGAGGTTAGCTGACTTCAGTCTTTCCCTAGGCCACAATGCTCGGCTACGATCGCAGTGGTCTGAGGCTCTGCTTGTAAATTAACAGTCCTAGTCCATATCTCCACAGGCGACCAGCTTGACTACAGACTCGCACCGAAACCAGTCCGCCATGTGGGTGGGCCACCCCGGTCCCTGGAGTCCCTTGTTAGCTTTTTGGGTTAGCTAAGTTAGATAGCTCAGTAAGCTAGCTAGTAGCTACAATGGTTCATTTGTTCCAACCGTAAAAGCCCCATCCTCAGCTACACCACTTTTTCCATTATTGGATTGTCTGGGCGTGACAAGACGTGTGACATGGTCAAAATGGCGGTGGTGGGAGCCTCCCATTCGGAAACAAAAACTTATAATTTGAGCCTATGGACATTAATTGTCCAGTATACATGTCGATTCTTCGAACTGGGAGACAGCACAGCATCCTATCACCAGGACGCTGCGGCATCTTCTCATGCTGTCTGCCTGTTTTTTCCAGTCAATGAACCACTCTGCCATCTACGGTCATTTCTTATGACCCTTTGACTACATTTCATGGCTCATAAACACACATATGTCTAAATAAACAATTTTAGATTATTAATAATTAAATGTAGGTGTAATGGATTAGAATTACATTTAATTAAGGACCATAAGACATTAAAGATTCGTAGTATGAATCCCATATTACGGACCCTGGGTTATTTAAATCAGAAGATTGGATCTTTTTATTACATTAACTGAGAGACAAGAGAAGAGAGAGTCTTTCTTTTTGAGTAAATTTATTACTAAATGATTTTTAAACAGTTTAACTAGACTAACTCTCTAATGATGAATGTTATGATGGAATGAAGTGTGAGGTGAATGATATTAAATTCAGAACCCTCGCATCTGGAGAAGCAAAGTTGAGTGGGAGATGATGTTTTGCTCCTAACTGATCAGAGTTTGAGACCCGTGGTCATAAACACATGAGACGCCATTGTGTCGCATCCACATACCCTCAGTGAGACCTCCGTACAGATCCGGATGCCAGGTCCACGACCCTCCTCCGGTACTGGAGCCAATGGTACAACGTCACAGCACGACAAACCAGTCTTTGGATAGTCTCCAGGTAAAAAGCGACAGGTGTTTCACAGCGTCAAAAAGAGACCCTCCTTGGGTCAGCGAGTTCAGCTTTTATTCTGAAGGAACCGTTGTTTGTTTGTAACAACGACAGATTTTTCCCAGCTTGAATGGTTCTCAGCTTAAAAAGAGAAGCATAGATGGCCTGTCCATACTTCACTTAACATGCGGTGAACTTCATGGGATCTTGAGAACAGAACTTAAAATGGCGTTGGAACTGTTTTATTAATCTGGATGTTTTTGATTCTGAACGAATCAAAGCTGACAGATTAAACAAACACCACAGAGACTCTGCCACGCTTCAGACTTGAAGGTTCTGATTGGATCAGCAACAGCAATGTGTCATGTATACAATCGGAAAACCACAACAGTCAAATGTTAAATGTAATCTTTAACTAAACATTGTAGTGACAGGACTGTGACGTGGCAGTTATGGGTAGCAGTGAACAATGTAAGTTAATGTAGAACAACTATTAAAACTGTCTAAAACCATTAGACTATCTTACCTGTTTAATACACGTGACTAGCACACAATGATTATTAAAATATGCAGCATCTCCACTCTCCGCGCCCCCAAATGATGGAGATTCTCTTCTTCACTTTAAGGCTGAGCTTGGCCTTAAAACAGGAAGCTTCTCAGCTGCTTGGATCTGGGATTATCTCATAATCCAAATGTCACGACCCTAGCTCAGGCTTGTACACAGATGGACCTGAAACGGAGATCTTTTTTTTACCACCATGATAATGAAGCAAAGTCTACATCCATCAGTCCATCCCTCTGTAACGTTATGAACTTCATAATTTTCAGCTCCACACAGCTGCCCCTGTACACAGTAACACCCGTGTAGAAAACGCCAAGGTCGGGTGTTCCTCAGACTTTTTACATTCCAGGAGAAGAGCCAGAAGGAGAAGAAGAACGCTTTTCAATAATCAAAGTACTTAATTTGTGATTAAAGCTATTCGAAACAGATGTTGATCAATAATAATCAAGTGAATGATCTGTGGAATAAAGATGTCATGATTTATGTGTTTAATGAAAACAGGACTACTGCACAGACAGACTGACCCTCATCTCCATAGAAACGCATGACACATTGTTCCAACCAATCAGAGCTTTCGGCTGCCGCAAGAGAATCTGGCTTGTTGACTTAAAGTGTCCAATCCGCTTTACTAAAACTTATCAACAATTCAGAGATATAAAACAAGGCAACGCCATTTTAAGCTCAGTTCCATTTTGACTTCAGTTCTATTCACCGTCATCCCAAAGAGAAGCACAGCCTGGCCAGATGTGTTTTCTTCTTTAAACTAAGAACTGTGAAGTTGGAGATTTTCGTCGTTTAACAACCAGACGACATCCTTTCAAAATAAGAGCACCTGCTGACGCTGCCGATTGTTACCTGGGTCGACCCTTCAGACGGGCTTTGAAACGCTGCGATAGCTGTTTCGACCAGCTCCAGCGCACATCCGAGGTCTCCAGACCTGGCATTTCCTGATCTACCTGGGAGGCCCCCACTGGGTATGTACACGGCAAAATAGCAGCTCATGTCATCACTTTATAAGCCTCGTGATATCTAGTCATGACAATCAAAGACTACCAGATTCAATGACGTCAGCCTAAGGAGTCTGAACCAACCACACACACACACACACACACACACACACACACACACATCGAACATCACATTCATTTCCAAACAACACAGAGTTAGTCCTGATAGATTGTAGAATTTATAATAAAATTCTTAAACGATCCCAACTCTCTCTTTTCTTGTCTCAAGGTCAATACAGAGTGTTAAATGAACTCCCTGATGATAAAAACAACCTATTCTTCTGATTTATAAAAACTAGATCTACTTACAGTATATTAAAATACAACTCTAGATCGTTACATCACTCTATTTTTCTACACCTCCTTCCTCCAATCATCACTTCTGAATGGGCACCATTCACTCACTCCTAACCTGGGGAGCATGTTTGTAGTTGAGAACCATGTCCTAAACTCTGCGGTGCTGACTCTAGTCCTGGACGCGTCACCAACCACCCTGAAGGCCTGACGTTCCTAACAGAACTACATCTACAAAATGCTCATGAGATGCTCTCATCTTCACAGCTAAGTCTCAACATCCTGTTCACAAACACAAACCCGTTGTTTTGGCAGTGGTGCCATTCTTATGATGAAGTGTTCAGAAAAGACCTGTTGGCATGTTGTTGGTCCATCTGCATTAAAAGTAAACATGAATGCACATTAATGAACAAACAACTGTGTCATGCTTTTATTCAAGAAAAGGAGGAAACAGTTGGGTTGTTGGCTCAGCCGAACCTCAAATACATGGCTTCACTCAGTGTGTGTGTGTGTGTGTGTGTGTGTGTGTGTGTGTGTGTGTGTGTGTGTGTGTGTGTGTGTGTGTGTGTGTGTGTGTGTGTATGTGTGTGTGTGTGTGTGTGTGTGTGTGTGTGTGTGTGTGTGTGTGTGTGTGTGTATGTGTGTGTGTGTGTGTGTGTGTGTGTGTGTGTGTGTGTGTGTGTTAATTCCAGTGCCTTGAGCAGTGCTTTCATGCTGAGGGGAATGGACTCTCTCTGCAAAAGCTCCACTCGGATGAGTACCAGGTGAGTGACCAACAGCTGAGCTTCAGCTGGGCCCCCGAGACCCTGATGTCTCACATCCTGGTGTTTTGCCATTCTATATGATCAACATCAGCCCAAAACAACGGGAAAAAAAACACAGTCACGTTTACATTCGAACTTGAAAATCAATTTACAGAAATGGGGAGAAAAAGGAAACAGAAAAAGAAGGATAAGAACCCTAACCCCATCCTGTAAACCAGTGGAAACCCACCCCTTTTCATCAGTTGGGTCAGTTCATCTGCAGAGGAGACCCGACAGTTCTCTGTAGGTTACCTCGAACCTGGCTGATAAGAAATACGCAACATTAGTTTATCACACAATTCATGCAGCACACATGTTGTTTATTTTGGGGGCTAACCAAGATATGCAACTCCAGAACCTTTTAATTCATTTACACTCACAGAAACAATCAAAACACATATTTAGACTAAATAAGGTCCAAACTGTAACACAATAAACAGACAGTGAGGACTCTCCGCTGCACAGGACCCAACATGCAGCATCCACGTCACAGAAGACCAGCCTATACTGGCCCGGTACCACCGGTACCACAGATGAGCAGCCTGTAGCAGAAACAAACAAACAAACAAACAAACAAACGCAGAAAGGAAAGACCCAACTGGTGGTGGGGTTGTCACAAAGTGGAGATCTAATGAGTTCTGTCTTTGTGCTTCAAGTGAAATGTCTCCAGGCCCGTGTGTGCGTGTGTGTGTGTGTGTGTGTGTGTGTGTGTGTGTGTGTGTGTGTGTGTGTGTGTGTGTGTGTGTGTGTGTGTGTGTGTGTGTGTGTGTGTGGTGTGTGTGTGTGTGTGTGTGTGTGTGTGTGTGTGTGTGTGTGTGTGTGTGTGTGTGTGTGTGTGTGTGTGTGTGTGTGTGTGTGTGTGTGTGTGTGTGTGTGTGTTTCTGTAAACATCTTGGGTTTCTGACCTGCTGCTCTTTCTCCAGACTCTAAAGGCCCTCCTCACTCACCACTCCATGACCAGCCAACAGCTTATAGAGAAGTTCTTTAGGAGAAAAATAACAGAGCAGGTGAGTTTCACAGAAGCACCGGACGTGTTTGGGATCAGGATTATTCTGACTAGTTTTCCTGTCTCTGTTGTTTCCACCACAGAAGAATTACAGTGGGGAGAAATATGGTGCCGTGACTTTTCTCGCAACCTACAGGATATCTGACCAAAGACTCAGAGTTGATGTGCTGAATGCACTCAAACTCTTACCAATGGACAGCAATGGTAGACATCTAGATGTGGGCTCTGTGAACCCGACTTCCTGTGTAAGCTAACGTTTTGGTGCTTGTCAGGTTTCAGTGACCCCTTTGTGCACCTCTGCCTGGAGCCTCACCACATCTTTCCTGAGGTTGAGCCTCGCTGCACTCAGATCAAAAGATGTGACCTCAATCCTCTTTTTGATGAGACTTTTGAATTGTAAGTTCCTGATTCTTAGTTTCCACCTACTTCTTTGTATTAATACTCTCTGTGCAGGCTGTTCCATTTTTCCTGTTAAACTCAACAGTTCACGCTTCTCACCATGCTGTTCTTTAAATGATCCACACCTTTAAGGCTCTGCTGTGTTAGCTGACTAAAGGTTTTCTACATCACAGCCTGGTTTCCCTGGACCAGTGCCTCGCTCCAGGAGCTTGCCTGGTGATCACAGTTCTGGACCATGACACCTTGATGACGGATGACTTTGAGGGTGAAGCCTTCCTGGCTCTTGAAGATGTTTCAGGGATTTCTACCAAAGAAGAGGAAGGACAAAGCTTGCAGTCAGATACCTCCTCTGGACAGAAACGCCTGCCTCTGATGCATCCTAAACCTAACGGTGGGTTTGGGAAGACTCGGGATAGTCCTGGGAGTTGTTTTTTTCCAGGCTGGGATGATTACGTAAAATTCTAAAGATTTGTAAAAACACAAACTGGGTTCATAATTTTGAATTTATTGTGAATTTTCTTTCTTCTGTATAGAATAGAAGTTAAACATAAGGGTTCAAATATAAACACACTAATCCCACAAAATAATAAGTGCAATATCGCGTGGACATCAGGGGCAGTCCCACTGGACTGGCAGACCGGGGTGGTGGTCTCCTTATTTAAAAAGGGGGACCGCAGGGTGTGTTCCAACTACAGGGGGATCACGCTCCTGAGCCTTCCTGGTAAGGTCTATTCAGGGGTTCTGGAGAGGAGGGTCCATCAGATTGTCGAACCTCAGATTCAGGAGGAGCAATGTGGTTTTCGTCCTGTCCTTGGAATTTACCCAACCAGTCTAAATGTGTTTTGTGGATTTGGAGAAGGCGTTTGACCGCGTCCCTCGGGGGGCCCTGTGGGGGGTACTCCGGGAGTATGGGGTACCAGGCCCTCTGATACGGGCTGTTAGGTCCCTGTATGACCGGTGTCAGAGCTTGGTCCGCATTGCCGGCAGTAAGTCTGCTCGTTCCCAGTGAGAGTTGGACACCGCCAAGGCTGCCCTTTGTCACCGATTCTGTTCATGACCTTTATGGACAGGATTTCTAAGTGCAGCCAAGGTGTGGAGGGCAGCCGTTTTGGTGGCCTGAGGATCAGGTCTCTGCTTATTGCAGATGATGTGGTGCTGTTGGCTTCATCAGAACGTGATCTTCAGCTTTCACTGGAGCGGTTCACAGCCAAGTGTGAAGCAGCTGGGATGAGAATCAGCTCCTCTAAATCTGAGACCATGGTCTTGATTCGGAAAAGGGTAGAATGTCTTCTCCAGGTCAGGGATGAGGTCCTGCCCCAAGTGGAGGAGTTTAAGTATCTCGGGGTCTTGTTCACGAGTGAGGGAAAACTGGAGCATGAGATCGATAGGTGGATTGGTGCTGCATCTGTGGTGATGCGGGCGTTGTACCGGTCTGTCGTGGTGAAGAGAGAGTTGAGTCAGAAGGCGAAGCTCTCGGTTTACCGGTCGATCTACGTTCCTACCCTCACCTATGGTCATGAGCTTTGGGTAGTTACCGAAAGAACGGGATCACGGAAGCAAGCGGCCGAAATGAGTTTTCTCCGAAGAGTGGCTGGGCTCTCCCTTAGAGATAAGGTGAGAAGCTCGGTCATCTGGGAGGGTCTCATAGTAGACCCGCTGCTCCTCCACGTCGAGAGGAGCCAGTTGAGGTGGCTCGGGTATCTGGTTAGGATACCTCCTAGACACCTCCCTGGTGAGGTTTTCCGGGCACTTCCAACCGGGAGGAGACCTAAAGGTAGACCCAGGACACGGTGGAGGGACTATGTCTCTCACCTGTCCAGGGAACGCCTTGGGATTCCCCCGGAGGAGCTGGCCCAAGTGGCTGGGGAGAGGGAAGTCTGGGCCTCTCGACTTAGGCTGCTGCCCCCGCGACCCGACTCCGGATAAGCGGATGAAAATGGATGGATGATAACTCTTTGAATGAACATGAAAAAAATCATGGAAAGGACTGCCACGTGATCAAGTTGCTTCAGTTCAGCTTCATACATTTCTGTTATCCTAACTTGTGTTGAGCCAAAGTAATTCATCAAAGTTGAGTCAACTTATTTACTACATTTGGATCCTGTTTAGTGATATAGGGTCAAACTATCATGTGAAACTGCTAAAACAAGTCATGTCAACTCAACGTGATTGTTATGAACTAAAGTAACTTTATTTTATTCAAAATAACTGTTTTATGTTTACAGTACGAAGGTTTGGGTGGACGATCTGAGCTTGGGACGCATGTGCTCCTGTAGAACATCGTTAGTGTGTTCATTCAAACAGCATTACTAAGTAATGGAGTTGGTCAAACTCACTATGATTTCTATGGGCGTCATTGTACTTGGAGACACTGCTGAGTGCTTATTGTGACAGGGTGAGCATCCTGTCACTGTGTCCCGATTGATCATGTGCTCTGGCTACTTAGCCACGGGGATGTCCTTTTGGCTGACTGGTTGGCGTGCGTGACTCTCACCCAGGAGTCTGGGGATCAAATCCCAGGCCCTTGTTTCTCCACCTTGTCACATTATGAACCCCTCTGTACCACTATCCTTTTCAGTCATGGTTTTTGTTTTTGCTCACTGCCAGCTTAAGAACTACACACAGTTCTTTTGTACACGTGTGGTGGAATGGGTTGGGACTAAGCAGAATATTAAAAAGTTAAGATCCTGCCAACAACGCCAAATGTGGCGGAGCTCGTGGTAGGGTACCTTCTTTCTGAAGCTTGTCCCTTTAACCTTGATTATTTACCACCCAAACTGGGAGAACACACAACGCCACCTTGGGAATTTCAAATTGGACACCTCTAGGCACACGTAGGTTCATGCTCCAAAGAGGCGGCAGAAACGAGGTTACAAAAAGTTCTAATTGATTAAACACCATGTTTAATAAAAGACAGTTTAAAAAGTCATTTAAAAGTAGTAATTAAAAAAAAGGGGGAATTTAAACAAAGAAAAATAGTGTCACAAGGCTGGAGCTTACCAAGGTGTAGTGGGACCACTGGAGGTTTTAGTAAAATAAGAAAAACTAAATACAAAAATCACCCAAAGCACTAGTGAGCAGTCACGCAGATGTGAAAAGAACCAATACCAGCTCGCACACAGCAAACGCCACCAGAGAACCACCGTCACCACCCTTGGCTCCGGCCTGGACAAAACAAACAGGGGTTAGAAACAAGTAAATGAACACTGTTAAAATATAAAATAGTGCTCCGGAGTCCTCCTGCGCCAGGGGAGAGGGGATCTCTCTATCCACTCCAACCGGCACGCTGGGTGGAAAACGTCTGGCGAAGGAGCACTACTAGTAATTTTCCAATCCTCGGCTGCGCTCCAAGTGAGCGGCAGCCCAATCGCTCCAGGTAGGTCGGTCAGCTCCGTTGAACCGCTCCTCGGTTGTTTAAGGATCACAGCAGTGACTCAAAACAATGTCTCACAAGCACCACAACACCTCGGGTCCTAAAAGGTAATAAACCTTGTTAACCCCAGAAAAGAATAGTCATGACTGAGCGTGCAGCGAGGGGGGCGTGCCGCACATACATACCACACCAACGGTAGGTCACACTAGAAGGTAGGCACGCTTCCCGTCCAACAGCACGCAGGTAAAGTTACAGCTCTCTTATGGAGCTTCCAAACGTTGCCTCTCTCTGCATACAAGCCTGTATTCGTTGTCACTAATCTGCTTTTAACAGCTGATCAGAGTACTCGCCGGGATCCAACACACGTCCAGCTTACGCTGCTGCTGTCCAAAGTGCAGCTACTTCCGTGAGCAAAGAAAGAAACACTGACTGGGTCCGCTTTTTATGCCCACAGCTCTCCTACTGACAGGGCCAGGTGTTCTAATCATCAGGAGCAGGCTGCCTCATCCTGCTACACATGTATATTTCATTTCACTTATATTACTTTAAATGTGAATTGAACTCAAGCTGTAACAGATGGATTCATTTAAATTTTCAACATTCAGAAAGAGCATGGCATGCTGGGAAATCTGTTCCATCCAACCAGTAATCAGTGAGCTGAATCGTGAACACAATCTTTTTAAGTTACTCCAACAAGAAGGAATCAAGTAAAACTACATTGTACCCTTTTAAGTTAACATTACACAAGTTAATCGTCTTCATTTTACAAACTTAATCAACTTATGAAGAAACTACAAGTCAGGAATACGTAATTTGAACAAACAGAGGATTTCCAGTTTTTCAGTACAGCTGCACCTGATCAGACACGCTTTTGTTTCCATCAGTCTTCTGTTATAACTGTGGCTGATATTTTACTCCTCTTGGCAGAATTACTTGAGTAGTTACATGGCTGTTAACTGTATGTCCGTCATGTGAAGTCCAGCTCAGAATCTAAATGTTAGTCTGCTTTATCCAATCAAAAACCAGCTCTGATGCGTTTGGGGTCATTGTCCCGTTTCATTCTTCTTGCTTTCTGCGAAGATAGATGCCTTTTTCTATTCCTCCTCCTAATCCTGCCTGTCTTTGCCTGCCCACGTCCTGACAGTCCATCTGGAGCATCTTTGCATTTTCAACCATGGACCTGGTCAGCTGGTTTCTAAATGCAATCGATCAACTTTTCTCTACCTGAAGAACAGCTGAGGGAGAGCCCTCCTGAGCTAACAGAATGCACTCGGCTGGATATGTGATGGATACCTGGGGCCAGTAGATCATGTCACTGCTGTGCGTGGAGGATGTAGAAAATGTTTATGTAATTGGACTCGTGATAATTGGGTTTCTGCTATTTGGAATGGGTGGTACAGCAAATTTCAAAAGCTTTTGGGAGAAATTGGCGAGCTACCTGTGCTCAACAAAGGGATGTGTGGTTCTTTAAAAGGCACTAAGTAACATTTTCATATTTTTAAAACATTTTCTTCAGCCAGTATGCGCTAAAACGATCTTTACAGGGTAAATTAAGTATCTTACCCCCCTCCGTCCCTTGTAAGCAGGATACCCCGTTTGCAACTTCAGCTTCTCCAACCGCTGCCCTGAAGTCTCTCAAAGTCACCTGTCCTGCAAGAAGCAGATCCTAACTCCCTTCCCCAAGGGCCAGTATACAGCATGTTTTAGTTGTTTCCCTAATCTAACACACTTGATTCACCAGTTCAGCAGCTCTGCAGAACGGTAAAACATGCAGGGGAAGGAAGTTGGAGATCACTGCTTCATGGCAATCCATGTTTACACCTCGGAACAGACTAGCTATACCTGGTTAGCACTCATTGGAATGTGTTTGTCATAGCGGAGCCTCAGAAAAACAAAAAGGCATGTACTATATACTGAGGTTTTTATACCTCTGCTGTATCCTGTCGATGGAAGGGCTGATATGCCCCACCCCCATTTCCTATCTGCATATGGGAGCGTAGTTTAGAGGCTGCACAGTATGTCCTGTTTATGTTTGTGTTGTTGGCATGCTCTTGGACAGGTTGTGTAGAAATGTAATTTGGTTGTACCGGGATGCTGATTCATTCTGATTCTGAACGCCCAGTTGGGTCCAAGTTTCAACCATCTTGCTGATGATCTCAGGTGGAGTAAAAGAACCTGAGGTAGTCCTCCTATCCTATCCAATCCAGATTTATTTATGTAGCACATTTAACAACAGCATGACAGCTGACCAAAGCGCTTGACACACAATAAAAGGAAACAAGGTAAAATGTTCAAATCAAGAGGTAGAAAAAGAACTTAGTAAAACAACACAAGGTAAATACCTGGTAATGACTAAAAACTTTAGTAAAATTAACTAAAAAAAAGTGCTACAACAAAAAAAGTAATTTAAAGGAGAGAACAAAGTACGGAACGATAAAACTTCCTCTTTCATTATTCCACTTTGCACACCAGAACCACATCATGATGCTGACACCTCCTTGCTTGATAGCTGTTTCTGTATTCTTGGGTCTTAAAGCCTCATCTCCACTCTCGTCATTGTGAACAAACAGCTCCATATTTGTCATGTGACAATAAAATCTTTCTCTAAAAGACATTTGTCTTATCCATGTTGACAGCTGTTGGTTCTAGTCCAGCTTGAAGGTGTCCCTCCAGGAGCAGATGCTTCTTTCTTGGTCCTCTGGTTTCACTATGGACAGAAACTGGTGCTCTAGATGTTAATGTTTATGTATTTAGCAGACGCTTTTGTCCAAAGCGACTTACGGGTGATAATCAAACCAGCAGGTTGCCCTTGAGGCCAACAACAAACAGTATTCAGTCAATCCTAGGTGGCAGTGAGGCAGCATAATCAATCATGGAGGGAAGTGAACACGGAGTGAACAGTGGAGTGGGGGACAGGTGCAGGGAGGGTGCCAGTTTAGAAGATGCTTTCAACATTGCTAGTTTAGAGTATTTCTCTGGGTACTTTCCTGGAGGGGGGTGGGGGGTTCTAGTCAGAAAAAAGGCATTGGTAAAATATTACAGCTCCAACTGCCCCTGTGTGTTCATGGCCATGGTTAATAGCTCCAACCCTATGGCTCTGAGTGCTGTTATGCTAATCATATCTGGTATGTAATAATTAGTATGATCTGGTATTTGTCCACAGGCAGGCTTGTTTAATAAACACCAATAGTAAATGACGGAAGAACTGGGTGGGAGGTGGAGCTGTAATCCCGGGAGTGTGGAAAATAAGTGACGGTTCCAGATAAAACATGGAGGCTTAAGATCCAGCGTGGGCTAAACGCAGGTTATTCTTTTAGAGGAAAGATGATCAGAATTTTTATTTAACGTTTATCACTGATAGAACCAAGCTGGACTGAGTTAGGTCAGAGCCAGGCTCCACAGATAAATGGCCTGTATTTGATATAGCACCTTCTAGAGTCCTGGAACCCCCCAAGGCGCTTTACAACACAATCAGTCATTCACCCATACACACACATTCACACACTGGTGGGGATGAGCTACAATGTAGCCACAGCTGCCCTGGGGCGCACTGACAGAGGCGCCACCGGTCCCTCCGACCACCACCAGCAGGCAACGTGGGTTAAGTGTCTTGCCCAAGGACACAACGACAGCGACAGACTGAGCGGGGCTCGAACCTGCAACCTTCCGATTACGGGGCGAGCTCTTAACTCTTGTGCCACCGTCGACCCTTCTCCTTGTTTGTTTGACCTGATGAAGTTTAGAAAAGGCTCAAACAATCTCATAACTGTAAATCCACCGTTCTTCTTCTTGAACCATTTCCTTTGAGTCAACAGCTATGTAGATATGTGAACGTGTCTGTATATCCTGCTTCCAGAGACTATTGGACGTCTGCCCACATACTGACACTTGTGTCAAACTGAATTCTACCAATCCAGAAGATCCTAACTCTGTGTGCTTCTGTTGTTCCAGAGGACAGCATCTTGAAGTTGCTGGAGTCCAGGAAAAGCGAGCGGGAGGCTCAGGCGTTTGTGAAGAAGCGGCGACAGCGGGAGAAACAGTCCCAGGAGGCTGTGAAGTCGTGACAAACACACCAACACACGGTCTTCCTCCAAAAATATACAATTTGTTTTAATGATCAGTACCAAAAAAGGAAAAAGAAAGCACTCAGAAGGAAACACTGGCATTGCATGAGCTGTGTGTGGACAACATGGTTTACCAAAGACCCGTCACAGTGATCGCCAACACTTTCACACCTCCATCTAAACATTTACACATCCGTATGCGTCCTGATGGTAAGAAGAATCAGTGCAAAAGAAAGCTATAACGTCACTTTTGTGTGTGTATACATTTATATATAATATATATGAGATATATATTATAAAGTTGGTGAAATGCCAAAAATGACCACAAATGCATAAATTTGGCAAATAAATTTCATTTATGAAAATGGCTTCGTTTGGGGTGTTTTGTGTTGGCATGAGAGAGTTAAATAAAAAATACTCCCGTGTCCTGGCCCCCGATTGTGATGTCTTCCTGCTGAGGAATGAGACAAACCTGTGTTTCTGACAGATTGCTGCACAATTCAAACTTTTTAGTATTTGACCTTTTTACAATTCACCGGCTAAAACTATCACGTAAAAGCATTCTGCTGCCAGGACGGCTCGTGGTGACAGCCTCTGGCTGCAGGGCTGAAGCTGGAGGTGTTTCCAGGGGGATCCCCCCCCCCACACACACACACACACACTGTGAAAAGCACTTAAAAACAGTCCTCCGTCCGTCCTTCAAGGACGTTTCTCACACAGCACATGAATGAGTGGGCTCTCGATGAAAAGTTTATGGAAGTCAAAAAAGCTTCTGCAAAAACCACGAGGCTCGGAGCAACTATGGTGGCTAAAGTCTGGTTAACCTTTCAGATCACTTGGTTTAAAACTAGTTAAGTAAAGAATTGATGGTTAAGGGGAGAAACAAATAACAGCAGGTGGTTTATGAGCGGAGTACAGTGTTGCTGGTTGAGAGCGTTAACCAGCAGAATGTGGTCTCCATGGGTAACACTGGCAGCATAACCAGAGCTTTAACTTGGTGACTAATGCTCGCTCAGCTGGTCTTTTCTCTGGTTTAAGAAATTCAAAAGTACACAACCTAATCAGTGCTCGTCTTATGATATTACAGTTATTATTATTTATTAAATCTATTTGAGATGGCGGTCATGATCCAAAGCTGGTAAATGTGGAATCAGGACTGACTGGTCTGGAATCTGTAGTCCTAACCACTGTGAGGTCAGGAGAGCTGCTGCTGCTGCTCTGGGTTCTGTTCAGGGCAGAGCGGACACTCCGTGGACGCGGAGCAGCTCTCGCATTGCAGTCCGTGGCCACAGGGCAGCGACGCGGAGCCCTGCTCTCCACAGGTCACACAGCACTGTCTCTGTTTCCGGTACACCACCTGGAAAACACCACACGGAAGGAGTCACTCTCCTAAAAAGCACAAGTTATTTTAAAGCTGTGGTACAAAGTTTAAAAAGCCTGAACTTAAAAGTAACTTGACTGTCTGACTCTGTTCTACGGTGTAAAGTAGGTAATCTTGCAGAATTGACATGTGCCCGGGTCCCTCCCCTGGCCTCTACAGTGACACGAATCCTTTACACGAGCCTGGAGTGTTGACCAATGAAGCTGCATATCTACAGCGGGAGCTGTCAACGTAGCACGTCACCAAGGAGGACGATACCTCCACTGACTTCCAAAGAAAAGTCAGCTTCAATGCGCCTCTGCAGAGATGTCCAGCAGAATTTACATTTGAGATGCTTTGAAAGATGCTCGGTGATCTACGAGAAATCAGAACTAACGAGGAGGCGGTGAAGTACCTGCTGGACAAGTAAACACGAAGTCATTTGCTGTTTTTAAAGAACTGTGGCCAGAATTTCATTTACCTGAAAGACGTAGATAATTGCTGCATGCTGCGTTTACCCTAGGCTAATGTGGTGCTAGCTTGACCTGTAGCTGTGGGAGATTCATCTTTTGTGCATTGGAGCCAAGTGAGTGTCATTCTCACGCTACAACTGCCACTTTCCCTGTGCGGTAGGAGGCGTGGCTTCTAAACGCCTCTCCTTGATGACACCACGCTGCGGACCACAGGGTCTGTTGTTTACGTTTTCTTCTAATCGGTCTGGGGTCTGCCGCCTCAACCATCACAGTGGAAGGAATTTTGCACCTGAAGCTTGGAATGGATAACGGCTCTGCGTCCTGATGAGGACTCCTGATGCGGTTTGACGTCAGCCGGGCTCTTCTACAGCACCAATTCTTCACAGCACCATTTAAACGATGTTTAAACGTTTGTCTCTGATTAATTTCAGACAAAATTGCTTCAACGTAATTATTATGAGGAACAACGAGAGCTTTGGTCCCTCTTTGTCCTGCAGTGTCTGCTTTGTCATCTCTGGTTGTGTTTAAAATGTCACCAGCTGGTGTTTATGGATCCTGTGATGTTTAACAAACACAGATGAGAGATCAACGAGGAGTGTATACAAACACACACAGAGGCATCTGTTTGATCAAACCCTGTGGAGCAGGAGCCTCATTTATCAAGCTTGCTTACGCACAAAACGGGGTCGGAAAACTGCGTACGCAACTTTCCACGCAAACTTTGGGATTTATGAAAGAAAACTTAGTGGAAAAATGTGCGCAACTTTACGTTGACTAAGGACCTGGCTTACACACATGTTGGACATGGAGAGCACCTGCAGTGCTGCTGCTGAGAAGATACAATTATGAAATCCTGCAGCATTATCACTTGTACTGCTTCGTTTTCACACAGAACAAGACCCCACATGCATACACACGTGCGTACACACACATGCGCGCACACTCACACAGACACCCCCCCCCCACACACACACACACACACAGACGCGTGCGCGTGACTTTCACCCGGGAGTCTGGGGATCGAATCCCGATTAGACCATTTTTTTTATATCAGCCACAGATCTCTCTGAAGAACTCAGCATTGACGGCTTCAGCAACGCTGTGCCACTCCTCAACTTCTGCTTCTGTGAAATTGCGCTTCCATGGTCTGCCTTGATCTACGGTCACCATGTCATTGGCAGAGCGTTGCAACAAGCCGGCTTATGTATATGCATGAGGTCCACAAGGCACTTTGCATTGACTATTTATGGCAGTAAGTGGGCGTGGTGAGGGCGGGATGTGACTAAAATGCAGCTGAGAACATTTCTAGATAGTTTCTATTTATGAAGTGGAGATTGCGTGCAGTTGTGCGTACTCCATGTTTGATAGATACAAACCTACTTGGCGTTAGTACATTTTTTTGCTGAGCTTAAGTACGGTTTTAGTAAGGATTCTATGCCATGTTTGATAAATGAGACCCCTGGGCAGTTGCAGCTGACATGGTTCTTCCACTAGCAGGGCTTGGACTTGATCCCTGGACGAAGCTAGTAAACAACCACAGCGGTCCATGTAAATAACGGGGATGTGGAAAAGAGACACTATGGTTTTAGCCATGCTCAGGCTAGCTGTTAGCTCACGGGTTCCATCAGATTAAGCTATCTCTGAGCAGAAGCTAGCTACAACATTATTTTCACACTAAGGACCTTCAAAATGGCTGAAGTATCCCTTTAAGGGTAACTTGCAGTGGCTTTGAGCCGAGTTAGCATCAAGCCTACACCTGCACCTCCTCCTGACCGGACTGTGTGACCGATGTGATGTCTACCTGTTCCACGGCGTGTAAGCAGGTGCAGAGCTGAGCCTGTAAACTAAGGACCGACTCCAGGGGCAGTCGGTGAAGTAGCTGGAGTTGATGCAGTGCAAGGTGTGGATTGTCTCCGCTTCGTAAACTGTCCAGCGCCTCCTTCAGGAGAGAGATCTGTCTCTGCGCCTCCTCCTCAGCATGCCGGGCTCGTTCGACTTCGGTGGATAACAACGTTGCATTTGCACGGGACTCCTCTGCATCGGCTTTGAGAGCGGCCCACGACTGAAAGAGTACCGGTGCTGAGTTTTAATTCACAACAAAAATGTAAGACATTCACCCAAAGACATCAGAGCCGTGTCCGTGGAACACACGTGCTCCTCTCCATACCTACCTGAGCCGTGTGTCTCCAGCTGTGACCCCACTGCTTCAGAGCCCTGTGGGCATCCTCCAGTTCCTGTTTGAGCCTGGACGTCTCTGCACAGGGCCCAGAGGGCAGCAGGGCAGGGGGGGTGCCAGGAGAACCCTGACCTGAAGGGAGGTGCTCCCAAATGTTTGTGCTCATGCCATTCAAACCTACAAAGAAACACGGTAGTTATGAACACCCGATTCCTCGTGACACCGTGTCCCACCCCGATCGGCGTACCTAGAGAGCTATGTGATGGTCCCAGGAAGGGGCTCTCCGACTGGCCCGGCTGTGACAGGTGTGAGAAGAAAGGTGAGGCGTGTGGTCGGACCGGAGGGGACGGAGAGGGAGAGCTGAAGGGAGCGGAGCTGCTGAAGGATCCTGGAATGTTGACTGGAGCAGAACTCTGAAGCTGGCTGCCTCCTACGAAACCAAAAATCTGAGGGTTTACGAATGACCTGGAGCTCGGCCGTAAACCGTTAGTGACAAAGTTAGGAAATGTTTGTGTCTGAGCAACAGCTGCTAGGGCTGCACAATACAAACACCACCGGTTTAACGTAGCAGAAACCCAACACCTCCAGCTGGACCTGAGAAGGACGGCTTTCTAAAGATCTGTCATCCATAAGAGTCATTTGGAAGTGCGTTTGTGCCTCATTAGTTATTTTATCACCTATTTATTTTTCACCCGTTTTCTAATTTGTTCTTTAAACCACTGGAAATTGCTGCTACTTGCATTTTTCTGTATCTAATGAAGCTGGACAGTAAATGCTGGTTCAGCTTCGGCGCTGAGCCAAAACGAAGCCCATTCTGTCTGATAAAGGAGATTGTGACAAATGCTTCGGTCCCATCAAGGTTGGGCTACTGGAACTCCCTTCATGCAGGTCTGAGCCAGTTGTCGCTCAAGGCTGCAAATAGTGCAAAATGCAGCTGCAAGGTTCATTTGTGGAGCCAAATAATGGTAAGATGTTCGTCCACTCCTTGATTGGCTATCAGTCCAGCATCGCGGTTTAGATTTTAATTTTCCATCGCTGTCGGGAACATTGCCACCCTATTACCCCATCAGTGAATCTCCAAAAGACCCCCAATTTTATTTTGACTACTGGGTCAACGATTTGGTATCTAGATCGATCTAGAGGCATCATGATTATCTCATATGGATTTGTTTTCATCAGTAAGTAGAAGATGACTCAACATGCCATCACCCAAAAGCGCTTCAATCCCAACCAGGGCCATGCACAGACCTTTGAAGGGGCGGGTGCTCAAAGATATAAAAGGAGCACTCATAGAGCTAAATTTTTAAACGGATTCACGATCCAACAAGTTTGAAAATTCAGACAACGAGAGACTCTTGGGTTCAAACAACATAATATAACCTAGGATGGATATTTCATTAATTGAAAGTAATGTTATTTAATAATTCAATTCAATTCAATTAAAAAATACTTTATTAATCCCAGAGGGAAATTGATTGCTGTAGTAGCTCAGAATAATAATAATAATGAAGTCATCAAAGAGTTGTTGTATATTACAATGGCTGTTGGCAGGAAGGATCTCCAGTAGCGGTCAGTGTTGCAGCCAAACTGAAGAAGCCTCTGACTGAAGACACTCTTCCGTTGTCGGACAGTCTTGTGAAGAGAATGCTCAGGGTTGTCCATCATTTTCTTGATTCTCTGGAGAATCCTTCTTTGCATGATCTCCTCCAGTGGTTCCACAGTCGTCCCCAGAACAGAACCAGCCTTTTTTATTAGGCTGTTGAGCCTTTTCAGGTCCCTGCTTCTGATGCTGACCAGCACCTGATTTATCATTGCCCATTATGATCGATGGAAGAGATGGTTTGAATTTCCTCTTTCTCTGTCTCCGTTTTGCTCCTGCTCTGCACCCACGCTTCTTGCGTTTTAGCTCATTTGGGATTTGTGGCTTCAGTTGAGGTATTATTTCAGCCTTTCCAATGTTAATCAGCTGCTCCCGATTGTAAACCAGCTTGTTGCCATGGTTACGCATCATAACAAATGCTCAAAAAGTGAAAAAATAGCAGTAAAAATCCTCCAAGCTTCACAGCACCAGAAACAGAAAAGTAAAAGAAGCGTGGGTGCAGAGAGGGAGCAAAATGGAGACAGAGAAAGAGGAAATTCAAACCATCTCTTCCATCGATCATAATGGGCAATGTGAGATCAGGTGCTGGTCAGCATCAGAAGCAGGGACCTGAAAATGCTCAACAGCCTAATAAAAAAGGCTGGTTCTGTTCTGGGGACGACTGTGGAACCACTGGAGGAGATAATGCAAAGAAGGATTCTCCAGAGAATCAAGAAAATGATGGACAACCCTGAGCATTCTCTTCACAAGACTGTCCGACAACGCAAGAGTGTCTTCAGTCAGAGGCTTCTTCAGTTTCGCTGCAACACTGACCGCTACTGGAGATCCTTCCTGCCAACAGCCATTGTAATATACAACAACTCTGTGATGACTTCATTATTATTATTATTCTGAGCTACTACAGCAACCAATTTCCCTCTGGGATTAATAAAGCATTTTTGAATTGAATTGAACACACACACACACACACACACACACACACACACACACACTGTTGATTTATACAGAGCTGACATCTGCAGTAAAATTTTATAATTTTTCTCATTTTCTATGATTATAATGCTAAAAACTGGAGATCATATTCTAATGTACCGTTTGTCATGTTGCCGCCACCTACTGGTGGAGCTGAGTATTGCCCTTTGCAGTGTGCTAAAATGGGCTAAAATAGAATACTACAGACTGAAATTCCTCTTATGCTAAGTAGAAACATAAACATGGTAGGCTTGTGTATTAATTAATATATTCTCATTTATCTGCAATTTTGATAATTGACTTCCTGTAAAACTGCTTATTTAGAGAAAGGAAATAATTGTTTATTTGAATACTTGTCCCTGCATAGAAATGTAAGGATAAACAATCCTGAATCGGTTTATTTGATACTTAACAAAACTGAGGAACCTACAAGGTGGAACAAAAGCAGGGTTGTTCAGGGTCTCCTTAATAAATCAACCCCAGCTGGGCCAACCAAAGCTCCTGAGCTGTTTTGTTTCACAAATAAGATGCTTCTCATTCATTTAGAGCGACCAGCTAACGGTCAGTGGGAGGCAGAGTGAGCTACTTTTCTTCTTGAATGATGGTGTAGCTCAGGGGAGTCAAACTCAAACTCACACGGGGCTGAAATGAAACTCTGGGACGGAGTCGAGGGCCAAACTTAATATTTTTTGAAAAAGTGGTGGCAAATTTCCACATTTTCTTTATCAACATATATGCAATTTTGAACCTTTAAATTTGGAAACAAACTTATTTCTGCATTAACACTGAATGTGGAATAACCAAATTACACACGAGCAAGTCAGTTTTAAATAAAAGGCATCAGTGGTATTCATTACTTGTGGTATAATCAGCATTTTTAAAATCTATTCAGGATTTATGTTTTCTTGTTGTTTATTAGTTTTTCTTATTTTTTATTCTCCTTTTTTCTCCTGTAATAAGTGTCATCGCTGCTGTGACATCTAGCTTTCCGCACTGAGGAACAATAAAGGGATTTTCTATTCTATTCATCTATCTGCAGCCTTTCCACTTCCTGTTTACTGTAGGTTAAATCTTTTCTCACGGGCCAACAACAAAATAAAAATGTAATTTTATCTTAAATGAAAATGCAACATCTCACCTGTTAACTTTCATGTTTTGGAGCAGAAAAAGAGCATAAAACCAACATATTTAAAGCTCAGTTTGTTCCACTGGTTTACTGTGATGCTCACCTGTTCCAGCCAGATACCTGCATCATGGGGTTCAGCTCTGAGCTGAGGAGGAGACTCCTGTTGTTTTGTTCATCTTCATCATAATAATGACAACATTAGATGACAACAGGTGCTCACATAGGTTTGTGCTGATGAACATGTCTGAGCAGCTTGACCACGTTGTTGTGTGTTGGGGAGGAAAAATAACAACTACAGCAGCCACAGAGCCGTGCTGGTTTGAGCGTGTCGCTGCTCGCTGGAGTTATATCAGCTCTGTCTGGAAGTTAGTTGGAAAACTTTCTCTTTCAGTCGTGAACACATTACTGAGCGGTTAAAATCTCCGTTTCTGGGCTTCAACATCGGAAAATAGCTGAGTGAACTCGACGCTGTGAGAGGAGTCTTTAGTTTGTCCGAGACAGCGGAGCTGCAGACACAGGCAGCAGACGCTGGAAAAAACATAAAGGAGGGGCGCATCGGCTTCGCGCTAACGCCGCAAAGCATCATGGGAGTTGTAGTCTTTGCTGTAAAATCGGCCAGCGGGTCAGTTTTAATATATTTTTTTATATTTACTGCGGGCCTTGTGTCTGACACGTGATGTAGCTGGTGGTTTAGTGTGTTCTGGGTCTTACATACCTAGCATAATACCCACACTAGAGAGTGCAGAGCTACTGCTTCCCAGGCTTTTCTCCAGAGCTGACACACCAAAGTCATTCAGATCCAGATCATCCAGGGCCGACTCTGTTACACGAGACCAGAACATCTCTAGTTAAAAACGGCTTCTTCAAATGTGGACCAAACTTTGTCATCCTTACATACCAACAACAGACTCCACCGTCTCACTGGTGGGGTAGAAGGGCAGGGCATTGGCGTTCATGCCTGAAGAGATGCTGGAGCACGGTAGTCCCAGAGGGGCGGGGCTTGGCGGCGTGGCAGCCAGGCTGGAAGGGATGCTGGAGGACAAACTCAAAGGGCTGCCAACAGGCAGAAACACCAATAGGTCCTGGAGAACAAAAAATGGTTGACTATTGTTTTCCATGTTCATGCTACAAAATGCTAATTTTTAAGTAAACAACATAAACCTGCTGAAGATAAAATTCACTAACAAACTTTAAGGAAAGCAAAACTTCAGCAGCATCAAAGCTCTGATACTGAAAGAGGACGTTCTCACAGGAACGAGAAGTCCTTCGAATCAGCTGTGAGAACCTTCCTCAGAAACAATCAAGCTAATTTGTTGTTTACATGAAGTCATGGTCAAAAAAAAGGTCCAATCTCTTTCAGCTCTGGTGTTTTACAGATCAAGGGATAGAGCAAGGCCTGTTCTTCATCGGGTTCAAATATCATGTGTAGAAACACAAACCAGGTTGTAACATCATGTCTGTAGAAACACACACCAGGTTCTAACGCGTGTAGAAACACAAACCAGGTACTAAAATGTGTGTAGAAACACAGAATCTAGCGTCATATGTGTAGAAACACACAACAGGTTGTAACAGCATGTCTGTAGAAACACACACCAGGTTCTAACGCGTGTAGAAACACACACCAGGTTCTAACGCGTGTAGACACACACACCAGGTTCTAACGCGTGTAGACACACACACCAGGTTCTAACGTGTGTAGAAACACAAACCAGGTACTAAAATGTGTGTAGAAACACAGGATCTAGTGTCATATGTGTAGAAACACACAACAGGTTGTAACATCATGTCTGTAGAAACACACACCAGGTTCTAACGTGCGTAGAAACACACACCAGGTTCTAACGTGCGTAGAAACACACACCAGGTTCTAACGTGCGTAGAAACACACACCAGGTTCTAACGTGCGTAGAAACACACACCAGGTTCTAATGTGCGTAGAAACACACACCAGGTTCTAACGCGTGTAGAAACACACACCAGGTTCTAACACGTGTAGAAACACACACCAGGTTCTAACGCGTGTAGAAACACACACCAGATTTTAACGTGCGTAGAAACACACACCAGGTTCTAATGTGCGTAGAAACACACACCAGGTTCTAACGCGTGTAGAAGCACACACCAGGTTCTAACGCGTGTAGAAGCACACACCAGGTTCTAACACATGTAGAAACACACACCAGGTTCTAACATGTGTACAAACACACACCAGGTTTTAACGCGTGTAGAAACACACACCAGGTTCTAACGTGCGTAGAAACACACACCAGGTTCTAACGCGTGTAGAAACACACACCAGGTTCTAACATGCGAAGAAACACACACCAGGTTCTAATGCGTAGAAACACACACCAGGTTCTAACGCGTGTAGAAGCACACACCAGGTTCTAACGCGTGTAGAAGCACACACCAGGTTCTAACACGTGTAGAAACACACACCAGGTTCTAACGTGTGTAGAAACACACACCAGGTTCTAACGTGTGTAGAAACACACACCAGGTTCTAACGTGTGTAGAAACACACACCAGGTTCTAACGCGTGTAGAAACACACACCAGGTTCTAACGTGCGTAGAAACACACACCAGGTTCTAACGCGTGTAGAAACACACACCAGGTTCTAACGTGTGTAGAAACACACATCAGGTTCTAACGTGCGTAGAAACACACACCAGGTTCTAACGTGTGTAGAAACACACATCAGGTTCTAACGTGCGTAGAAACACACACCAGGTTCTAACGCGTGTAGAAACACACACCAGGTTCTAACGTGCGTGGAAACACACACCAGGTTCTAACGCGTGTAGAAACACACACCAGGTTCTAACGTGTGTAGAAACACACACCAGGTTCTAACGTGTGTAGAAACACACACCAGGTTCTAACGTGTGTAGAAACATACACCAGGTTCTAACGTGCGTAGAAACACACACCAGGTTCTAACGTGTGTAGAAACACACACCAGGTTCTAACGTGCGTAGAAACACACACCAGGTTCCAGCATGTTTTTATTACCCAAACAAAGACAAAAGGTTAAAGCTGTGAGGGAACGTCTCCCTGTTGGTCCCAGAGGATTTGAGAGGAGCTTCAAAATCAGCAGCTGCTCATCAGACGGATCCATCTACTGATCATCAACAGTGTGAGCTGTTCTGCAGCATACAGGCATGTGTTTACACAAGGATCAAATACATCAGCAGTGATCCCAGAGAAGCGGCTGCTGCTGCCCACACTTCTGAGAAGGGTCAAAGGTGATCATTCTACAAAAGTGGGAAACGTATAAAACAACTTATAGGACATCCCACCAGACAACCCAAGGTCAGAGAAATGATAGAAACCCAAGAGCTCTACCTCAGACTCTACAGGCCTCAGCTAGCAGATTAGAGGTCAAAGGTCATAACAGGACAGTTAGAAACAGACTCAGTGTTTCCCCTAGGAATTTTTCCAGCTGTGGTGGTGGGGGTGGGGTTAAATTATGACACGTCTCACTTTTATGTTAATATTGATTTATTTGATGCACTCCACTTTGAACTGCACCAATCCAGCAACTGCTGCATTTTAATAACTAGTATTAAAGGTGAATACACCAATATTTGCACAAGAATAATTTCTGTTTTAAACTCTCAGTGACACACTTTGCAGGGGGGTTTGGCATTTAATTTTTCTTGGCGTCCAAGATCATTACTGGGCTGGCCCTATTAAACACCTTCTACACCCCTGCTTAGTAGACTTAATGAAGTATTTTTAAGTCAGTATAAAAATGACTGAAACACAAATTTACATATTTGGCATTATTGACCAATATCTTTGATTTATTGTTAAGAACATCAAGATGCATGACAGTGAACATTATAATAAAGTACATGTTTCTAGTGCAGAGAGGAGACGACCCATAGAAGCACTGATTTGATCTCATTTCAGAGAAAAATAGAACAGGTCAGATGCACCTAATAAATAAAATTACTAACATAAACTCAGGAATCTGTTTCTTTGCTTCATTGTTCTGGTGCTGAAAATATCACTAATGCGGATCAAAGGAGACACACAGATGACTGCACCTCTTATTTATTATTTGGAAATGAGTGGGTGTGTCTTAGGTGTGTTCTTGCCGTGTCGTATCTCTAATTCCATGCTGTAGTTCTTTTTAAAACACAGAGCAGTTTCCTTTACCCGTTTTCCCGCTACGTTTCCTTTGCAGCCGCAAAGGAAACGTAGCTGTTTACTAGGGTAGGACGATTCAGAAACAAAGCATATCAATAAAAAAAATCCATATTGATCAATAACAATAATTATTGATAGTTATAAAAAAATGTAAAATACCTTTTAAATACAGCCCTGGTTATTTTATGTCATCACTTTATGATAAAACAAGTTGGTTGTGTTCCCAAACTTGATTTTTACTTGATTGTCTGAAAAACTTTTCAACTGACCATTGTGTCTTTTTATGTGAGACTTGTAAAAACCTAAATATCACCATGCTAGTGAACTAATGCAGACTTTTTACGGGACAATTCCCTCCACCGCTCTTTGCTGCATGTCGCTGTCTGTTTTGGTTTGAGGGGGTAAGACTTTGCGACGGAGCATGCCTGGGTCTGTTGATTGGCTGGGAGTAAATACTGACTCTAGAATTAAGCTACCCGATAGGTTAAAATATAAAAAAAGACAGGAAACGTAACTGACTATATATATATATATATATATATATATATATATATATATATATATATATATAGTTATTGAATTATTGTCTAGCTCTACTGTTTACCCACAATGCACTGCTCCTTGTTAAGAGAAAACTATGCAGATAGAAAATAGACGGGAAATGCCATTAGCACGTCATAACATCAAATTAGCATTCATATATTTACACATCTTGGCTCGCGACGAGGAAGGCTGTTGATTTTGTCATCCAGGAGAAAGCTGAGCACATCTTAGCTATCATAAGCTAACCATTAGCATTAGCAACTCCACCACATGGCAGGACTCCTTCAGGCTTTTGTTATTTGTTGAGATAAAACACCAACGTTATAGAGAAAATAAACTCAGTGGTAGTTGCGTTGCTGTTAGTCAATCAGGGGCAAGATATCCGGATATCAGGAAATTATCTTCAAATCCTGCTGCGTTCTGCTCACCTTTGCTCTGGCTAATTTCTAGTTCCTGAAACAGGAGCTTGTTTTCCCACAGAGGTCAACTCATAAGGCATTCATTTTCTCTAGAGACCACTGAAAATGGGTAGAAAAATGAGTGAACTCTGTCTTTAGTAGATAATTAACGGAGGAAGTCTGTTTTGTGTTTCTGAACACCTGAAGTTAGATTGAACAGGTTTAGAACCTGGAGAAGGAAGCCCTCGGAGGCTCTGATGGTAAATTCTCACACACCAGATACCCAGTGTGTACCGTCTCTACGTGCTCAAGACTGGTGGTACCTGTTTGCTGTGTGCTGATGTAAACTCTTTGCTGCGATGCTCCAGGGAAAAACTTCGGTGTTTGGCCTTAAATCACAAAAAAACAAAAATCCACCATCATTAAACAGTTCTGTGTCTTTACGTCAGCTCACAGAGACCAGACGTCCTCTTCACTCAGGACTTTCACCTCACCTGATCTTCACGTTCAAACCCAGGAGCCCTGCCGTACGCCCCATGCCCCGCCCAAGGAGACAGGGGGTCTGGCCCCCCAATGGCATCCTCACACAGAGACAAGACACCACCCAGCAGCCCCTGCTCGGATGCAGAGAGGGAGAAGAGATCTGAGGCGGAGCAAGGCCCAGGACCCACGTTGAGACTGCTGGGACTAAGAGGAGCCTCCTGGCCCGGGAGGGGTTCTGCAGGTCTTGAGACTGGGGGGGAGCTGGGGTTGGGGAAGGATGGTTCTTCATGAAGAAAAGGCTCTGGGGGGAAAGCAGCATAGAGGTGAAATGAGTAGGGCTGTAAGAAAATATCAGTGCAGTGGAATATGGGGATATTTGGTGTTTTTAACGAGAATGTACACGCTAACGTTTCTTCTGTGTGGTGCACTTCAAACTCTGACAGCTAGATGGCGGCAGTTTTTACCGCCTTCACTGTAACGCTAACACTGAAGGGGTATTTTAAACGTTTGGCCTGAGTTTTACATTCAGTCTAAAGAATGAGAAATACGGTCAGGCCTTTTGGTGTTGTGATGCATCTCATCGTCTCCCGTATGCCCCATGTATCGTGGGGTTTGTATCGTGTTGCCAAGTGAGTGTTTGTCGAGCAGAGGTCGGGACTCACTGTCTACATGAGCGAAGGCACAGAAGGGTCCTCTGGGACAGCTCCCACTCTGCTGCATGTCGTTACATTTGGTCGACTTGTAGATCTGGAACAAGATCAGCTCAGAGTGAATCATCAGCTGGGAGGTCTGGTAGAAGGACGGAGAAAGGAGCTGACCTCTGGGTGGAACTGCTGCTCGGTTCTGGTGTGGCAGTACTGACAGGCCTCAGCTCCCTCACACTTGCTGGGGTCGCCCCACTCCTCTCCCTGTTTCACCGACGGACACGGCAGCGCCCTGCAGGTGAGAGCAGACGTGAGCACCTGGAGTCCAGCAGGACTGCTATGTAGGCAGCGGGACGATGGGGACACCTGTATTTGTGCTTGTGCGGGCTGCGCCTCCTGTCCTTGCTGTTGTGGTAATACGGACAGGCGTATCCCTGACGACACAGGCGGGGGGGTTTCTTACACAGCTCCGTCTTGTAGTGTGACAGCACATAATTGTGATCTGAAGGAAGAGAAGAAGAACGTCCACACATAACCAGAACTGGTCTAGGAATCATAACTGGCAGCAGAAGGATTTTGTTTGAACTGGATTTGCTGAGTCAGCATTTGCCAGGTCTGTGGGAAAAAACAGCTTAGAAACACGGAGGAGTTTCCCGCCAAACTGGTGACGGTGCTAAACCAGGTCAGGTTCCACCTAACAGACCATAACATCACTCCTGACCTTCAGCTCACTTCTACACCCAGATGGTGCTGGAGAGACAAAAGAGGTGTTTTGTTCCCACACACTCAGAGTGTGTGGGAATGACTCCACGCTGCTCATGTGGATTTTTAGTGGTTTGTGATTTAAGCTCACGTACGACAGAGCCCTTTACAGTAGACTGAACCATGGCTGCACGGCGTGGAGAACGGCTGCCTCGTGATCTGGACCAATGTTTCTTTTTTGACTCGCGGACGCCCCGAGCCGTTTTCTCGTACCGCGAATACCCTCTTAGTCAAACGAGCTGACGATTCCCCACAAGTAGAATGTACAACTGACTGTTAAATGAAAACAATTTCATTAAATCTCCTTAACGCTGAACCACGTCTCACGTCCTGTGGGGCTCAGTCCTCAGGCAGGGTCCAGACTCCTTGTGGAAACTTTCTGGAGCTCTGCGTCCGCACCACAGCTGGTGTAAATGCTCCGATTGGACTCAGTGATTTCTGATCCATGTGAAACTGGACCGTATCCATTCTGCATGTGGTCAAGGCTTCAGGCCCTCTCTCTGTAGCAGCTGCAGCCCTGCTCTGGTTTTTTCTTCATGTAATGTTTCTTAACCCTGGTCCTCAGCTCCCCCGTCCTACTGGTTTTAGGTGTTTCCCTGCTGCCACACATCTGACCTAGACAAATAAGTGATTAACAGGTTTCAGCAGCACTTGATGTCATCCTGAGAAGGCCATGCAGATTTATAAATCGGGTGGGCTGAAGTAGAGACATGGAAAACATGCAGGACATGGGGACGCTTAATAAAAGCTGGTTTATTTTTCATTTATATAGGAATGGGCCGTCTGGCCTAAAAACCTATATAACAATGTATCGTTTATTTATGTCAAAATGATGGTTTTTACATTCTCACACAGCAGATGAATTGCAGCTGAACAAATACTTCTAAAAACTATTGAAGAACATTTAATGTTCAAAACTTCTTTTTAAAATCACAAAAACTTTCAGGTAGTTTTTATGTTGTGTTGTTATTCATTCTCCAACAAAGCAACACAAAACTCCTCATAAAATGAAAAAAGGTGAAGATATTTCAATAAAATACGAGCTAAATGGGATGAAAGCCCAAATTTATAAATAATTTAAACTGAAGTGAAACGTGTCAAAACAGAAATCACATTTCTTCCTACTTTCCTGATTCATTTCATTGGTTTTCATGAGTTTCGTTTCTCATAGAAGTTAAGTTTCGCTTCCCTAGTGGATAACTGCAGGTAAAAACATGATTTGCTGCGTTTTTTTATCGACAATATCAAATAAGGTTGGAGGTTTGTTCTTTTTCTCGGCCTGTTCGAGCGATGCTCTGATCAGCAAGTCTGGGGTTATTGGAGGTCAGACCTGCGATGCGCACCGGCCACAGAGACAGACAGGGTGAGGAAAACTGCACACAACTCCCGTTTTAATAAGAGAAACAGCTGCGGGTGGAAATTGGTTCTCACTAAATCACGAGTCGGGAGATGTTCAAAAGTTTAGAAGCCTGTGTGTTTATTGTGTGTTTATTGTGTGTTAATCGTGTTTTTATCATGTGAATCATGCGTTTATCGTGTTTTTATCGTGTGTTTATCGTGTTTTTATCATGTGTTAATCGTGCGTTTATCGTGTTTTTATTGTGTGTTTATCGTGTTTTTATCGTGCGTTTATCGTGTGTTTATCGTGTTTTGATCGTGCGTTTATCGTGTGTATCGTGTTTTTATTGTGTGTTTATCGTGTTTTTATCGTGTGTTTATCGTGTTTTGATCGTGCGTTTATCGTGTGTATCGTGTTTTTATTGTGTGTTTATCATGCATTTATCTTGTGTTTATCGTGTTTTTATCGTGTGTTTATCGTGTGTTTATCGTGCGTTTATCGTGTGTTTATCGTGTTTTGATCGTGCGTTTATCGTGTGTATCGTGTTTTTATTGTGTGTTTATCGTGTTTTTATCGTGTGTTTATCGTGTTTTGATCGTGCGTTTATCGTGTTTTTATCGTGTGTATCGTGTTTTTATTGTGTGTTTATCATGCATTTATCGTGTGTTTATCGTGTTTTGATCGTGCGTTTATCGTGTGTATCGTGTTTTTATCGTGTGTTTATCGTGTTTTTATCGTGTTTTTATCGTGCGTTTATCGTGTGTTTATCGTGTTTTGATCGTGCGTTTATCGTGTGTATCGTGTTTTTATTGTGTGTTTATCGTGTTTTTATCGTGTGTTTATCGTGTTTTTATCGTGTGTATTGTGTTTTTATTGTGTGTTTATCATGCATTTATCTTGTGTTTATCGTGTGTTTATCATGCATTTATCTTGTGTTTATCGTGTTTTTATCGTGTGTTTATTGTGTTTTTATCGTGTTTTTATTGTGCGTTTATCGTGTGTTTATCGTGTTTTGATCGTGCGTTTATCGTGTGTATCGTGTTTTTATTGTGTGTTTATCATGCATTTATCTTGTGTTTATCGTGTTTTTATCGTGTGTTTATCGTGCGTTTATCGTGTTTTGATCGTGCGTTTATCGTGAGTATCGTGTTTTTATTGTGTGTTTATCGTGTTTTTATCGTGTGTTTATCGTGTTTTGATCGTGCGTTTATCGTGTTTTTATTGTGTGTTTATCATGCATTTATCGTGTGTTTATCGTGTTTTGATCGTGCGTTTATCGTGTGTATCGTGTTTTTATTGTGTGTTTATCGTGTTTTTATCGTGTGTTTATCGTGTTTTGATCGTGCGTTTATCGTGTTTTTATCGTGTTTTTATTGTGTGTTTATCATGCATTTATCTTGTGTTTATCGTGTTTTTATCGTGTGTTTATCGTGTTTTTATCGTGTTTTTATCGTGCGTTTATCGTGTGTTTATCGTGTTTTGATCGTGCGTTTATCGTGTGTATCGTGTTTTTATTGTGTGTTTATCGTGTTTTTATCGTGTGTTTATCGTGTTTTGATCGTGTGTTTATCGTGTTTTTATTGTGTGTTTATCGTGTTTTTATTGTGTGTTTATCATGCATTTATCTTGTGTTTATCGTGTTTTTATCGTGTTTTTATTGTGCGTTTATCGTGTGTTTATCGTGTTTTGATCGTGCGTTTATCGTGTTTTTATCGTGTTTTTATTGTGTTTTTATCGTGTGTTTATCGTGTTTTGATCGTGCGTTTATCGTGTGTATCGTGTTTTTATTGTGTGTTTATCATGCATTTATCTTGTGTTTATCGTGTTTTTATCGTGTGTTTATTGTGTTTTTATCGTGTTTTTATTGTGCGTTTATCGTGTTTTGATCGTGCGTTTCTCGTGTGTATCGTGTTTATATTGTGTGTTTATCATGCATTTATCTTGTGTTTATCGTGTTTTTATCGTGTTTTTATTGTGTTTTTATCGTGTTTTTATTGTGCGTTTATCGTGTGTTTATCGTGTTTTGATCGTGCGTTTATCGTGTGTTTATCATGCGTTTATCGTGTGTATCGTGTTTTTATTGTGTGTTTAATGCGTTTTTATCGTGCGTTTATAGTGTTTTTATCGTGTTTTTATCGTGTGTTTATCGTGTGTTTATCATGTTTTATTGTGTGTTTATCGTGTTTTTATCGTGTGTTAATCGTGTGTTTATCATGTTTATCGTGTGATAAAAAAAACAAACGGAATTAACGAGCCATTAGGTTTTACTGTCGCCAGAATTATTTGCTGAGGGCGTTTCTCAGTTTAACATCAGGTCCGCTGTTCTGATTGGTCATTTTTGAGCTGCCTAGTCCCGCCCCTCACGTGCCTCTCTGCCTGTGAGTTACCAGACTCTCTCTCTGTGCAGAATTAAACAGAGGACGAGTCTGGCAGGCCAGGCTACTTATCATCTGGGTAATGACATATACATTTTTCCACGTACAGGAGTAATACGCTCACGCACCTCTAGGGGTACCCCTGCCTGGGAATCACTGATCCTGACTCCTAAAACAGAAGCAGACTCAAGCGTCACCTTGCCAGCGTGGTTCTTCACTCAGGATCTTCTCTATCAGGGCAGTGCTTGCTGCTTGTCCAGACTGCCCGTCTCCTCCACCTCCTTCCGCCGCCCCCGAGCCTCCCTGAGACTCCATCACCTGCATTTCTCTGCAGGACACAAACAGACTGTCAGCCACGGCGAGAGGGGGAGGGGGTAAACAGCTGGAATAACCTGATACCTGATATCATACACTGGGCTGCGCAGGTCATGTGATCCGTGAGCAAAGGCGCAGTGGGAGCCGTTCTTGCTGCAGTGGCCTTTGGAATCCGTCTCATGGATGCACGAGCCGGTCTTATAGTAGCGGAGGTGGTATCTCCGCTCCGTGTCTCCGGCTGTTCGGTGCAGGAAGGGACATCTGGAGCACACAGGTGGGGTTAAATCAGGGTTCAAGGATGTTTAATGTCAGCAAACCTTTAAATAACAACAGATAAGGTTTAACACTGGTGACACAACAAGACAGAGGCGGGCAGGCAGCGATTAGTTGTAAAATCTGTAGGGGTGCAGCAAACATTTAAAGATCTAGAGAGCACCGTTTATAAAGTGGCTTTGCAGCTGGAGAGGCCGTCTGCACACGAGTCAAAACAAAAGCTGTCAGTGTCTGTGGTAAATGAGCTGCATCCCATAATAGTTTAAACCTATCAGCCGCTCAAAAGTTACAAACTCATCACTGAAATTGTAAAATAGTAATATCACGGTAAATAATATGTTGTACAAGAGCATTTGAGTTACTTGAGTCTCTGATTTAAACTTTTTTTTTTCACATTTGTTCAGCCAAGCTTCCCGAAGCGCTGCTGAGCTGAAAACAGGATTGATCCAGAATGGTTAGGGCTTCAAACCAGTCAGCATAAGTAGAAAACACACAGCTGCACTCCCACTGTCTTTTATTTAAGGTCATCTAAACAGGATCTCCCTGCTGAGAACAAAGCAGATGCTAAATCTGTGTGTTGGGAGGTCCTAAAAAGGCCAAAAGGAGAATTACGGCAGGTCCAGGCTGAAGATGTATGAACACTCTTTCAGATTAAAACGTACAAGTCTGAAGGATGATGCTCCAGAATTACACAACACACCCGATACGACTCGTGGTAACCACAACAAGCTAGCAGCATTCTGAGGAAACAAGCTAACAGCCTTAAACACGGGCCCATCACAGCTCCTTCTGATGTGGCCCGTGGGCCTCAACACAACGGTAGAACGTAGTCGTGCTACAAGCAGACAGCGTTCTTTCATGTCAAGTTTTTCACTCATGTAAGGTCATGCAAAAACGCATGAAAACAGAAAATCTCTCTAAAACGCTAAAATACAAAGCAGTATTTATCTTTCATGGGATGGGGACGGCTTTGGCATCAACTCTGGACTATTTAAACTTCTTTGAGTCAAAAGCAGGTAGAGGTACGCAAGTTTATTTAGTGTGTGAAACAAATAACGTTTTCTATTCTATTCATGCTTTGAGAGTGTATGGTGGACTGCCCCACTGACTGACATCCATAGAGGTGAGTACGTCACGTTGTTCATTATCCAATAGCATGAGGAGACGGTCTGAAAGGCAACCGTGGATACCACCACACGACTGAGAGGCATGAACGGGTTGCCAGGCTAGCCCAAGCTGTATGAGCTAAATGAAGGTGAGCTGCGTTGAGCTATGAACCACACCAAATATAGCAAATACTGCTGAGGAGCGACCCGCAGTGAGTGAGGCAATCATACCAGACCCGTTTCATGTCTGACTAAAAAGTAGAAGTTTTCTACAAAAAATAAAATTTGTATTTTTTATACCAAATGTATGGGTGGCTGGTGTATTCTTGAGCAGATAAAAATGAAAACCACAATAAATCATTTTCGTTTCATTTCTAAACAACTGAATCTTGGTGGCCTGTGAGGACTTTCAGCTTTGGACAAGCTGGGAGACCCCTGGGTCAGATCTCACAAAGCAGCCATCAGCGGTGTTCCTCCTCTAGGACAGGCACACCAGCAGATGCAGAGTGAGCCTTCCTTCATTCAGACATGACGCTGAGCAACCTCGAAGCCAAAAGAGAGTTGGAGGAGCAGCATCATCTGTGATGGTTTGACCCTTTTAAACCTAATTTGGAACAGTCTGGAACCGCCCGGAAGCTTCGGTTGCACTCACTCGTCTCCTTCAGGACAGGTACCCGTCCCCTCATCGTACTTGGTGCAGTAGACATCTGGGCTGTAGTTGAAGGTTCCGTCCCGTCTGCGGATGGGTCTCCGGCGCCTCTGGTTAAGGAAATGCCAGTGGAAACAGGAAAAGGGCCGGTGTTGTGTACATTTGTGCTGAACAAACAGGGGACACTGCTCAGTTCTGAACTCTTTGAGATATCTGCAAAAAAAAAAAAAAAAGAGGACAACAAATGAGTGTGAGACATGTGAGTCAGTGTTGATGTTTGTAGACAAACATGCTAAGTCCTAATAAACAACAATGGTTTCTAATGATCAAACCCAAAGCTAGTCCCATTTGTTCTTGTAAAACTGGTCCCCAGTCAGTAGCTGTTCTATAAAGCTGGTTGAAATGTTTTTTGCAATAGCTACACGATTGTAACCAAAATGTAGCTTTAATAAAGCACAGCTGCTTTCAGAGGAAGGCTAGGCCTCTTCAACAAAAACAACAGCGCTCGTCAGCATAGGCTGCGTCATTTTGCCCAGTAAAAGTTCATTGCGTAAACACTAAAGATAAGCAAATGTAGTTTTGTGAGTAAACCTGCACGTGAAGTCACGTATAACCAGTTACGTACGTGTAATGTTGAGGTTTCTCAGGCTGTACGTTCAACACGGTTGCAGGAGACGTCGAGCCCCCTGCGGGGGAGGACGAAGAAGACGAGGAGGGTACTCCGGTAGTCGTTGCTACCGAAGACGACGGGGGCTGTGGATTTGTTTTAGACATTTAAGCAGCCTGAAACCTAACAAGAAGCTTGTTTTTAGCTTGCTAGCTAGCTATCCTTATTAGCTTCGAAATCCGCATTCTCCAACGATGTGAGCTTGCGCAAGGCGAGGGGAAGTAGTAGAAAAAGGACAATCAGAAACAACAAAGAATTGTGGGAAATGAAGTTATTTTCTTACTTAACGAATGTTTGTTTGAATTAAGAAAACACCGGTCAGACTGGATTATGCACCTTGATAGCAGAACATAAAATAAGGCCATATTAAACTTCCATTTAGAAAACAAGGAGCAATATTCGTTATTTTTAATCATTTTTAACACTTTGTTCTTATTGGCTGTCTCGTCCTCGCTCTGCTAAGTGAGCCAATGAGGATGTAGGATGTTACAGACATGACGTCACGTTAAAGTATTAATAGTTTCGTTCGCGGTCTCGCTTACAGTCTTGTCCAACTGCGAAATCCGGTTCAGGCTTTCCTTTAACAGCTACTGCAATTGAAAGAACAACGTCCTAAAGGTAAATATAACCTCTTCGATATGTTCATACAACGTCTATATGAAACTAGTTATTGTGGCATTTTTTTGTTGATTGTGTTTTTTGTTTACAAGAATATTTGCGCCAACATGTCGACTCGTCGGTTGCGTTCACTAAAAATAGAACAATGGAAACCGAAAACTATTCACATTTTTCTCTAAATGTCGTGGTCTGGTCAGATTTCAAACTGGTGGATGAAAACCAGCTTGAACTTGGGATATTGGGTAGATGTTGTACATTGGTTGAAATCCACACTAGATAAGGTTGTTGGGCTTGTGATGAAATTGTATAGAATCGCTAGGGACGAAAATAAAAATGGCGAGGTCGAAAAGAAGAGCCGCTCTGCTTCAGCCGCCATTTGTTATGATAAAAATGCTAACAGTTAGCATTAGCTTAATACCCACCGTAGGTAAACAAAGTCGAGAATAATAAAACATTGTATTATCTAAGGTAATTGTTTGTTTTAGCGACTTTCTGTGAGTTTTGTGGCGTTTTTAGTAATAATTTTGTAAACTACACGCGATTGTTGTCGAAGGCCGACGCCTCCCTCCATGGTTACAGCTTTGGGGGAGGGGTGCTTGTTGCGTTAGCTTGCCTCTTGTGCGTTCGCGGTATTTCCCCTCCGGGTTTGAAACGTTAGGGAGGCTGCTGACTTTTAAGTAACGATCTTTTGTGTTTCATGAAGTTCGCTATGGCTCGTACGAAGCAGACAGCCCGTAAATCCACTGGAGGAAAGGCGCCAAGGAAGCAACTCGCCACCAAGGCAGCCAGGAAGAGTGCCCCGTCCACAGGGGGCGTTAAGAAGCCCCATCGTTACAGGTATGAATCATTACACTAAACTATTGTCACCACGTAAAAATTCTGGTTTGTCATTACAGGATTTGAATCTTTTTTCTTTTTTTTTGTTTTCTAGGCCCGGAACTGTGGCCCTGAGGGAGATCCGTCGTTACCAGAAGTCCACAGAGTTGCTGATCCGCAAGCTTCCCTTCCAGCGCCTTGTGAGGGAAATCGCTCAGGATTTCAAGACTGATCTGCGTTTCCAGAGTGCTGCCATCGGAGCTCTCCAGGTGAGTGGTTTAAAAGTATGCTTGCAAATGTTCTGAGTGGTTTTGGTTTTTTTACTCAACCATGTTAATTGTTGTTCCACTTGACAGGAGGCAAGTGAGGCTTACCTTGTGGGTCTGTTTGAGGACACCAACCTGTGTGCCATCCACGCTAAACGTGTCACCATCATGCCCAAAGACATCCAGCTGGCCCGCAGGATAAGGGGAGAAAGGGCCTAAAGGGCCCAGTAGCTGCATTGTCACCAGAAATGATCCTATTTATCATACTTAAACCATTTTGTGGACATTTTTATTTCTTTATTTTTTATGAGTTCCTTTTTTGGATTATGTATTTTTAGTGATACAATAAGTCATTCCACCCAAAAAAAAGTACACTAAAGGGTAGTAGTGGATCTACAGCCTTTAGATCATGCTACATGTAATGCGTCACAATCCTTTAGGAGGATTAGTTCATCTTTTGAGGGGCACCATTTCTTTACCCATCTACAGTTGATCATGAAGCGCCAGCATGCTGACATCACTGCAGTGCCAGGGTATTCAGGTTGTTGTTGTTGTGGTACTGATACTTAAAAGAGCGTCGGGGCCCATCTGCATTTTTCTGGGCCGCTTTTTACATGTTTTCTCCCGACAAATCTTGGCAGCTACATTTATTAGTATTTATGAAAATGTCATCTTTCTATTAAAGGTCTTTATGAATACTGTGTTCTGTGACTTTATTCAAACACTGGTTCATTGTGGGTTTGATCTGATATTTTATTTGTAGTTGGCGTGTTATACAAACCATTCAGTGTGATTAAAACCAGTAGCTGTAAGGCAAAAGGCAGCAATTTAATGAAGGGGTCACAAATATAATACTGGTGTGTCTATGCCTCACCGATATGACAGACGATATCTTCGCACTCCTTGATGGTGCAAGCTCTCAGTACAACGCAGTAAAATCCAGGTGACTGGGGGGTTTAAATGCAACCGCTACCACCATCAATGATGTACTCACGCCACGCAGAAGGCAAAAGTAGTCTTGCTGAGCAAACCTCCCCACACAGGAAATCTCAGGGTAGTGGTGCTCGAACAGCTTCTGAGGAAATATGCCTCTTCAGCATGATGAATTTAAAAGACTCACCAGTGATCTGTCCTCCGTGCATGTCAGATGTGTTTCCTTCGTATCCAAAAGCACCTCCTGAGGTCCAGAATAAACAAGAGTTTTCCAAAGTATGTAGGTAAAAAAAACACCATGGCTGCAGGCAGAGGTGATTTTACCTTGCTTGGCAGGTTTTTACGCAACACCTGTGGAATTGCATGCTGCAGGACTTGCCTCCGAACTGCAAGTTCACACCAGTAGTTGGTTATAAACATACAAACCGGGTGAGTTAAAGCCGTAAACTTACCAGGCCAATATGTGCTTTGCCCAGAAACCGCACAATGTACACAACTCTGTAGAAGAGATTAGAATTTGTCTCCCGAAAGCAAGACCAGAATCTTGATGTGCCGTGCACACTCACCGTCCATCTTTAAGACACTGGGAGGACGATGGCGGCCTTTGTTCGCGGCTCGGCTGTCTGTGGGAAGCAGGACCGAGCTGCAGGTGTGGGTTCTCCATCCTCAAGGTTTGCAGAAGTTTGATGAGGGGCCCTCCATCTCAGAACATGGATGGACAAAGGGTGGCCCCTGAGCCGGGACAGGACCACGCCTGCCTGTCAAGACAAATATGAACATTTTCAATGCCGTTTGTTCAAAATGACAATAACGTAGTCAGAATGGCACCTTGAGCCTTGTTGTTTTTAACTTCTATTTTACTACCGTTTACGTGAGCGGTCTTTAATGTTGTACATCTGTGCAATGACAATAAATTATCTTGAAATGGCGACTTGCGCCACAGGACTGATCCGTGCACTGCTGTAAACAGATGATGTCACCACACTTCACGAATCATGAGGGTGTCCTCACCTGTCCATTTTTTGAATTTCTCAGCGAAGTCCCGTTGATCTCATCGATGATGTCACCAGGCGAGATGAACTTGTCAGCATGAGCCTGACTGCCAGGTATGAAGTCCAGGATGAAGACACGCCCACTGAGATACCTGAAAGTCGGACAGACGGTGAGGTTTGGACTCACCCCGGCATCAGAGAAAACACACATACGAACCTCAAAACCATCCCAACCTGTCGGCAGGGCACTACTTCATAGACCTCACAGACCTGGAATAAGTAAACAATCCCATCAGACCTCCTGCTTTTCTGTGGTTATTATTAAAGTTTCACTGCTGTGTTGGGTGGAGCAGAAATGCTCTTCTTACTGGTATGAGCCAGCTCTCATCTAAAAACCTGCAGTTCTGTGCAGAAAGAACAGACAGACCATAGCTGTTTAAACGTTGGGTTTGAGAGGAGATACTTTTATCAAAGGGGACATATTATACCTTTGTAAGTTAGTCCTGTGGTTGATAGAAACCCTGTTTATGTAGGTTTTTGCACCAGATGCCTCCCACATAAAATATTTTCAGCAGTTCTAGTCTTTTCAGAGCGGTTTCATGGCTCTGTCACTGGAGTTGTCAACGCCTGCCCATCCCCTGCTCAGGCTGCTAAAAGCCAAGAAGCTCTGAGTGAGGGGCTCTGAGTAGAGCTGCTGCTCCTCCAGGATCCGTAAGTGGGAGGGGAGTCTATAAAAATTCCATCTGATGTCACAAATGAGGACTTTTTGAAACAGCTTGTTTTAGACACACAAACCAAACACCAAACGTAAAGGGATGGGTGTGTTTTTTTTTATTTTTTTTCTCATTTGAAGTGTTTATAGAGGCAGAGCCCACACCACAGCAAAATAATAATATGTCCCTTTAAGATAAACATATCCACCTTATTCCTGGGCCAGCTAGTGAACTTTGTCATACTTGTAAATAATTTTCTTGAGCCAATGTGTGCTAAAATGACCCTTCACAGCAGGGATATTCAATTCTGGGCCTGAAGAGTCGATATCGAGCATGTTCTAGGGGGTTTCTCTGCTCCAACACTTGATTCAGTGGTTGAATCACCTGTGCAGAAGCTCATCGAGCTCTTCAGAACCCTGTTAATTACCTGCTGATTGAAATCAGGTGTGTTGAAATAGAGTTAAAACTAAAACGTGCTGGATACCGGTCCTCCAGGCCAGGAATTAAAAATCCTGACAGATCTACATCACACTGTCACTTAGCGTTCATGAACTCACCCATCTTGACTCACGACAAGGAAGGCTGCTGTTGTTTTTGCATCCAGGAAACAGAAAAGAATGTCTCGGCTAGTAGAAGCTAACTGTTAGCATTAGCAACTCCTCCACACAGCAGAACTCCTTCAACCTTGTGCTAATTGTGTAGATAAAACCATAACATTGCAAAGCAAATGGAGTCTCTGTGGCCAGAATATTCCACTTGCAACGTCAGACTGGCGGCCGCTCTGGGACTTGGGAGAATTGGAGCTGACTCACCTGGTGCAGCAGTCTGCTTCCAGCACATTTCCTGCATGTTTTAGATCATGAACACAACTGATGTGTTTAATTTAGTGATGAATCACTCCTGTAGACTCTAATGAAGGCTGGGAAGACATTTCTGCTGTTAAACTGAGGTGTTAAAAAGAGAAACGCACAGCGAGGAGTTACGTTTTGCTTTCGGTCCTACAACTGGACACTAGGAGGTGCTAAAAGCAAGCCAAAACTGCCTAGTTCCCCTGTTAACCTATCATAAAAACGACCATTCATTAACATCCTGCTTTTGTATTTCAGCTGATGTAGAAACTAAAACCCCACGCTTGGTGATCAGGGATGTCGTCATTGGTAGTGGTCTCTGGTAGGCATTAATGCCTTGCAAGCTGTACTCAGGGCAAAAAAAGCCCAGAAATGCACGGACAAGTCTGCCACATCAGAGGAGAGCTGAACACAGCATGATTTGGAGTATTTCCTGATATTTGGACATTTTGCCTCAGATTGAGTAACAGCAACTCCACTCTGCTGCTGACTCTATTTGCTCTGATGTTGATGTCTTATCTCCACAAATAAAACAACCCTGGAGGAACTTCTGCTGTGTGGTTGAGTTGCCAATGGCTAGCTTCTACTAGCTGAGATGTTCAATGCTGGTCCTGGACACTAAAACAACAACAACAACCTTCCCCGTTGCAAGCCAAGATGGGTAAGTCCAAGCAACCGCTTGGCGTAGATCTGTCAGGCTTTTCATATCCTAGACTTTCACCATCTATTGTCTATCAGAAGCCAATAATGACTCATTTTCATCAGAAATAATTATAAAAAAATGTTTTTTCAGCACACCTTTAATACCACGTAGGTACTGATGAGTCTCAGAGCTTCTAAGATAGTAGCCAAAATGCCACTGTATGTTAGCTTTGGCCAGATTTTCATATCATCCTCCACCCCTCTATTGCAGGAGGCAGAGGAGTTGTAACAGTGTCTTGTTTGAGCCGTGGCAGCTGGAGATGGTTTACGTCTCTAAAAAGACAAGAAAGAGTGGATTAGTGCGAAGGGATGGTGTCAAACATCTATGGTCTCCGTGTGAACAAACGCGGGGCCAGAAGTAGGTCGCATTTATTTCACGCTCATGGGGACTAGGAATAAGGTGGATAGACGACATTACTCAGAAATTGATAAACAATGGATGATTGTTGTCTGACCTCCATGTTCAATGTGAATTCCATGTTGGAAAGGACAAGCAGCAGGGACATGAATGGTTCTGGAAAAAGAGGAGAAGCATTTCCACTGGTGACGGATGAAAACCAGTGGATTTAGTAGAAACACGTCAACTAAAACTCCTCACCCACAAATTCTTCATTCCTGAGGATTGATAGAACTGGGACGTACCACTGAGGAGGAGGAAGAGAAGAAAGTCACCAGAACAGAGGCTTCCCGTATGGGATGCCGACTGTAAAGTAATAAGTTCCCTTTAGTTTTAAGTATCTCTATTTGATGCCTTATTTGGATTAATGTTTTAAAGTTTATACAAAGTTGCAGTTTACCCCTTTTTATCATTAGGTTCAGGTATATTTGTTTATAATTGTAATTGTATTAATAATATTATTATCATCTCCTATATTATTATCGGAGACAAACGTTAGTGCCTGTTCACTCATCAAAATCAGCTTTCTGCACTCCATTGTGAGCAGTGATTGAAACAGTGTGTGTGTGTGTGTGTGTGTGTGTGCGCCTGACCTCCAGGACTCTGGGTGTGTGCAGCAGGTGTGTGAAGAACTGAGGCAGGGTCCTGCGGCTGAGAGCCAGTCTGAGGAAGTAGCGGCCTTGTCCCTGAGCTGAGAGCAGCTTCCTGCAAGCTCTGGTCTGCTCAATAGCCAGGGAGAGAGCAGATAGCCTACACACACACACACACACACACACACACACACACACACACACACACACACACACACACACACACACACACACACACTGTTAAATTCCTGCTGAGTGATGAGGAACCAGCGGAGCTTGGTTGATACCTGCCGCAGGTATCGTGATGGGGAAGCTGCTGGAAACAGTGCCAGTAGTCTCTGTGCACCAGGCTGAGAACTGGTTCTGGAAAGAAGCATCAGTCACCTCAGGAGATACCTGCACGTGTCATTTAAAGGCTGCATTCTGGTCAATGTTGCATGAATCTGTTGGGGTTGATACGCACGCTGCAGCCCCTTCCTGAGGACCAGCTCGCAGCAGGAGGGCAGGTGAGGGTTGGAGTCGGTCACCGCGTCCCCACCTGACTGTAAATTCAGCACACAAACTACAGCAACACAAACAGGAAGCAGCATGTCCGTGACCGTGCCTGTGTCGCTGAGCAACACGACGCACGGCCGCGGTTCTGGCCAACGCATCAAACACAACTCAGTTACAGGAACCCTCCGACATGAATGTGGCCTACCTCTGAGGGAGGAGAGGAGCGGGTCTCTGGGTGCCATGCTGACCAGTCTGCTCTGGATCAGAAACCAGCAGGATGTTGTGGTAAACCAGCTGGGACCGCACTTCCGTGTGCGGGACACGCCCAACACCCGCAGGCTCCCAGTGGGAGACGTGGTGGTGGATGTAACATGTGAGGCTAGGAGCAAGAGATAAACCGATTATAGGTGTTTCGCTGAGAAGTGTTCCTCCTTTAAAACGGTGTCACCTGTTATCTCTATGGCTACGGTCCCTCTTCTAAAATCATGACGTAATAACATGTCTTTCACGTGGTTATCTCGTTTTGACAGCTGTCTGAAGCCATGTTCATGCTGACCACCGGATAAACAACCTTCAGTGACGACAATCAGACACCATGGTCATTACAGCTACAATCAACAAGTAGGAGGGGCGTATTTAATTTCAATACCATACAATTACGTTCGACGGGAGTTTGAAACGAAAAAGAAAGCTGCGCAAAGGAGATGGGGGGGACCGGCTTTTCTCGGGGTACCATTTCTCGATATAACACTAGAGCGAAGCGTTGAGCGTGCCCGAGCCCTGACACACACACACACACACACACACACACACACACACACACACACACACGCACGCACGCACGCATCCGAAAATAGCATGAAACAGGTTTTGTAACCGTTTTGTTTCCAGATCAGACATTTGAACTCGGCGCTTGAATGGCCTTCAGTCGCTTCGACGGTGCTTTTGGCGGCCTCTGGCGGCCGCGGTGTGGAACTGCTGTTGAGGCGGTGGCATGAAGAAGGCGCGCGCTTTGCCTCGTGCCGCAGTTTGGAAGGTGGATGAAAGCGGAGCTCCAGAGAAAGATGGCAGAGCGCTAATTTAGTCCGAGTTTACAGGAAAAATCACCACAAACCCAGTGTTGAGTCATTTAACGAAAGGATTTTCTTCCAGTAAGAGGTGAGAATTTATTTTCTTCCTTTGAAATCCATATGATTGAAGTAAAAGGGCTCCATTAGGAGGATGTAAATACCTAAAGTAAGAATTTTGACTATGTTTTAATTTGCCTTTTGGCTTGTTTTGATGTGGACTTGCAGGTAGAGGTTGGCTCGTCATTCACATATATAGAAAGAGTCTGTACATGTGTTTGTTCTGCTGTGGCTCTGCTGGTAATCCTGGATTTCTCCTAATCCCACGGCTCCTTTGCCACACACACACCCTCCACAGATCATCCTAACAGGAGTCACGCCGTGGGTTACAGAGGCACTCAGCTGGCTGGTGAGGTCCGCTCAGAAACACGTTAACATCGAGTGTTTGGGTTTATCCAGCACCTTAGGGACATTTCTATGAAACAAACATCTTTTATCCTCATAGGGAGAAATGTTTTGTGAAAGAAAAGCAGATTTTCAGCATGGATGCTGTTCTCTTCCCACAGAATTGTCAGACCTCTAGGGTCTCTGTTTGCATGTGTTTTGGCTCAGCTGCCTCCTCTACCGAAGGAACAGCAAATCCCCTCAGTGCAGAGGCGGACTGACTGCTGAATCAACAGCAAGCCGGTCCAACAATCCCACACATCCTTCCAAAAGAGCTCTGTGCTGCTGCTTCACAACTCCAGGGGAATAAAGTTGCAGGATCAAGACGCACTGACCCACGCACGCCATAAAATCCTGTTACTGTGCACTATTTTCATCCTGTTCCCACGCTGGCTGTAGTTGTCACTGACTCTGTGGTTTTCTGAGAGGAGAGAGACGCCTCCTCTGCGTGTGGGCTCTGCCCCCACACACACACACACACACACACACACACACTAATCACCTCTCATAACAAGCCCTCAGCAGGATTGGAGTGCAGAGCTCTGCTGAAGGTTCTGCAGTGCTCCTCTTGCTTCACACCTCGCGATTTGTGCTCTCTCATCAATTTGCACCCGGAGCTCGGTCAGCTGCAGTTTGCCTCCAGCTCCTGACAGAACGAGCGCCAGCACACTGAAGGTTTTTTATTATCGTACCAAAGGGCACCGGCCTCGCTCCTCTGCTGCCAGCATGATGAAAAGCTGCCTGCAGTTCCTTGTCGAACCGGCCAAGAGGCTGAAAATCAGACTCGAGGTATGTGGACCCTCCTGTCTCACATAATTGTGCGTCCAAAGAATATTGTGAACCTCGTGTTTCTCCTCCAGGAGTCCCGTAAGAGAGTGAAACAGGAGAAGAAGGAGCCTTTGGTGGAGAGTCAGGTATTTGTCATGGAACTGGCTCGAGAGCTGAACAGAATCTGCCAGGTGGGCTTTTCTCCCCGTACCGTGTCACATCCATCAACTGCAGCTAACAGGTGCTCTTTTATGTCTCGACCCCTCAGAGGTCAAACGTCCTGTCCCACATCTGGACAGGTGAGGACGTCTGGCCACCCAGCGTGTGCCGCAACTTCATGGTGGACTGGGCTGCAGTGCTGGAGAAGAGAGTCCAGGTATGGAATCTGCACCGCACCTAGTTCCTGTTGTAACATCAGGACCGATTTAAGGGTCTCCGTCTGTCTTGTAGCAGAAGATCGAGCCCTCTGAGTACCAGTATGAGACGCCCCAGAAGAGGGACTGGAAGGGACACCTCATCTGCATGCTGGAGTCGGGGGGCGAGTATGACATGGGACCTCACAAAAGGGTCATCATGGACTGGACGCGGGAGATTAAAAGCAAGGCTCAGGTGAATGCTGGGTGATTAAAGTCTGACCCAGTTCCTCCTTTATGTCTGAGCAAGATGATTAAACTAAACCTTGCCCTTGATGATCACCTGTCATACCGTCCAGCCCGCCGTCTGGCCCGGCGAGCCAGTGCTCATGGTTCTGGATGACCTGGAGTTTCAATGGAAGAGGGGCCGCCTGCCCAACCTGCTGCTAGCCGTGGAGCTCGTCATGCTGGCCGTGCTGAATGCCGACAGCCCAGAAAAGGTCCGCAGGACCCTGAGTGTGTGTGTGTGTGTCATGATGATGCCACCAGGGGCATTAGAGGTTAGGGATGTTTGTGTGCTGTGTGAAGCCCTGTCATCCTAATCTCTTTATGTCATGGTCCAGCTCACCTTGGCCTGCAACGGCTCATGTTTCCTTATGTCTGCAGGAGGACGTGACCCAGCAGTGGCTCGTGAAGAAGCAACGGAGCCAGAGGATCGGTGAGTAACATCAACCATAAAGCTGCCTCTCATCAGCACAACACTGATGATTCTGACTCAGGACAGCAGCCATCACTTACACATAATCCGTGTGTGTGTGTGGAAATAAATTCACAGAGGAGGGCTGTGTTCATAGTCTGTGTTGGTTTGCTCTTTCCAGATGCTGTTCACTACATCCCGCACAGTGGTAAGTTCACACACACACACACACACACACACACACACACACACACACACACACACACACACACACAGCCCATGGACAGAAGATCAGGACCTGAAACCAGAACCGGAGACCGGCTGACCTTCTACCGTTTGGTGACTTTTGAAGCTGTTGGGGCTAAAAAGCTGTTTTCTGACGTAGCTGCAGCTCAGTGAAAACACACTCGGTTACAATGTGAATAAAACACAACAGATCAGATTATTACTAACAAAGTCGAGAGGGGAAAAGGAAACTCGGCCCCAAAGTCAGGCTAAAGTTTCGACTTTTGTCTTTTACAGTGTGGAACTGGATCTGTGATGCAGCAGGTGAGGACATCTCCTGTAAGCTTTATTCTCCTTCACATTTCATGTTGACAGTGTTTAATCGTTCCACAGAGGACGTCACCCTGGACTCAGAGTCGGCTAACCCCGACCTGCTCATCTCCAGTGATGACAAACGCATGCGCTGTGGTCTGGAACGCCGTGATGTTCCTTTGTGCCAGCGGCGCTTCGATGGCTGGTGGTGCGCCGTGGGCCAGGAGGGCTACACCTCCGGACGCCACTACTGGGAGGTAGAGGTGGGCGAGCGGGACTGGAGGCTGGGTGTGGCTAAAGCGTCAGCTGTGAGGAAGGGCTTCCGCTCATTGAACACAGACGTGGGCTACCTGACTATCCGTCTGGAGAGAGGTACGGATCTGAAGGCCCTGACGGTGCCGACCACCCCCTTACCCCAAAAGCAGATCCCCAGGAAGGTCGGGGTGCATCTGGACTACGAGCATGGCCAGCTGTCCTTCTACGATGTGGAGAAGCGCTCACATTTGTTCACTTACAGCGAGAACTTCACAGAGAAACTGTACCCTTTGTTTGGGACTGTGGAGGTGGTGAAAGACCTGGTGATCCGGCCTGCGGGGGTCCGCGAGCCATGCCTCTGTCCCGGGCCCTGCCTGTGGAACTGATCCCAGCAGCGTCTGGAATCTCCGCTACTCTGGTCTGTCCGGACCTCGAGCTCTGGCTGAGACTCTGGTTCCTCATGTGGTGAGCCTCGTTGGATCAGGAACAAGAACCGCCATTCTTCTACATCATAATTTTAGTTTCTCCGCCTTCACGGAGACGCACTACTCCACCACTAGGGGTCAGTATTTAAACAGAGACAGATTAAAACATGACTTCACTCTGCTGGGGTCTGTTAGCCTGGCAAGCCAGACTAAATAAATGTATTATTTAGTCTGGCCACGCTCCATTGACGGCTCTCGGCTGTGGGGGCGGGTTCTACCGTTGTATTTCAAATGATCTCCGCATTCCACTGGACAACGAATGTGACATACTCTTGTTTCACTCTGTTGCATCATCCCACCCACCAGGCATATAGAGTGCCCTGATTGGCCCACAAAGCGGATAAAGCTCTGTGATTTGTTCACTAAGCAGATAGAGCACTATGATTGGCCCACCATTATGGACCAATCACAGCTCTTTATGTGCTTGAAACCCCTCTAGAGAGTTGTGATTGGCTAGCCAGAGTCCTGGTAGGAGCTGCTGAGGTTCCAATGGACTCCGCCTAGACCAAACTTTGCAAAGCAAGAATTTGGTCTAGTTCACTCTGCTGGGGTCTGTGGGGCATTTAGGAGGAAAACCGGAACTAGATTTTCATACCAACGTTATAAACCTGAGTTTTTCATCTGTTGTTAAAGAACCTGGATGTTTTCAGATGGTGCCTGTGTGTGTATGTGTGTGTGTGTGTGTGCGTTAGCTGCTGCAGATAGCCAGGCATGTGAACAGTTAATCTCAGCTTCGTCTCAAGCTTCCTGTAAACATCTACAGGCACGAGCTGCTTATGCAGCCGCGTTGTTTGTCTGAGAAATAAAATTAGGGCAATGCTTCTTTTCTCTCTCTCCCAAATGTAAATAAACTCAATAAACATTTGTTTTGTCTTCAATGAGCCCACAATTCATTCATTAATCAAGTTTTCTGTAGAGATTTTAATTACAATTTTGTATTAAGTGCAATAAAACAGATGCACAGAGAGGAAAGGATGAACAGGTGCTTAAAGGTAAATGACGTACATTGATGCAGAAGCCTTTCAGTTTTTCACATCCTCCTAAAACGTACCAAAACATTTTCATCAGAATCAAATCCAATCTGCCACCTTTTCTCTGCTAAACCATTTAAAACTACGGCTAAGCTGTGTGGAGTACGAAAACATTTAAAACGTCAGAGAAACCCTTTAGGTGTCAGTTTGGTTTTCATGTTATAGAACTAATCATGTTGCAGTGATGTCATCCCTTCAGGAGTCACGCTACGCTGCAGAAACGTGCCTGGTGTGAGCTGTTCACATCATAACTACGACAGATAAAGTAATCTAAAGTAATACTTTGCGTTGTATTCTCATTTCGACCTAGACTGGACGTACGATTACCACTTGCTTGTCAATGCTAAAAGATCAATGCTAACATTCTAGAGCTAGTAGTGAATATGGTCACATGATGGTAGCATGATCAAAATATCAGCGTTAAAACATATCATTAAAATAATATGATGCAACAGAACGTAACTCTTTGGCCCCAAAACAATTTCAACAGACATTTCCAAATAGTGGCTAGTGCTGTGATGTTAGCGTGTGCTGTGTTTAAATATGACACATTTAAGCCTTGTTTCTACCTGACCACTTTAGATGTGACACACTTTGAGCCTGATCACTTTACCATGGAAAATGATGAGTCATGTTAACACAACTCTGTAATTTTCTGCGAGCAGATAATTTACACATTTATGTTTACAACTAGCTGTAGTGATGTGTTAGCATTGTTAGCATGTGCGCTGTATCTATGAGCTGTTTGTATTGTATTTAATTGTGTTGTGTTATCTGTTGAGCTGCAAATTTCATTTTACATATATGTAAATATGGTTTCCTCTGAATCTTCTTGCCATTGCGCCCACCTAGAAGTTGTGTTCAACAAGTGTTTGAGCTAGCTTAACGCTATGCCCAAGAAGTATTGTGACTAATCTTCTGCATCAAACTGTCCATTTATCAAATAGTTAATTAGATTTCAAAGCTGGTTATTAATTTCACCTAGTTTCTTACTGACAAGGCTAGGCAATAGTCATGGATTAGATCCCAAAACAGTAAGGTTAGCAAGATCACATGTTCCCAAATATTAGCATTAATAGTAATCTTCTGCAAATCGTAATGGGTCTAAGCATTTAGGTCTAAATTAATAAATAGACATCTGAATCTCCGAGATGCAGAATAAAACCAACAGAGCTAATATGAGGTGCTTCCTTCCAGGTGTGACATGAATCTGAAAAGGTAAGGTTGGGTTTTAGACCAAGAACACTCTGGTGGTCCAGAACTGAAAGCAACGCAGCAATTACAGATGGTACACAGAAATGGTCCAACATTTGCAAATGTCAAAAAATTCAAAAGAAAAATGTCTTTACCACTCTGAAATATAATACAAGTCTATGAACAAAAGGCCTAATAGGTGACAATCTAAAACTTCCAGGGAGCAGGAGCATCCCAGGAGCTGAGACTGGTTTGATCTGAGTCCAAAGTCATGACATGGGTTACTGATGTGTGTGTGTGTGTGACATGCTAGATGCAACAGAGCTATTAGACTACAGAAACATCAGAAATGAAGACGAGTTTTGTCGGTGTGTAACAGACACGAGAGTGGCCGCCTTCTCCTGTTTGTTGGGGTGTTTTTTTTTCTTTTGTTTTTTTCATAAAAAAGCTGAATCTTACACACACTCACATAAAAAACCCAGGAAGTGGCTTATTTCCATCAGTGATATCTGGATGTGGGCTTAGTTTTAACAGTTTTTAGGATTCATAAAACATTCTCTTGGTGACGGTAGATCCTCCCGTGACGGTCCTCTGAACCACCTCTCTGGTGACCTGACGGCTCACCATGCCGCTCGTCTCTGTGTGCTGTGACGTCATCGTCATCCCATCTGTCATAAAAGTTTACGAGTGAACAAAGCAGACTTAAAAGCAGACAAGGTTGAAGGTAAATCTGTTTTTGTACCTGAGAAGTAAGGGTCGTTGAGCATGGTGTGTGAGACATTGGTTCGTGTGGTGACCTCTGTCGGCATGTGGAAAACCTCCCTCCTCATCATCGACTGGTTGTTGTACTGAGATAAGGCGCCTGAGGGGGATAAAAAGTAAGTACTGCTACACAATGCTGAGTATCTAGAGGTATCGCTGACCCACTGAGTTTGGAGAACCGTGTGAGTCTCAGAGAACCACATTCAGGTTTCTTACCTCCATCCTGGGACTCGATCGTGATGATGCCCTCCCTCTCTGGACCGAAGCCCTGTGTGGTCCTAGCCTGAACCTTGAACTTATACGGAATGTTCTCGATGAGGTTTGGGACAGTGAGGCTGGTCTCTGCGTTGTCGCCGCTCACCTGGAAGGATCGCGGTTTACCTGGATGAAAGAACATTTATGAATCCTGGAAGCTTCTCACACGTGAGTAAGAGTAAGAGTGGATTGTTGCTTCACCTCCACCATGTAGCTGTTCACAGGTGACCTCATAGCCCAGGATGTCTCCGTTGGGTTTACGGGGCTTCTCCCAGCTGAGCTGCAGCGAGTCGGGACTCAGGGCGGTGAACACCAGAGGACCTGGAGCACTGGGAGTGCTCAGGGTAAAGGGAGAGCCTGCATGGAGGTGAAACCCAAAGACTTCAGTCTTCTGGTCAAACCCGGTAAAACCGGTCACTCAGCTGAACCATCACCTGGCACAGGATTGAGGGGGCTCTTCGGGTCCACAGCCGACTCGATGGTGATGACCCCCTCCCTCTCTGGACCCCAGCCCTCCTGGCTTTGAGCCTTCACCTTGAACAGGTAGGACTGGTTGGGCAGCAAGTCGTGGATGATCACAGAGTTCTCTGCTGGGTTTGTCACGTTGAGGCGCTTCATCTCACCTGCAGAGAACCATCAGAACAACGAGTGATGAAAACAGCCTCGCGCACTTTTGTCATGGTCTGCGTCTGCGTCTCCCCTCATGTGTCTCCTTGTGTTCTCCATCCCTCTCTAGGTTCTCCTTTTGTGTCTCCTAGCGCCTTCATGTGTCCTTGTCTGCGTCTCTTTTATGTGTCTCTTTGTGCTCCTCATGTGTCTCCTGTTTTGCAGCCCTCTAGATCATCCCTCCCAGGTCCTGTGTTCCTTCAGTCTTCCCCAGTCACCCCTCTGCAGTTGTTTATAGGTTCAGCTTCTCATTTTATTAGTCTCTTTAGTAGGTTTTCCCACTGGTTTTTGTAGTTTCCCTTCCCCCTAGAATATTAGTTAATTTTGCGTGCTCATCTTGTCTTTAGGTTTTTTACTCTTAGGTCATGTTAGTTTCCTCCCTGATTAGTTAATCTGCCTCCCATCATGCCCCAGTGTATATAACCCTGTCTGCGTCTCTGTCTGTTGTCGGTCCACTGTTTGTGCCAGCGTTGTTTTGTGCTCTAAGTGAGCGTTTATTCTCGTCTCTAGGTTTTGTGCTCTGAGTGAGCTTTCGTTCTCCTGTTGTTCAGGACTTTGGTTTTTGGCTTCCTGCCCTTTTTGGATTTTTCGTTCCTCATCCTAATAAAAAGGATTTACTTTTTAAACTGCTCCTGCCTTGTGTCATCTGGTGCTTCTGCATCTTGGGCCCTAACCTCCTGCTAACATTCAACGCGACAACTTTGTATCTACCTACAGGTGAAACTAGAAATATTAGAATCTGGTGCAAAAGTCCATTTATGTCTGATCCAGCTCAGACTGAGAGACCATCTAAAGGCTCAGAAACCCTCAGCAGGTGTTCTGGATTCATTGGCTGACCACAGTGTGAAACTTTGAGTCTAGAATAATTTAAGCCTATAACTGTCTGAGACTTTGAATGTGGAGTTTTCATAAGCTGTAAGCCAGGGGTCCTCAATTATAATGGTCCGAGGGCCACTCACAAAAAAGACCCAGAAGCAAGGAGGCCGGAGGGGTGGGGGAGTCTCTCTCTCTCTCTCTCTCTCTCTCTCTCTCTCTCTCTCTCTCTCTCTCTCTCTCTCTCTCTCTCTCTCTCTCTCTCTCTCTCTCTCTCTCTCTCTCTCTCTCTCTCTCTCTCTCTCTCTCTCTCTCTCTCTCTCTCTCTCTCTCTCTCTCTCTCTCTCTCTCTCTCTCTCTCTCTCACTGATTGAGCGAGCGGAGCGGGATGTGCGACAACTTGCTCATTTAACATAATTCACGGCCCAAATCCAACAGAACCGATCGGGCTGATTCGGTTCGGGTTCGGTCTCAGGTTGCAACTCCAGCGCTCAGCCCTGCAGTACGACATGAAGGCAGACCAAAGTTTCCCACCTGGTAAATGTGGAGAACACCGCTCTGACAGATGTGGATGCTGCGCTGGTGCCGCCGTTAGAATCACACAATTACATTCCACTATAACTGATTATGGTTCTCGTCTATGATGCAGAACCGTTTATGCCCACATCTCATGCATTGATTATTTGATTATTTTCCTCAGCTCTAGCTATCCTACACCTCCCGGTCGGCCGTCGGGGGCGCGAGTGGGGTTTGGGGGCCACCAATTGAGTATCACTGCTGTAAGCCATAGTCATCACAATTATTAGAACAAATAAAGACTTAAAATATCTGTCTGTGCATGGAATGAATCTATCTCATAGTTTTAGGCTGAATCACCGACATAAACGATATTTTGCACCAGATTCTAATATTTCCAGTCTGACCTGTGCAGTCATGTCAGCCGTGCTCCACCAGATCCAGTCCTTCTTTTGCAGTCTCATTGTAAGATTGTTGTTCTGAGCCCAGTGTTAATTTGAAGAAACTCTTTTTGGATTATTCCTGCCTGTTGCTGCGGTGTGCATGCCTTCATCTTTGTTCTAATGCCACATCACACACACATCGGCTCAACTTCAAAACATAACCCTTTCCAGACTTGAATCCAGACTTTACTTTCTGAGAGCTTGATTAAACTCATCCAGCGGCTCGTAGGACATTTGGCTGACAGTCAGACAGGATTGAATCCAGCAGGAAAAGTAGCAGGTTTGAACACTGATCACTTAGTGTGTGAGCGTCTGGGATGTGAATAACTCTCAATTATCATGACACTAAAATTTGTGACAGAATCTGTCAAATTGACCAAGTTGTCTCAGTTTTGTGTTTGTTAGCTGTGGCGAGCCTTGAATCCAAAAGTCCATCATTCGCTTCAGGTGAACGTCCTGTGGTCGTTTGGAAAGGTTTTGCTAACAAATGCACGCACAGAAACATTTGTTGCTGCCAGGCGATAAAAGGCCCTGCCCCCCTCCCTCGGCTGTTTCATTTACCTCCACTGAGCAGCTGGTAGAGGACGCAGTATCCCAGGATGCTTTTCTCACAATGGGGCTCCTGCCAGCTGACTTTAAGAGCCGTTGGTCCCAGAGCAGAGAACACCAGTCTGCTGGGGGTGTCTGGGACACCTGGAGAGAGTCGTGCATCTGATGGACCACACACACACACACACACACACACACACACACACACACACACACACACACACACACACACACACACACACACACACACACACACACACACACATATATATAACTGTGTTTCACATCAGATCATCTCACCCAGTGGCAGCTGGGATACACATATTTAGATAAAAACTACATTAATGTTCATTGCAGTCTGAATTAGTTGGTGCGTCCACTTGAGGCCTTCGCTGTTTGTTTCAGAGAAGCAGGAATGAAGACATCACAGAGGGCAGCATTTCAAAGCAAACCCGGCTAACTGATCCGGCGCCATCATGCTGGTGGGCTGCAGACTCACCCCGGAGCACTCTGTCCAGACTGGACAAGGCCTCATTGACATCTGAAGACTGTGTCCTGGCCCTGGAACCCTGAGACAGGCCGTAGCTGAACTGGCTCTGAGAGCTGCTCTGCACCCCAGAGTAGCTGAAGCCACCTGATGGAGCTTTGAGCAGGGATGGGGGCAGAGGAGTAGACAGGAAAAGGAAACGGGAAAACGGGAGGAGAAAAGGAGAGCAGGTAGGAGGGAGGGAGACAGAGCGATAGTCAGCATAGCTCCTGCAAGGTCTGTTCAGCCATCAGCTCCAGCCCGCTAACAGTCCAAGCCATCGTCACCATGCACAGGTAACCAGCCGCGGCTTCACAATTACTGCAAATCCGCGTTCCAGACAGGCGGACCCGACCATCAGCTTTAGGAGAGGAACTGTGGGAACTTACTGAGATCTGGGAACTGACTCGTCACATCACCCATGACGATGGAGTCCCGGATGTTTTCATCTGTGTAACCTCTGTTTTCTGAACGCTTCCTCATGATGACTTCAGACATGTGCACGCCTCCTCCAATCATGTCCTGTCTACGAGGACCTCCTGCAGAAGCGCATCAGCTGCGTAAGAAGGGCTGGAGTTCCTGTCAGACTCAGGTGTGGCCACGTGTCTTACCGGATCCAGACATGTAGGTGGTGTGTGTCTCTGTGGTGAAGGAGCCGCCGCCTCCTCTGTAGTTGGAGCTCAGCGTGGACATGGGAGAGGATGATGCCGATAAGTTGCGTGTCGTTGACCCTCCAGGGAACAGGAAGTTCTGTTCCCACTTCCCATTTGTCATGTAATCTGTGGAGCAACACAAACAGAGGCAAAAGGATAAAGACACAGAGCCAAGTCACCACTGATGTGAAGCACCACTCCTCCAGACTGTTGATGCTTTAGGAGAGGTTAGGGCTTCATCAGCTCTGATTTTCCTGTTTGAGCTTCTGCAGAAGCACCGAAGATCACAGCCTGTCACCCCTGCTTTTGCTTCCGACTCTTTAATGAGTGAAAAATGTGAAAATTGTTGAAAAGTAAGACTAAGATATAGAAGAAAATAACTGTTGCGATACTGTTCATGGCCACAAGATGGTGACAAAACGGTTTTTACATATTCAATGAGAGGAAAATAACACCCTCACGTTGAACTTATAAGACATTAATCAGTTGAAAATCCACCCATGACTGGAAAAAGATGATTTACGTTCTAACTGCAGTGTCGCTGGAGCCACACCCTTTAGATGTTGTCTGCTGCAGCACTAACGTCTTCCACGTGGTAAAGATCAGCGTTAGTTTTCTTCTGCTGTTTGGTGTCAGCGTAAACATCTTAAATGTTGCTGCTTCTCATCAAAATAACACCTGGGGAGGAGCGCATAGCAACTGCAAAGGAAGATGTCATAACACAAACTGGCCTGCAGAATCAGAGAGATTGGTAAGAACATAGTTATTGACGTGAAGCTGTCTCCGGATCAGCGCCTCTCCAGAGGGACGGAGAGAGAACAGACAGCGGCGCCTGGAAAAATCTGCCACCGATCATTAACTGGGTGTGGACAGTTGATGCCAGTGCTCCTCAGTGCAGGGGGCTACAACAGATGGGACAGATGCCAGCAAGGGGAAAAAGGATCAATACCTGAAACTGAATGACAGAAAACTGAGTCGGCGGTCTTTTGTGGGAACAGGACTGTCCGTGCATAAGAGGTGGCATGCTAGCTGTCTGTCTATCAGCCAATCTGATGGAGCGGGCTTCACCTGGCAAGGGTGTTTTGGTGTAGCTGGGGTGGGGGCCCTCATCTGAGCTCGCCTCTGTGTCTGTGCTGAGCCGACTGGGGATGACGTCCACTCGCTTTTTCCACGTCACCTGACGGAGCTCCAGGTTGGACCCCACCAACTTGACATGATGCCAGCCTTGGGTTTGTGGTGACAGGAGAGAGGTGAGCAGGTGGAGGATTGGTTTGCAGAGAAGAAGACTTGTTAAAAACTGTTTCAAACAAGATGCCTGAAAAGGTTTGATCTTAGTTTAGGTAAATTGAGCCGAGTCTTTCAGGACAAACCGAGTATGACAGCAGAGGCACCTTGCGGTCACTGGCTGTCAGACATGCATGAAGCACTGGAAGCAGGCGGCTGACGGTTTGTGAGCATTTCCTGATGTAAAATGCCCGACAGGTGGTCGGGATTACAATGGGCAAACATGAGGAGGACGAATCTTCACAGCTCTTCTAGCTGTCTCTGAGAAGTGAGTTATGGTAACACTGAATGTGTTTTCTGCTTCTCCGTCCCCCTACTGGTTGAAAGCGGAATTACAATTGTTCTAAACAACCCTGCTGCAGCCTCTAACGAGTGTAGGCCACGCTGACGTTCACTCTGGTTTTAGCTCTTTGAGTTAAGGTCTTTGCCTCCAAAGACATTACTCTCTTCCTTTTACTTTCAGTCTCCGCCATGATGCGAACAAAAAGGCTAAATTCTTCTTGTGCTTTATATTGAAGGTTGGCAAATTGGCAAAGGTAAACTGCTAGCCTTTATTTGAGCTACCGGCACATTAAACTCCGCCCTGTCTGTTGCTCCACCTCCCAATATTGTACCTGCTTGAACCACCAAGTGCAGTTTCTGGTCAGCAGAGGGCTACAGAGTGCTGTCCCACGTGAAACTGCATGAGTTTCTGGCTCAAAAACCACTGAGACCAGTTTGAAAGCAATAGCTCAAAGTGTTTAAGTCTATTTAGTGTTAATTTTACTGTTTAGAATAGCTCTTTATAATGTAATGCTTTCAGGAGGACATGCAAACTGAATTTTTGGTGTCATTCCTTGAACAACACAGCATCAGCTGCATAAAAATAGAACCTCGAAGAACGAACCACAAAAACCGGACCTATCGCTATCTGCTCCTCAGTTTGAGACTCACAAAGAAAACTCAGCTAGCTATTTGCTGGCACAGTCAGTTTAGTAGGTTGGAGCCATTTGCACCGGTCTGATTGTGGTGGTTTCCACTGCACAAACTGTAGATGGGTGCAACAAGGCAGAGAGGGAGTGAGCTGCAGGCCTTAATGGATGAACAACAAAGTCTCTCCACCTCTGGAGGAATCACATTAAAGGTAACATTTCTAATTCAGTAAGAGAAATGTCAAGCTTCAAAGACCAGAAAAAATAAATAAACACAATGAAAAATATGTTTAAATAACCCCAAAACTCTGCCTAAAGCTGAACAACACTACACTCTGAGAGAAGTCTGACACTCATGATGATGCATTTGACTTGTCCTGACATACCTGCCCTCATTTTGGAGGTGCCAGTTTTCCAGCAGATAGACAATTATCTTTATTCCTTTCTCTAAGACCCAATTACCACCAGCTTGTCACAATCTGCTCCTGCCTCTCTGACTGTGTCTCTCCCCTGCCCTTGATTAGTTTTTATTTGTCTCACCTGCCCCTTGTTAACCTGCCCATGTGTTCCTGATTTTCCCCTGTGTATTTATACCTCCCGTCTTGTTTGAGTTTTTGTCGGATCATTGTTTGTTGTCAGCTTTGTTTTGTTCTGTCGTTCCCGCTCTGTCATTAAAACTACTTTTATTTCATCCGTGCCTGCTTTCCTGCCTCCTGATCTGCTCCACCACACATGGTCCGCTGTCATCCACACCCTCAACGTGACAGAATGATCCAACCAACCTGGACCTGTGGTGAACTCTAAACATCTGCCTGGAGGATTACTTTTTTGCTTTTTCTCCATTTAGCGGAGGGAGATTCCGACTCGAGGGGTTTCGGAGCATCCTACCTGTTTCCGGGGTGATCGGACCCATTGAGGGGGTTTCGGCGCATCCTATTTGTTCCCGGGGTGGTCGAACCCATTCTCCTCTCCTGCTTTCGGCCCCGTCCTGTTTTTTCCCAACGGAAGCCGCAGATCCTAGAGCTTTTGATGGAGTTACGCCCCCTATGCACGCCAACATTCTCCAGGGTGGTAGGGCCGGTCTCCCCGCTCTTCTTCTGCTTCCCTGCACCCAAGCCTCTGCTTGTGACCCAGCAAATCGTGGGCACCTGCTCAGACCGTTTGTCGAGTACCTGCCGCCGAGCTGGGTTTCCTCGCGCCGCTCCAGCAGTTCATCCTATTCCTGGTCCACTCCTGCGGGGCCTATGCCTGCAGGTCCTCCATGCTGCAGCCTCTTCAGAGTTCTGCCGCTGCAGCCTCTTCAGGGTCCCACGCCTGCTGTTGCAGCCTCTTCAGGATCCCACGCCTGCTGCTGCAGCCTCTACAGGGTCCCACGCCTGCTGCTGCAGTCTCTACAGGGTCCCACACCTGCTGCTGCAGTCTCTACAGGGTCCCACACCTGCTGCTGCAGTCCCTACAGGGTCCCACGCCGGCTGCTGCAGTCCCTACAGGGTCCCACGCCGGCTGCTGCAGTTCCAGTTCCCGAGTTCGAGTCCAAGTGTTCCGAGTTCGAGTCCAAGTGTTCCAGTTTCCGAGTGTTCCTGTTCCCCAGTGTCCTGTCGAGTTCCAGTGTCCCGCGCCTGCTGCTGTTGAGTTCCAAGTCCCCGAGTTCCAGTGTTCCAAGTTCCTGAGTTCCTGTTCCAAGTCCGAGTGTTCCTGTTCCGAGTCCGATTGTTCCAGTTCCCAGTGTTCCTGTTTTGAGTCAGAGTGTCCCAGTTCCCGTTCCAGAGTCCGAGTGTTCCAGAGTCCGAGTGTTCCGGTTCCCAAGTGCAAGTGTCCCGAGTCTCCAGTGTTATGAGGCTTTTGTGGGCATCTGGTATCTGCCCCTTGGGGGGGGGGGGGGGGGGGGGGGGGGTACTGTCACAATCTGCTCCTGCCTCCCTGACTGTGTCTCTCCCCTGCCATTGATTAGTTTTTATTTGTCTCACCTGCTCCTTGTTAACCTGCCCATGTGATCCTGATTTTCCCCTGTGTATTTATACCTCTTGTCTTGTTTGAGTCTTTGTCGGATCATTGTTTGTTGTCAGCGTTGTTTTGTTCTGTCGTTCCCGCTCTGCCATTAAAACCACTTTTATTTCATCCGTGCCTGCTTTCCTGCCTCCTGATCTGCTCCACCACACATGGTCCGCCGTCATCCACACCCTCAACGCGACACAGCTTTCATGAGACAGAAACTATTTCACACTAAATCTATGTTCACCAGTAGTGCAGCTAGTTGAAAATCAGTGCTTCTTACACTAGAAGTAACCTACATAAACATGCAGAGGGGAAAATATTGTTGCTTTTAAGCTTAATATATTACCTTTACTTATGGCCGATAAGATGTGATACTCTATATAAATATAGGACATCAACCTTATTGGTTCTATTTCTGGACGTTACAAACACACACTGGCTCTCCATTAAAGACAGAATACCGACATTTAACCCTCCCACTGTCATAATGGATGTGACCCCGTGAGGAAAGCTGACCATTGAGCAGGGTTGATGGTTTATCCCTTAGGTCCATGTGGCAGGGGTGAGGTGTGAGCACCACCTCACTCCTGCCACATGGACCTCAAGGGATAAACCATCAACCCTGCTCAATGGTCAACTTTCCTCGCGGGGTCACACCCATTAGGACAGATTAACTGAGGTCACACCATTTCATGAGCAGTGCAGAATGAGGCTCAAACAAACATTTTCTAAGGGTTTGTTGAATTAAATGGGGGTGCAACAACAGATTCCCCTTGCAGAAGACGCTGCTACAAGTATACTGGAGCAAATGCACACCACCAGCTGGAGCCGGTTTTGTGTTCTGGGTACCCACCTTCCCCAGAGATGCTCGGTGTCTTGGAGCTTGTGGGTGACTTCAGCACATCACTGCTATACATCAGGTAGCTGTCATACTCATCTCCTGCCTCTGCATCCACAATAGGAACATCTGGAATGATGGGAACTACAGAGACAGAGAGGAAAATCAGTCTCTTTCACAAGAACCAAGCCTAACCCACACGTCCCAGGTCTCAGCAGAGACTTACTGGACAGAGGTCTCACAGGCTGCGATGCCAAGTTGATGGTTGCGTCTCTGAAAGGACCCCAGCCCACACTGTTTCTTGCTCGGACTTTGTACTGATAAGTCTGTGCACTTTGGAGATTTTCTATCAACAGCATCCGTTTCTTTGGGTTGTCGATCTTCACTTTCTTCTCTGCTCCCACCGGTTCTGTTTGTGGGGCGAATGTCGTTAGTGTGGGATTACGCTGCAACTCCAAACAACCTTCTACCGTTGTGAGAAGATTCTCTTACTCAGGTCATCATCGATGGGCGTGTAGATGACCTCATATGCTGTGATGTTGCCGTTGGTCTCTGCAGGCTCTGCCCAGCTGAGCTGCGTGACAGTCGGGCTGATCACGTTAAAGGCCAGACGACCAGGCTCACCAGGAACTAGGGGGCGAGGGAAGGAGCGGTTGGTCAGAGCAAAGTCAACACATCACTTTACTTACAGAGATGTGGATAACGGCGTTAAAATAGCTTTTTCAGAAACGTTTAATCGTATTAATTACTTCCTCTATGGTCAACACATTCTCACACCTTCCTCTCACCCCCGTCCTAACCTTAACCCTCTTGTGCATGCAGAACCTTCTTTCTAGTTGTAACATCGCCCTCCAACACGGTTAACGGGAAGTTTGCACGAGAAACAAGGGTTGAGGTTAGGATGGGGGTGAGGGGAAGGTTAAAGGTCGGCTCCCAGGTCAGAACAATTAAACCATTGGAGTCAACGTAATTCAAGATGGCTGCCACAGCCCGCTGAGTTTGGTGTTTTATCGGACGGAGGTTACTTCTTGAGTTTGCGGTAATTACCGTCCTCCAGAGTTTGACAGGAAACAACTTCCGTATTTTCGCCATCTCCCATTGCGTTGTAGGCACACACCCTTGTCTCATAATCACAGTAGGGATACAGGTTCGTCAGCTCGGCTTGAGGAGTCTTCACGTCTAAGACCTGGGCATCTTTCTCTGGGTCACCGTAGATCCAGTACTTCACCTGAAACAACCACATTTACTGAATTTGAAAACTAAGACAAAGAGGAGAGAATAGAAGTGTGTTGAAACCAACTAGAAGCACCTTGTATCCTGCAGGGTTACCGGGAGGTGGATCCCAGTTCAGGTGGATGTTTCTGGGTCCAGTTGCTCTTGCCTTGAGGTTTGCTGGGGAGAGAAGGCGACCACCGGGGGACGTGGCTTTTGGATTTGTGAAAGCTTTCTGCTGCAGCTGAGCTACATCAGGAGATCTTAGAACTGCAGGAAGTACAGAAACATGCATCAAATAGCCTCAAGTACCTCATCTATGAAAACTTATGAAGTCTCCTTGCAGGCGTCTTACCTCCCTCTGTGACATTGACATTGGTCGTCTTCCTTTCTCCAACCAAAGCATTGGTGCTGGGGTCAAACAGCTCCAGCTGGAAGGTCTCTGGCTTAACTGGGCCTGGGTGAGCTTTGGGGTCGATCACTATGTTCTTCTCTGTTTCTCCAGGACCAAACATCAGTGGGCCAGAAAGCTCAAAGCGTTGGGCCTTCTTGGTGCGCCATTTAACTGAGGCTGGAGCGTCTTGGTTACGAGTGCGGACCACCGGAATGGTATAGGCTGGATCCAAAGTGCTGAAGTTCTGCATACCTTTCTTGAACATCATCACACTTGGTTCTAGGAGAAAATAGGGTCATGTTGGAGAACGAGAGGAAATCCCATTGATCTGACAAATTCCATCATCTTTCATTCACCTGGTTGGTCTGCGATGGTGACGGTGGTTCTCGGGTAGCGGCCCAGCTTGGCGCCCTGTCGTGGGTTACTAAGGTCCATGACAAACTGCTTGATCTTTTTGTCCTCTAACAGGCCGTCTCTCTCACTCAGCTCCAGCAGAGGAACAGGAACCACCTTCTGAGTCTCACCAGGACTGTAGGACAAGTCTCCTTCTTTGCCTACGTAGTCCTGGAATTCAGAGTTCAGGACGCTTCCTTTTTAGTTTGGTTCTTGTAAAGAGATTTGAAGACACGTTTACATTCTCACCTTCTTGTCTTTGGCAGTGAGGTCTTTGGTACGGTAGGTGACCTGTGTGAGCCCATCCTCTATAATCTCCCTGCTGATTGGGATGTTTGCGACCCTGTCCTGTCTGCTGTAGGTATAATTTGGTTGGAGGAACGAGAACACGCTGGTGGCTAAGGAGAAAGGTGCATGGAGGTAGGTTAGTGCCACAGAAATAATCTTTTGTCTGAGACCCTTGGTTTTCCCCGTGAGGGATATCTCACCGTGTTCTTTGATGATGGTGATGTTAACAAAGCGTTTTCCGATCTCTGCGATGCCCAGCGGCACATCCCTGGCCTCCACCTGCAGCTGCTTCTTGTCATCATCTTCATCTTTGACAAAAAGTGGAACGTGAACATCTACGGACTCCACACCCTCCTGGAACTCTACAGCTCCCGCAGCCTCTGCAGAAGAAGAGATGAATGAGCTGATGATTGATGTTGGCAGAGATGAAACACCCCCTCCACACACACACACACACACACACACACCCCTGTCTGACGCTACAGTGTAGTAGCCTGGCACCACTTTGAGGTCCCGGAAGTTTCCAGACTGAACGTTTCTCTCGGTGAGCTTGACTATGTCCGGGTAGGCGTTCCGGGGAGCGGACAGGACCGTGTCCATGACGGTGTAGTCCTGCCTGAGGAGCACAGGAGAGTCACAGTTAAACACGTCTGACTTACAACTCTTAAAAAGACAACAAACTCCAGCTCTGCTCTTAAGCGTTACCTTTTCCCTGCATTCTTCTGCAACCTACAACAAGAGAAGATACAAGAGGAAGGGTTAAGAATAGATCTGATTTCACATAAAGAGTTGCACATCACCCTCCACCTTTTATGTCAGAGTTGTAATCTAACATCATCTGATGATGAGAAAACTCATAAATGAATATCTGTGATGTGTTCTGATGATGTCGGGGATTTTTCTACGCCACAAACACAGCATCATGTTAGCTCAGCAGCTGTAAGGCTAGCTGACTGGTTTTATCCTCTTGTTGGACTGGCCTAAATCCAAATAAGTTTTACATGTTTATCATAAAGGCTTTAAATTCTGTTCAGTTGTTCCAGTTTTTCTATTTGTTGTTCAAAACGTCAAAAGTCACGCTGTTTCCAGTGGAAAGTGTAGCACTTCATCAAATGTTGCCATTCTGCACTACTGCCGCAGTTTTTCTCATGATGTCAAAGTCGAATTAACACACACACACACACACACACACGCACGCACACACACACACACACACACGCACGCACACACACACACACACACACACACACACACACACACACACGCACGCACGCACGCACGCACGCACACACACACCCGCGCGCGCGCACGCACGCACGCACACACACACACACACACACGTGTCATGTTCCCGAGCCAAGGTGAGTGACACCATCTCCAGTCTAACCATTGTTGAGCTGATTTCCCACAGGGGAGGAGCGGAGGAGGCTGCAGCTGCAGGAGATTCCCAATCAGGAACTCGGGTATAAAAGGAGGATGGAGACACCTCACTACGCCGGATGATTGCTCCAGTCTAGGCAACCCCAGCCACTCGTACTCGTACTTGTATTTGTTTATTCGCTTTGACTCGCTTTTGGAAAACTCGGATTGTATTTGTGGATTACGTCTGGTGTTTGTTTGCCTTCCCTCAGGATCTTCACACAACCTGCCTCACCCTCGCTGTTTGAACTCTGGATTACTACATGCACCACGTCCCATCCTCCTCCGTTGTTCCTGTCTGGTCCCTCTCTGCTACCTCACCCATCTCGGATCGCTCTGCCCAGCGCTCACCTAAGCTTCCCCGCCTCCCTCGTTCACCCCGAGCGCTATATGGACAAGAGCTGTACTGCTCACTCCCCACAGGACTTCCCTGAGCGATTTTTGTTCCCATTTCTGAATAAAGAAGTTTTCTTTAACTCTACCAGCTCATCGAGTTTGATTCTGCATGTCTTGGGTTAGACACTTACCTCGAGTCATGACAACACGGTCAAAAAGGTGGATGAGGATGAGAAAAGTAGTTACCTGAATGAGGTCTGTTGAATCTTATGTGCTCCAGGAATTTGTTTGTACACCTCATTGAGCTGGAAGAGAGAAGAAGTCCTCTGTGAAACGTTCTCCCTGACACACACACACACACACACACACACACACACACACACACACACACACACACACACACACACACACACACACACACACACACACACACACACACACACACACACACACACACACACACACACACCACTCACATTATCAGCCACTTCCATGTGGAGCTGCTCGGCATCTCTTGATTCTGGACGAGACAAGTTCTCCGAGAACAACCTGTTCAGTCGGAGGGAGATGGGGAACTGGACTGCAGGTGAGAAGAGACAACCGGAGAACGTTGGAACTTCCAGTGACTGCAACAACCTCTGTTTTTGAAACAATCCCAAACTCACTCATCTCCTTTGGGTTGGGCTCTATCAGAGCCTGGGGGTGGTTTGGTCCACGGTGCACGTTATCCGTCACCTTCCAGCGAACAACATCGGTCCCTTTGGGCGGGCCGGTCCTCACCATTGGTGTGTCCAAGTGATCCGAGGTGAGCAGAGACTGACGCATCACATACTCATCTTCTTTAAAACCAACCATGCGGCCTGAATCAAGACAAGATTAGAGGGATTCAGATCACTTCCAGGTAGGAAACAGAAAAATTCAAAGCACCTCTCACCTCTCCTGCAGCAAGGCAGCAGGGCAAGACAACCCTGCATTAAAGAAGAGACAGAAGCCTGTTAGGTAATCATGACTAAGAAATATCCATCCTTTAAAAGCAACTCCGGCTTCGAGGACGTGTGTGCCCTAAAAAAGCCACAAGTTTTCTGTTGTACCAAACTATGCTGTTAGAAACAAACAAAACATTGCTGTTTATTTATAAATCCATAATATTTAGTACATTTTTGACATACGTAGGACGCCATGTTTTCCGGACGCATTGCACTCTGGGGGCGATGACATATATTGGTTGCACTTGGAGGAATAGCTATTGACGCTAGTGTTTGTTTACGCGCTCACCGTATTAATAATGAAGTAAAATGCCGCATTGTGCTGCTTTTGGATGTAATTTCCAGTCAGGGGGCAACAAGGGGAGTGATGCGAGTTTACAGCTTTCCCACAGGCAAGAAGAGGAGATAGCAGTGTAAAGATGCCTGTGGACGGACACAACTTCCCAAAGGTCCGCGGCTGTGCTCCCAACATTTTTCTCCTGATGCGTTTGAGGCTTATAGTCGACCACAACGACTTAAAGAGCTCACCAGAGCGGCTGGGTATAAGAGAAGGCTGCAACTAAATGCTTTAGCGACCATTTTCCCTCACAAGGAGCCTAATCGCACTCGGACAGTCGAGAGACGCTGGATGCTCTCCTGAACCGACAACCCGCTCCTGCAGCTGCTGCTTCTGTCACGCTCAGTGAACCATCGGACACGCCACTCGTCACGGATGAAGCTGAACGTTCACCTCTCCCGTCAGTAAAACAAGCAGTAAGTGTAGCAACAGTGTTCTCCACATATATAATATCTGCAACAATGATTAAAGTCGTTTCACTGAATATCCTGATCATCTATGAAGCACACGACAGCTCTGGACGCTAAAATTCTCCTAAATCATTCATAATTGAATAAGTTTGATCACACGATAGCTTACCGTTAACTTCTGCTGTCAAAAATGTGAGCACTATCCCTCTCGGTTACCATGGAGACGCATTTGCAGCACACGCACCACCGGTTTTGTCCTGCTCTCGCTTCATCGCGCCCTTCTTGCTCTTCATGTTGATGCTCGTATTGTGAAACATGGTCAGTGATGTCATCATTAATGTTTCACTCTGGTTCAAACTGAAAAGGCTGAACAGATGACGTGTTGATGTCACTGAACAGACGCTTCAGGGTCCCAAAGCCGGCCGGTGCAACCGAGGTACGACCAAAGGACGTCACTACCCAGAGTGCATTGCAACGCCAACGACAACCTACGAGTTAAACTACTTTTCCTAATCTTTTAAAAATGAAGACATTAAGAAGCTTTTTTACACCACTTTAATATAACTGATACTAACATTTATATTTTAAGAACCACAAGGTTTTGTAACCTGGGTTTGTTTTAAAGGTCCAAGTGGGCGTGGTTATACCTGCCAGCAGGATTTGCAACAGGGACATAATTTCCAGCAACAGAGCAGCAGAAGTGCCAACAACAGGAGGAGGAACAGGAGGAAAGGGAGTAACCACAGGAGGCCAGCACCTGGACAGTCTGAAGGGACATCATAGACAAGTGTGTGAGTTCAAACTTCAGGTTTAAACACAGCTGATTTTTACCAGCTATGGAAAGCAGTCATCCATCCATCCATCCATTCATCCATCCATCCATCCATCCATCCATCCATCCATCCATCCATCCATCCATCCATCCATCCATCCATCCATCCATTTTCATCCGCTTATCCGGAGTCGGGTCGCGGGGGCAGTAGCCTAAGGCGAGAGGCCCAGACTTCCCTCTCCCCAGCTACTTGGGCCAGCTCCTCCGGGGGAATCCCAAGTCATTCCCTGGCCAGGTGAGAGACATAGTCCCTCCACCGTGTCCTGGGTCTACCTTTAGGTCTCCTCCCGGTTGGACGTGCCCGGAAAACCTCACCAGGGAGGCATCCAGGAGATATCCTGATGCCCGAGCCACCTCAACTGGCTCCTCTCGGTGTGGAGGAGCAGCAAATCTACTACGAGCCCCTCCCATATGACCGAGCTTCTCACCCTATCTCTAAGGGAGAGCCCAGCCACTCTTCAGAGAAAACTCATTTTGGCTGCTTGTATCCGCGATCTCGTTCTTTCGGTCACTACCCAAAGCTCATGACCATAGGTGAGGGTAGGAACGTAGATCGACCGGTAAATCGAGAGCTTCGCCCTCTGCCTCAGCTCTCTCTTCACTACGACAGACCGGTACAATGCCAGCATCACTGCAGATGCAGCACCAATCCGCCTATCGATCTCACGTTCCAGTTTTCCCTCACTCGTGAACAAGACCCTGAGATACTTAAACTCCTCCACTTGGGGCAGGACCTCATCCCTGACCCGGAGAAGGTATTCTAGTCCTTTTCCGAATCAAGACCATGGTCTCAGATTTAGAGGAGTTGATTCTCATCCCAGCTGCTTCACACTCGGCTGCGAACCGCTCCAGCGAAAGCTGAAGATCACGTTCTGATGAAGCCAACAGGACTACATCATCTGCAAAAAGCAGAGACCTGATCCTCAGGCCACCAAAACGGATGCCCTCCACACCTTGGCTGCGCTTAGAAATCCTGTCCATAAAGGTTATGAACAGAATCGGTGACAAAGGGCAGCCTTGGCGGAGTCCAACTCTCACTGGGAACGAGCCGACTTACTGCCGGCAATGCGGACCAAGCTCTGACACCGGTCATACAGGGACCTATTCCTCTGATGGAATGGTCTTCATCCGGTGATTCATGGAATGAAGATTATTAATACATTCAGGAAGTTTGGAGTCATCAAACATGGCTGCTCCAGCTAGGAGACATTAGCCAATGAGTAATTCGAAAGTCTGTTTGTGACATCACAAACGGGGGCTGAAACCAAACACTGACAGATGAGATGTTTTTGTTCATGTTTGGAGTGTTTATAGAGGTAGTGGAGATCTTCAGGGCAGCACAAGAGGAGGCCATGAAGTTTCACGTGTGGAACAACCCTTCAGACAGATGAAAGCTGGCCTATAAAAGAGTTTCCAGGCTGTTGAATGTGCACATTACTAAACATTCAAACCTGTCAACAGATCACATTCAACATTTATTGTGTAGATAAATACAGCAATTAAAACTATATGTTTCCGGCCGGTAGATCACCTTTCTTTTTGAGCACCTGAACCTCCAGCTCCTTAGTTTTAGGTTGAGTCGTGTAGTAGTAGGTGCAGTCGTCATCTTCATCACGGAAGCTGCACGATTCAAGGTCCTGCTTCACTGAAACCACAGAACATGACCCATCAGTACGGAGTTGAGATGTTTTCTCCTGTTGCACGTGCTTACCTTCTTCCAGCTCATCCACCATGATGACTTTAAAAGGACACTTGTCACACTCCTCTTTGTCTTTCTTCTCTCCCGTCTTCCAGGCTTGACACTGGACACAGCTCCTGGTGAACTCACACACACCAAACTGGAACTAGAAAGCACAAACACAGTCACAAGGAGATCATTTCTTTGTCCTGATTATATGAGTCACGCTGTCAGCCAGCGTTCACACACCTGGAAGTTTGGCTCACAGTTTGCTGACATCTCGATGCCAGAGTCTGGACACTGGCAGCGGCCACACACACACGCCCCTCGACCGCCACACAGATTCTGTGACACATAAAATCACACAATAAGACATGTTTGTCCATGAAACGCTCCCGGAACTTTCCGTTCCAAACAAATCATCTGGTTCTGTTTACCCCTTTGGTGTCCAGACAGGTCTGGTTGCTGGTGGGACACTCGCAGGCGCTACCCTCCCAGCCCTTCTGACACGAACACTGACCCATAATGCATTTGCCACGGTCTGACAAGAACAAACACAGTTTGATGTTTCATACCGACTAATGGAGTCAGAAAGAGGTTGAAAAACATGATTGGTAAACAGCTTCAAGGTGGTTTGAGTTCTTCAGGATAAAACATCAATAGAGAAACTATGTGTTCTTTCTGGCAACAATATTCAAAAGCCTACAGTTTAAACCTGCATTCACTTTCTTCCATGGGGACGCATGAAAGACTTTTGGGACTGGAACCATCTAAACTCAGAAACAATGTCTACATCTTTATCTTAGAAAATGGGTGAGAAACATAAACATGATGACATTTTTAATGCTTAATTAGGGTCTCCACCAGTGACTTGGATCACCATGGTAACCATGGCTTCTCCCAGTCTGTGGTATTAACTAGACAGGCATTCAGTAACAGAGTAAAAGTAGACAAAGCCTCAGACAAGCAGTCATTGTGCGAAAACTATAAAGAGTGTTGGAAATATGACAAGTCAAACACACACTTCGCTTCCAAGTTTGAGCAGAAAACTCTGAAATGAACTTTGACATGAGTTACTGGGGTCTGGTAGCCTTGAACAACCTAGAGCAACCAAAGCAATAGCAAAAAGATTTAGCTCTGCAGGCCCCATTGTAGTCTCAGCAGGTCTACCATTGGCCCAAACAGTTTTGTGTCTGTCCAATCACAGCTCTCTACGTTTGTTGGGCAGGCCTAACACTAAAGCTGCAATGAAGAAAAACGACAAAGGTGGCATTGACTCAGGAACGGCACTCGTTTGAAACAGTTTGGCATTTACTTTGGATGTAAAGATTGATAACACTTTACAGTAAGGGACTTTTTATTACCGTTAGTGCATTATAAAGCGTTAATAAACCAAGGGTCACTTTATTAACATTACGTAGTGCATTATAAAGCATTACTAAACCAAGGGTCACTTTATTAACATTACTTAGTGCATTATAAAGCATTAATAAACCAATGTTTCCCTCTGGGATTAATAAAGTATCTTTGATTTGATTTGATTAACATTACTTAGTGCATTATAAAGCATTAATAAACCAAGGGTCACTTTATTAACATTACGTAGTGCATTATAAAGCATTAATAAACCAAGGTTTCCCTCTGGGATTAATAAAGTATCTTTCATTTTATTTGATTAACATTACTTAGTGGATTACAAAGCATTAATAAACCAAGGGTCACTTTATTAACATTACTTAGTGGATTACAAAGCATTAATAAACCAAGGGTCACTTAACTAACATTACTTAGTGCATTACAAAGCATTAATAAACCAAGGGTCACTTTATTAACATTACTTGGTGCATTATAAAGCATTAATAAACCAAGGTTTCCCTCTGGGATAAAGTATCTTTGATTTGATTTGATTTGATTTACATTACTTAGTGGATTACAAAGCATTAATAAACCAAGGGTCACTTTATTAACATTACTTAGTGCATTATGAAGCATTAATAAACCAAGGTTTCCCTCTGGGATTAATAAAGTATTTTTGATTTGATTTGATTTGATTAACATTACTTAGTGGATTACAAAGCATTAATAAACCAAGGGTCACTTTATTAACATTACTTAGTGCATTATAAAGCATTAATAAACCAAGGGTCACTTTATTAACATTACTTAGTGCATTATAAAGCATTAATAAACCAATGTTTCCCTCTGGGATTAATAAAGTATCTTTGATTTGATTTGATTAACATTACTTAGTGCATTATAAAGCATTAATAAACCAAGGGTCACTTTATTAACATTACTTAGTGCATTATAAAGCATTACTAAACCAAGGGTCACTTTATTAACATTACTTAGTGCATTATAAAGCATTAATAAACCAATGTTTCCCTCTGGGATTAATAAAGTATCTTTGATTTGATTTGATTAACATTACTTAGTGCATTATAAAGCATTAATAAACCAAGGGTCACTTTATTAACATTACGTAGTGCATTATAAAGCATTAATAAACCAAGGTTTCCCTCTGGGATTAATAAAGTATCTTTCATTTTATTTGATTAACATTACTTAGTGGATTACAAAGCATTAATAAACCAAGGGTCACTTTATTAACATTACTTAGTGGATTACAAAGCATTAATAAACCAAGGGTCACTTAACTAACATTACTTAGTGCATTACAAAGCATTAATAAACCAAGGGTCACTTTATTAACATTACTTGGTGCATTATAAAGCATTAATAAACCAAGGTTTCCCTCTGGGATAAAGTATCTTTGATTTGATTTGATTTGATTTACATTACTTAGTGGATTACAAAGCATTAATAAACCAAGGGTCACTTTATTAACATTACTTAGTGCATTATGAAGCATTAATAAACCAAGGTTTCCCTCTGGGATTAATAAAGTATTTTTGATTTGATTTGATTTGATTAACATTACTTAGTGGATTACAAAGCATTAATAAACCAAGGGTCACTTTATTAACATTACTTAGTGCATTATAAAGCATTAATAAACCAAGGTTCACTTTATTAACATTACTTAGTGCATTATAAAGCATTAATAAACCAAGGTTCACTTTATTAACATTACTTAGTGCATTATAAAGCATTAATAAACCAAGGTTCACTTTATTAACATTACTTAGTGCATTACAAAGCATTAATAAACAAAGGGTCCCTTTATTAATGTGGTTAAGCAGTTGTCAATACTTATTTGAATTGTTTATTAATGCTTAATAATGCACTAAGAGACGTTAATAAAGGGACACTTATTTTAAAGTGTTACCTAAAGATTTATTAAACAACAGAAATCTTTGAGGATGTTGTTAGATGCCCTGACAACCCAGTTTTTCTTCTTCTACTGAATGGTTTACGTGGCGATAAAGACGTCATGCCGTTCATTCCTCTGATTGGTTGTAGCTCTATCCAATTGTGAGCAGAGAACGTTTGACAGACAACCGTAGACACTGCCCCTATGAGTGAGGCCTCTAAACAGTTCGTGGCCAGACTAGATATTTAGACTAGATAAATCGGAAGGTTGCAGGTTCGAGCCCCGCTCAGTCTGTCACTGTGTCCTTGGGCAAGACACTTAACCCATGTTGCCTGCTGGTGGTGGTCGGAGGGTCCGGTGGCGCCTGTGCTCGGCAGCCTTGCCTCTGTCAGTGCACCCCAGGGCAGCTGTGGCTACATCGTTGCTCATCCTCACCAGTGTGTGAATGGGTGTGTGAGTGGATGAATGACTGATTGAGTTGTAAAGTGCCTTGGGGTGGGTGGTGGGGTGGGTGGGTGGGGGTTCCAGGACTCTAGAAGGTGCTATATCAAATACAGGCCATTTACCTATAGGATGGCTTTCCAGGCTTGGGGTTTGGTACACTGAGGGCATTTGAGGGAAATCTGTAGGTCCTATTGTAAACTGAGAGAAAGACGACAGAAATGCTGACGCTCTGATGTATGACGTATAAAGAAGTTGTAAAAATGGATTTCTGACATCTCTGTATTACTTTTAAACGTAAATAACCAAAATTCTTCTAACTCAAACTGTAACCATCTAAAATCCATCAAAAACACCAGTTCAGCTCTCTGTGGGTTATTTAAAGGCTGAACGTTTCTACTGTTAAGTCAAAGAGCTCCAACTCCATCACCGGGTTCTAAAGGTCTCATAAATGTCTGTGAGGATGTTTCTTGCAGCTTTAAATTCCTGAATAAGATGAAAGTTTTTATGCATTTTTATTAGGAGTTCATTTAATAATGATAAATGCTGCTGGAGGAGAATACGTTTGGCATCACATCCGAGAAGGAGCCAAAAAATGGGAGGCAACACTTTGGAAGTGTGTAGAGCCCTGAGTAGGTCAAGTACCAGAGGTGCTTTGTCAGAGTTTGTCTTAAACACCACATGACTGTTTTAAATTATTGTAGGAGGCTCTAATGACAGTTGCCATGACTGAATCTGTAGGTTAACACGATGCCTTATCCACAAACTCAACAAGCCCAACATAACCCACCATTGCAGAGGAAGCCTCCATATCTCTGACACTGGTTCTTGTCGAACTGACAGTAGGGTCCTTCGAACTGGTCTGGGTTGTAGCACACACAGGTTCCACATGCCAGACAGTCTCCACGGCCCGAGCAAGGTTCTTTTATGTCAGGAGTGGTGCACTGGTTTTTGTCCAGAGCTGAGGTACTGGCTGAGCAGTTACAGAAATTCCCCAGCCTGAGTGAGATACACAGCATGGAGAAAAACAAGCTGTTCACTGACTGGGACGGTGTTTTTCGTCTTTCCTAAAAGTTAAACAGCAAAGGCTCACCAGCCGCCGTGGCACTGACACCTCCCACACACCAAGTCTCCATTGCCATTGCATCTTTCTGCATTTCTGAGGCGAGTCTGAAGGAGAGTGAGAGGTAAGTCCACCTCAGCGACACGTGAACCAGTTACCTCAAATAAACTTTGTTAGTGCTTCAGTTTAAACCTGCTGGGCTAACCTTTTCACAGTCGCAGGTTGGACACAAAACCGATGCCTCCACATTGACGGCAGAGCTAAAGGTTGTGGGTTTGACTCTGATTGTGCCCCCTTTATCCTCTGGGTTCATTTTACAGACGAGCTCTCCATCGATAGCTTGTTGGGCCTTGAGCCGCATCCTAAACTTCCCCTGGTGAGCACAATCAGACGCACACACACACACACACACACACACACACACACACACACACACACACACACGCACACACGCACGTACGCACACACACACACACACACACCCAAGAAAAATACACGTATTATTTTAATTACACAAAAGATAACAGCTGCATTTCTCCGCATTTTACTTAAATCAATAAAACAAAAAAATGTTCAAGTTACAAATAGACTCATTTAATCAAATCTAACTTTATATCGACTGGTAGAAATCCAAATATAAATGTTGACATTTTAAACTAAAGTTTTTGCAAACATGCATATTCACTTCAGACTGGGGTATCCTACCAAAATAAAAGCAGGGTGAGGAGCTGCCCTAAGTCCCTCTGATGGTGTGAGACTGTTCAGGCATGGATCATCTATCAGTCGTTTTATGTTGTTTTTGATTGTCTGGATGTAAATATTAGCTAGAAGCTGAGATTCAACTCTGAGCCTTTATGTTTAGAACATTTTGTACTCTTAATCTTGACTCGCTACATCAGGTTAAGCCCCAGTAAAATGTGTTTCTGCTACTGTAGTCTAACTGCGTATAAAAATTCCAAGACCTTTAGTAAACTAAATCAATCAGACATTTCTTTTTCTGTTTGTATTGCCTAATTGGATAGCTCTGTTGTGTTTTGGCCCTTACGATCTCTCCAGGCTTGAAGTTGAAGGCTCCATATTCTGCAGTTCTTCCATCGGTAGTAAAGAAGGTAGACTCGAATGCCTTGGGTCTGTTTTCTGCACGGATGCTCATCTTAGAGCGGATGCTCTGAAAACATGTAGATCAGGGGTGTCAAACTCAAATTCACACTGGGCTGAAATGAAAATCTGGGACGGAGTCGTGGGCCAAACAATATTTTTTGAAAAAATTTTCACATTTTCTTTATCAACATATATGCAATTTGAACCTTTTAATTTGGAAACAAACTTACTTCTGCATTAACACTGAATGTGGAATAACCAAATGACACACGAGCAAGTCAGTTTTAAATAAAAGGCATCAGTGGTATTCATTACTTGTGGTATAATCAGCATTTTTAAAATCTATTCAGGATTTATGTTTTCTTGTTTATTCATTTTTCTTATTTTTTATTCTCCTTTTTTTCTCCTGTAATAAGTGTCATCGCTGCTGTGACATCTAGCTTTCCCCACTGAGGAACAATAAAGGGATTTTCTATTCTATTCATCTATCTGCAGCCTTTCCACTTCCTGTTTACTGTAGGTTAAATCTTTTCTCACGGGCCAACAACAACATAAAAATATCATTTTATCTTAAATGAAAATGCAACATCTCACCTGTTAACTTTCATGTTTTGGAGCAGAAAAAGAGCATAAAACCAACATATTTAAAGCTCAGTTTGCTCCACTGGTTTACTGTGATGCTCACCTGTTCCAGCCAGATACCTGCATCATGGGGTTGATCTGAGCTGAGGAGGAGACTCCTGTTGTTTTGTTCATCTTCATCATAATAATGACAACATTAGATGACAACAGGTGCTCACATAGGTTTGTGCTGATGAACATGTCTGAGCAGCTTGACCACGTTGTTGTGTGTTGGGGAGGAAAAATAACAACTACAGCAGCCACAGAGCCGTGCTGGTTTGAGCGTGTCGCTGCTCGCTGGAGTTATATCAGCTCTGTCTGGAAGTTAGTTGGAAAACTTTCTCTTTCAGTCGTGAACACATTACTGAGCGGTTAAAATCTCCGTTTCTGGGCTTCAACGTCAGAAAATAGCTGAGTAAACTCGACGCTGTGAGAGGAGTGCTTAGTTTGTCTGAGACAGCTTCGTACTAACTCCGCAAAGCATCATGGGAGTTGTAGTCTTTGCGGTAAAATCGGCCAGCGGGTCAGTTTTAATATATTTTTTATATTTATCTCGCGGGCCACATAAAAATGCTCCATGGGCCGCATCTGGCCCGCGGGCCTTGTGTCTGCCACATGTGATGTAGAAGATCAGCACACACATGTTTGAACTGATCATCATCCCTGTACCAGCAACTGTAAGTGCTTACCTCAAAGGCGGTCTTCATGACCTGCAGGATGTTGGATGAGTCTTCCTCCAGCAGACCGACCTCAGCGATGGGGAAATAATCTTTCAGTTTCTGCAACAGAGCACAAACCGAGTTCAGCATCCAAAAGCTGTGACAGCTTCCAGGGTTTACCCTGAGTGACCTACGTTGTAGTACGTGTAAGAGTGCTCTGTGACGGCGAAGATGGGGATGATGTTGTGCTTCCCCAGCAGACGGATCAACGTCGGTATTGAAGGGTAATCTTGTTTTGTATCCTCCGTGTACTGGTCTTGTGAGTTCAGGTGGCACTGCTCGTCGTTGCGTGGCAGGATGCCTGAAAGCACGTTCACACCATCCGCTTCGTAGTGGAAGGCTGACTCGGTGGAGAAGACCAGCAGGTGCGTGCTGTATTTACGCCATCCGATCTTATCCTGTAATAAAGACAGGCATGGGGTTATGAGAGGGGACGTGACCACATAGAAGAGGACACCGACAGAACTCCCGATTTCTAAACTGCAATAGGAATTCTTCATGATTTAGATTTAGGGGAGGGGTAAAACCAAGGACGTGTAACAGGTGAGTTAGAGGTATGCACACCTGTCATAACCAAATGCTCGCACGTAACCCTCTGTGTAATTAAACATTGTAACGTTTAATTTAGGGACGAGCCGGACGTACCGGATACTCGTTTCCAGGTTGCAGCTGGTGCAAAACGCTGCAGCCAGATTTTCAGAAGGCAAGAGGAAATAAGACCACACAACCCCAATCCTGGCAGCCTTACACTGGTTGCTCGTTGACATTAGAATTCATTTAAAGATCCTTTTACTGGTTTTTAAAACACTTAATCGACTGATGCCACTTTACCTGGCAACATTATTCGGCCTTACATCCCTGCTTGGAATCTCCGCTCAGAGGGCCTCTAGTTGCTCTCTGTCCCAAGGTCATGCAGGAAGATAGGGCTTTCACAGGAATAGGCCCAAAGCTCTAGAAAATGCTTCCACATTTTATAAGAGCTTCTGCCTCTGAGGCTGAAAACCTACTTTTATGATTCTGCATTTAGCTCTTAGTTTTATTCTATTGTCACTGGTTTTATTGTTCTCTTGTGCTTTTATTCTTTTATTTGTGTTACATGTTTGCGTTATGGTTTTATTGTTTCTGTAAAGCACCTTGGTGGCATACCCTATGTCTATAAGGTGCTATACAAATAAAGTTGTGTTGAGTATCCGGTACGGATAAAGCATTTTTGACGAATATGAGCATGGCACGAGTAAACCTCGTAAATATCTGTGATCGTGCGGAAGAAAAATCCTCATTGGGTAACTGACTGTCTTCACGCTCTGTGATTGGCCAGTCACATAGAGCGCCCGCCCCTCCCTACACACAAAACTCTCTAGCCGGCCGGGAGCTCACAGCTCAGTCCGCGTCCGGTTCATCCACGCACACACAGACAGTAACGGATCTCGCTGTGATTGCTTCACTGTTGCTCACGTTTCTTCAGTTTTCCTTAGGTTTTCTTCAGCTCGCCTCTTTTTCGGTTGAATATTTAAAGTGACTTTTTTCGTAACTTACCTGGTGCATTTGACAAGACAGAGCTGACGTGCTGCATCAGTCACCTCCGCTCCGATCGGGTTTTTTTTTATTTTTTTATTTTTTACTCCCTCTCTCTCCCTCTCACCCTCTCTATCTCTCTCAGACACACACACCTCAATCCACATTGTTTAGTCTAACTTTGTGTGGGAAAATGCCAAGAACGTTAAGAAAAAAATCAGTTTAATCAAATTAAATTACAAAATATATATAAAGTTGTGTCTGGTTCTAGCATTTCATATTTCCTAGTTCCTACTGCATGAGTTAAGATGCATTAATCCATGCACCTAAATATTAATGTTCTGATTTTACTGAAACACTTGTTCTGTAATAGTTCTTTTACTATTGTGATCAAAAATATTTAATCTCAATTCTGAGGCTGCTCTGTAAATAGTTTTCAAATAAACAATACACATAGCAACTTCTGATCAATCCATATCAATTTCAGACTTAAAATAATATATTGATGCAAACCACACCCACTTCCGGTTAAATCACACCCACTTCCGGGTTATGCCACGCCCATTCCGAGTACAGATACAGATACAGATACAGATAGTGGTGTACTCGCTCATCCCTAGTTTAACTATTCCCTCTTACAGGATCAGACATTTGGAACATTTTGTGGCAGAAAGTTATCTTTAGATAATTTGATGCAGAAAAATATTTAAGGCCTGTGCTCCTCATGTGGTTGTTGGGACTCATGGGTTAGCTTAAAGACCAAGTTCACAAATTTTTCCAACCCATCTGCAGTGGTCTCTAGTATAAATGAATGCTTAGTGTGTCGAGCTGTGTGGGAAAAATGCTCCGGCGCTCCTGTTTCAGGAAGTTGAAGTGAGCCAGATCAGAGGTGAGCAGAACACGGCAGGATTTATTCCTATTTCCTGATATTTGGACATCTCGCCTCTGATTGGCTAACAGCAACACAACTGACTCTGCTCTGCAACTTTGATGTTTAATCTCCACAAATAACACAAGCCTGGAGGAGTTGTGCCGAGGTGCTAATGCTAACGGTTAGCTTCTACCAGTAGAGGCGTGCTCTGCAGTTTCCTGGACGCTAATCCAACAACAGCCTTCCCCATCGTGAGCAAAGATGAGTGAATTCACAAGTACTGATTTGACATTATGACGAGCTAATCTCACCGGCTCATCTAATCTGTTTCTGTCGGTGGCTAATGCGGGAAATAGGGGGAGAAGATGAGCGACGGCTTTCTAATGAATCTATTTGACTTGATTCAGATGTTGTCTAAGATATTTTGCAATCAGATATGCAAACACACACACACACAGGGCAAAAGCATCACTTTCCACCTTTTGTTTTGTGGTGATGGAAGACAAATGCTAAGTCGGCAGGGTTGATGGGTAGTTTTACTGACCTCACACACTGCTGCCTGTAAAATGGCATCAAATCCTCCTTCAGGGGCGTCCAGGTTGCCAGAAATCCGCTCTTTCTGAAGCTCACTGATGAAGTGTGTTGAGTCACCCGTCAGTTTGATGACATTTTGGAAAGAGAAGGGGGGGTCACTGTTGGGCCACGGCTGCAGAAGTCTGAGAGAAGATGGTGGATGAAGGAGTGAGGATGAGAACAAGGCACCGACACTTTAAAGCATCTGTTGGCTTCCTTCTTACTTGACGGGTCTCATGTCTGTCTGGGGCTCAATCACTTTGTCCACAAACTTTCCAAACCCAATGGTGTAGTCGTCTGACATGTTCCTTACCAGCGAAGCTGCAAGAAACACATTTAGCAACAGCTCAGCGCAGACGGGTCCCACGACCAACCCCAATCTGCTCACCCAGGTCGTTCCCCATTTTCTTTAAGTTGTCCAGATCATCACTCATTGAGTTGGAGAAGTCCATCAGAATATAAAGATCCAGAGGACCTTTGGTTGGAGCAAACACTTCCACATCCATCAGTTTCTCCTCACCAGGCAGAAACGTCATGCTCACTTGTTGAGGTGACACCTGAGACTGCTGAATCCTCGTGTCGATGGTTTTGTTCTTTGGAACGAGAAGAGATGAGGAGACCAGGATTCCAGACTTTGATAGGAAACAGTTGGGTTGTGTAAATGTGAGCCATTAGAAGATTTTTACCATCTTCATGTTCAAACTGCTTTCAGCCGTGATGACTGATGCTTTACTGCAGCCATGGGCGAGGATTCTGTCCAACTCGTCACAGCGAGGACCATTAAATGTCTGAGAGGAAACACATCTTCAATAAGTTTCACACTTAAACAAATTCATTTGGATTTGGAAAATTTAATAAATAAATAGTCAATTTTAGGCATCGATTTCCTAGACCTCCCTTGGCTCAAAGATCTGAAGCACGTAAAATACCAACCTACTAATCAATACAATGATAAAACGACGATGGAAGGCTTACATCTACACCTTAGTTTCCCTGACTAATCAGGGGGCTTTAGGCCGTAACCCAACCTGGTTCTCTACCTGCTTGACACTCAGCATTAAGGGGTTGGATTGGGGGGTTAAACCACCAAATAGTTCCCGAGCGCGGCTGTGTCTGCAGCTCACCGCTCCCCCAGGGGATGGGTCAAATACGGAGAACAAATTTCGCACACACACCTGTGTGTGTGACAACTAATAGGACTTTAACTTTAACTCCTAGACCTAATGACTAGTTTTCACAGCCTTGTGGCCCTTTTCTACTTGTATCTATGTGCAGCTAGACTCGGGTTGACTCTACTCTACAAGGTTTGGGTGCTTTTGCATTACAGCTCAGAAACAGCTCTGTTGCGTAAGCTTATAAGAGCTGGGTGAACCTCAGGGTCTGAAAGGTGGCATAAGGCCATCTGTAGGTGACCCAAACACAACAATGTAGGAATACAGGCGATGATAAACATTCTGCTCAGTCTGTGGCTTTTGGTCAGACTCTGAAAAGAGGAGACCCAGAAGAGGCTGTGAGCTGTGAGGTGGAACACTCTGGAGCAACCAGTGAGTCTACCCCCAGCCAATGATGACCGACAGTCCCTAACACAGTGCTTCGGCCTGGTTCGGTACGTTTGGCATCACATCCAAGCAGGAGCCAAAAAATGGGAGGCAACACTTTGGAAGTGTGTAGAGCCCTGAGTAGGTTTTAGTGGAAAAGGGCACTGGAGGGTTTCTCCAGCAGGAACAGTCTGTTTAGGGTCAAAGGTCAGACATTCTCCTACAGTCCTCCCTACACCGACTTCAGCTGGTCCAAAATGCAGCGGCCCGCTTGCTGACTGGAACCAGCAAGCGGGATCACATGACCCCGGTTCTGGCCTCTCTCCACTGGCTTCCTGTCTCTTACAGGATCCACTTTAAATTTTTACTTTTTGTTTTTAAATCCCTTCATGGCCTGGCCCCAGTTTACATCTCTGAGCTGCTCTCCGCTCACGTCCCCGCCAGAACCACGAGGTCCAGCCCCCAAGCTCTTTTAACGGTGCCAAAAACCCACCACAAGACTGGCGGCGACAGAGCGTTCTCTGTGGTTGGTCCCAAACTGTGGAACAAGCTACCTCTCAACATCAGGACCACACAGAGTGTAGAGCATTTTAAATCCCTTCTTAAGACGCATTTTTTTAATTCGGCTTTTAATGCAGGCTGACTTGAGCATCTTAATAGTTTTTAACAGTTTTATTACAGATTGTAACTGTTGTGTGCTCATCTTATTTTAGGTTTTTGTTGTTGATCTGTTGTACCTTGTACCGCGCTTCGGGTGTAGCTTTGCTGCAGTAAATTCGCTCTATAAATAAAATTGACCTTGACCTACAGGATGTTCTGCTAGAGGGCAGAATTCATGGTTCCATCAGTTACAGCAGGTAGTGCAGGCCCTGAAGCAACCTCAGACCATCACACTTCCACCACCACCTTCCAAACACGATAATATTCTGGTGTTGAGATTTTGGTAAATGTGAGACGGGTGCTTGCTTTTGGTTTTGGTCACCTTTTCGCATCAGAACTCTCCCGTAATCTTCTTAAATCATGACCTTTGACCTTAATCTGAACCAAATGAGACCTACTGCGCTTTAGATGCTGTTCTGGGTTCATTTGTTCTTGAATATCTTTAGATTGAGTTACCATGTGTTGCTTTTGAGGTCTTTTAGTCAACTTTATGTCATCAACGGGGGACATTAAAGTGAGTTCTTAATTTTTGAGGTGTAGTAGTGATCGGGTCTGAGTGAGACTGATGAAACCACAGCAGCTTTAGGAATAATCACAGCTAATTCATGACTTAACAAGAATTTCATTTCCACTCAGAACCAGGTTGGTTTGAAAGGTTTTGTTCCCTTTAAGAATGACAGCATCTTCTATTAATCCAGATTATCTTTGTCTGATTTAGAAAAGTTTGATCCTAATCTGAAAAATGTAGGTGATGAAAAACCAGATAAATAAATTTTAATACATTTTACCAGAACTGTGTGTGACAATGTGAGAGAACGGACTCATCTGAAGCCAGACCCTGTTACTGGTGTGCAGTTTGTTTGTCTCACCTCTTCAGCGCAGTAGGCGCAGCCCACTCCTGCCTGCAGACAGTCTGAGCAGGATTTGGCCCGGGACGCGAAGCAGTAGTTGACTGTTGAGGCCCAGCGATGGGTGATGGTGAGGCAAGAACATCAGGAATAGTTAAAGTCAATAAAATGAGAAGCATACCTAAAATATGCATGTGACAACAAACACAAGTGTGTGTGTCTAGAAAGGAAACAACAGCTTCTCAACAGCCATGTTGCAACACGACAAAAGCATCCATGTTTATGGATATCATCATAAACCGTGCAGCATTCAGTGTCAGGACTGGTGGGTTTGCTGTTCAAAATATGTATTTATTAATGAATAATGAAATGTGTGGAATCAGAAAATTATTAGGGAAAATGCACAACTTTATGTTTGTTTGTGTTCAGAATCGGATTGTTTTTATTTGTGTGTAGAAAAGGTTCCGTCGTCACCTTCAGCGTAACAGCAGGTCAGCAGGACGGCTAGAAGCCCCAGTGAGGGATGCAGCTTCCATCTCTCCATCTCCTTACTGCCACACAGTCAGAAAAAACACATTTAAATGAAACACAGACTTCCTGTTCCAGACCACAGCTTGCTCTCCGCTGGGATTCAACCCAGAGGAACTCACAGCAGCTCCAGATTCAGAAGTCTTCGACACTTGAGCGCAAAAAAAAACATTCATCTATCGCGTCACAAACGAGTTCATTCAGGTAAATGGCCTGTAGTTGATATAGCGCCTTCTAGAGTCCTGGAACCCCCCAAGGCGCTTTACAACACAATCAGTCATTCACCCATTCACACACTGATGGGGATGAGCTACGATGTAGCCACAGCTGCCCTGGGGAGCACTGACAGAGGCGAGGCTGCCGAGGACTGGCGCCACCGGTCCCTCCGACCACCACCAGCAGGCAGGGTGGGTTAAGTGTCTTGCCCAAGGACACAACGACAGCGACAGACTGAGTGGGGCTCGAACCTGCAACCTTCCGATTACGGGGCGGGCTCTTAACTCCTGTGCCACCGTCGCCCCATCCGGTATGGTACTGGTAGGAAGTAATCTACACTCTGATCAAACGTCTAGGTTTTGGTGTATAAACTGTGTGAAGAGCGTAAAACGACCCAAGAGCAAGGAAGATGTCAGAGTTGAGGCAAGTGGCTCATCGGGGTCACCATGGCAACCAAAGATGAGTCATTGATGACACCGGGGTAATCACTGGTGGTTTGTTAGTGCTGCAGTCGTAACCAGTAACGGTTTAAGGTCACTGTGGCAACCAGAAGTGCCACCATAGTGACCGCCAGTGTTTCTTTAAGGTTACCATGGTAACCAGACACCTGTGTAAGTCACTCCATGACAGCAAAAGGCTGCTGAGTGAAAACCAGAAATAATGTTGCAGACATTGTTGAACTGTGAGCAGCGGACGCCTCTGATGGCCGAACGCGGGCGCTTGACGGTTTCTCCTGTTTTTCTCTTTATTTTAAGAGAAATGTTACGTTTGAAGAGTTTTTAACATAACAAAATGAAGGTTTAAGGGGGCTTGAGTGGTCACTCGCTGTATCCAGAGAGGATTTGTCACAACCATCAGAGGGTTAAAAGAAGTTACTGACCTCACTGACAATGTGACGGTACAAAAACCCTTTTCATGTAAAGTCCAACTTCCTGTGAGACGAGTAAAATCTGAACGGTGCCTCTGCTTAGGGCTAAAATCACCCCGACCCTAACTCCTGACCTGATGTGTGATGTGCACGTCGACGCCAAAGCTGCTGGGCATGACAAAATCCTGGCAGAATGACAACCGAGACAGTTATGAGGACCCCAGGATGCATTTGGCTTCCTGCAGCACAAACATCAAGTAAAATCTCACGTATCTGGTTCTGCACAACACGCTTCTGCTAATCTGGTCGGAATGAACTTTTGGACCACTTCCCAGTAAGCGGGTTCTGATTTCGTGTCTCGCTCACCACACCTGGCTGTCTTAATGCGCTGTTCTGTTTGTGGAGCTCGTGTAATTTCAGCTCCAGTGGAGACGAGACAACGGGGGACAGGGTGGTACCTGGACACGCTCCAGTCAGCATGGGGTGAGCACAATAAAAGCACCTCATCATTTCATGCTGGAATGTTTGCTAGAAGAAAAACAGTCAACAAAGGCTGATGTGTGACATGAAACATCCCTGCAGCGGTCTCAGGGGACAGACGGAAACACACAAACACATCTTGTCCTACAGATGGACAACTCAGAGGAGGAATTTCTCCCACAGGCATGAGAATGACCCGTCCAAGATAAAAACACATGGGAATGGTTCTTTGGCACCTCGGTGAGAGCTGGAGCTGCCTACACGCGTGCGTGCGTGCGTGCGTGCGTGTGTGTGTGTGTGTGTGTGTGTGTGTGTGTGTGGGATCTGGGTAAAAGATTTCACATAAATCACCAACCAGCGCGGGTTCGGCCACCGACCAGAACGGACCAACTATTCTCCACGTTTTGTTTCCCTCCCACCCAGAAACGCGAGTTCAGAGCTGAGCGCTCCCCCGGCTACACCTGCCAGGTGAACACACCACCCCTCATGACATCATACAAATGAGAGGGTCTTGTTTTGGAGCAGAGGGTCAAACTCTGACAGTGACAGCCACAACAGAAAAACGCCCGTTAAATCCCAGTTCCTCCTTCAAAACAAACCAAACCAGCTGGTTTGTAGTCAGGTGTCTCCCCCTCATTAGAAAATGAGTTACCGTTACCTGTTTGGACGGCAGAAAATCAGCAGAACAGGCTAAATGACCTGAAAACAAAAAACTGTAGGAAAATTTGACAAACAAAAGCCTACATCTCTGTAAAGCTTCCAGTCCTAAAACCAGGCAGAGCAACCACCAGTGAGCCAGCTGCTGGCTTCACCACGCTCCGGAGAAAAGGCTGAAGTGAAGCTGCTGAAAACAAAAGGAGGTTATGGCTGATTACTGAGATTACTGATCAAACAAACCTCTCAGAGCACTCCCGCCCAGCCCCGGTCCAAGAGTCCAACAATCAGCAAGAAAGAAAACTTATTTCCTCTTCTGCTTCACTTGAGTTCAAACACAGAGAAAATCTGCTGTCCCGTTTAAAGTCCCCTCCAGAAGATTCAGAAAGGGTAAAAAGATGTTCAGGATTTCCTTCTCTGTCTTTGTCTCCTGCTTCTGTCTGACCTGTTTACCCCTCACAGTCAGTGAAGTGTGTGTGTAAGTGTGTGTGTGAGTCCTGAGTACAGAGAAATGAAACACAGTGAGATTGAGTGAATATGACTGAGAGAGCTGCGACTTAATCCCTCCTCTAGCTCGCTCACTCACACACACACACACACACACACACACACACACACACACACACACACACACACACACACACACACACACACACACACACACACACACACACACACACACACACACACACACACACACACACACACACACACACACACACACACACACACACACACTTGTCCAGGTGAGTTCCTGACGGAGAGGGTGCACTCCCACCCCTTCCCCACCCTGTTGGGAGTTACACCTCCATGTGTCGGCCCCCTCCCTGCTGCATTCCACCCCATCAGGGGCTCACCTGTGTGGGCTTGAGATTCTGGAGCGCGGCCCCTCCCTTGGCAGCCTCCTCCCAGTCTCCTGGGAGTGGCGCCTATACAAGAACTCTGCCTGCAGGCTGTGAGAAACAGCTTTGTGACTGGTGTTTACTCAACCATGTTCTCATGCTAGCGGGTACATTTTCTACTTGGCAAATATTTCATACGAGCATTATCGTGGCCACAATCTTTGTTTTCCCTTTGCAGCGTGCAGAAAGACCTCCTGGTTTGGTAAAGGAGATTGTCAGTAGAAGAAGAAGAAAGAAAATATCATTTCTATAGCGCCCCTCAAGATAAAAACTATGAGGCGCTTCACAAAAACAAAAAATTTAAAAATATAAAAAAGAATTTAGAAAATGTTTAAAATATATTTAAAATGAGCAAAAATAGACAATTGTGATTAAAAAAATGTTAAGAAAGAGAGAGAGTGAACAGGAAAGAGGGAAATCAGTGGATCCTGAGGAAGGTAGAATAGGTGGGGGGAGCAGAATAAAGAGAGAGGGGTGAAGAAGGTCATACAAAAGCCAGCTTGAACAAGTGAGTCTTCAGCTGCTTCTTAAAGGAGACCACTGAGTCCACTGATCTCAGGCTCAGGGGGAGAGAGGTCCAGAGTCTGGGGGCCACAGCAGCAGATGATCTGTCACCTTTGGTCTTCAGCCTGGTGCTGCACAACCAGTAGGCTTTTATCACTGGACCTCAGGGACCTGCTGGGGGTGTAGGGACTAAGAAGATCACCAATGTAAGATGGTGCTTGTCCATGTAAGGCCCTATAGACCAGAACCAGGATCTTGAAACGAACCCTGAAGTTGACTGGCAGCCAGTGAAGCTGGAGGAGAAGTGGGGTGATGTGGGTGTGTTTGGAGGACTTGGTCAGAAGCCGAGCACAGGCATTCTGAATCACCTGTAGACGGTTCAGGGAGGTTCTGCTCAGACACGTGAAAAGAGAGTTACAGTAGTCTAAGAGTGAGGAGATGAAGGTGTGGAGAACTGTCTCATGTTCAGAGCAGGACAGAATGGGACTCAGCTTAGCAACGTTCCTGAGATGGAAGAAGGAAGAGCGAACAAGAGAACTGACATGAGAATCCAGGGTGAGAGCTGGGTCAAAGGTCACGCCAAGATTCCTGACGGAAGGTTTGGTGTGAGAAGCAAGCTGACCAAGAGAGTCTCTGACTTTGGGAACCAGCTTGTCTGGGGCACAGATGAGGATCTCAGTCTAATCTTCATTCAGCTGTAGAAAGCTCCCACCATCCAGGTTTTGATAAGGGTAAAGGAGGGTACGAGCTTTCCTGTACCAGCAGGCCCACATGGCACAGTGACACTGGATCCTATGTTTAATTGTGCTGCAGCAGCAGCTCACCAGGGGCTCACACAGGCTGAACGTAGTTTCCAGCTCTGGTGGGAGGAAAGTTTACCACAACAACCCAGAACAGCTTCAGTAGTAGGTCCCAAGCTCTAACATGACACACACTGAGAACAAAGTGCAACAAGAGCTATGCCTAGAAGAACTTTTGAGATCAACTGAATTGATAACACTTTTTTTTGTCTGTTAGTAAAATGACTCATGAACCACTGGACTGCTTTTAACTCAACTAAAAATTTTACATCTACAACTGATGACATTTCAGATTTATTCCAATTCAAGTCAGCCACCACAGCTAACTGACTTTAGTAAACATGGTGACAGGTTTTATGTTTCATGTGTTTGTACCATGGACAAATAATAATCCTGCACATAGCATCACCCATTGCTCTCACAAAGTCTAATTACCAGCTCAGTGGCCTAGTGGTAGAGTGTCCGCCCAGAGACTGGGAGATCAGGGTTCGATTCCTGGTCGGGTCATACCAGCAACTTAGAAAAAATGGGACCCAATGCCTCGCTGCTTGACACTCAGCATTAAGGGGTTGGATTGGGGGGTTAAACCACCAAATGGTTCCCGAGTGCGGCTGTGTCTGCGGCTCACTGCTCCCCCAGGGGATGGGTCAAATGCGGAGAACAAATTTCGCACACACATCAGTGTTTGTGACAACTAGTGGGACTTTAACTTTAATTGAAGCCAAATGGGTGGCTCCCATCACCGCCATCTTGGCTGTGCTACATGTCTCGTCACGCCCAGACAATCCAAAAATGGGAAAAAAGGTGGAGCTGAGAGTAGGGCTGTGAGAGTGGGAGCAAATAATTCACACCCAAAAACACTGAACCAAAGTAGCTAGGAGCTAACTGTGCTAAACCCCAAAGCTAAAAGAGCTAGGAGCTAATAATAACTGTTAAAATATAACCACAGCCTCAGTCTGCTGTAATCTGAGACAAGGCGAATTCAGTCAGCAAATTAAAGTACAGAAACATAATTTTACGTACTGATAATGATGCAGAGACTTCTTGGATGATCTCTTGCACTCAACACCACAGCTTGCAATCTTTGTCCAAATAAATCATGATTAACATCCAAACACAGAGGTCACAGCTGAAGTTCAGAGAGTCAAAATGGCCAAACGTCCATTAACGTTGAGTCCGAGGCTGAGGTATTCCCCGGAGCTAGCCACTAGCGCTAGCTCTGATGTAGCTCTGACGCACATGCTACCTGTCAATCAAATGTAATTATTCATATTTTCAAGCATTTAATTACACCTGTATGGAAGAGTTACAAAAACATTTATCCCCCTTCAAAGTTGTCATGACTGTAAACTAGAACTTAAAATGTTTTTTGAACCAGGCTGTAAACACGTTTATGTGAAGTTGGCACCAGGGGGTCAGTGAGGATCTGCTCACTTCTGGTGCCAGTCCCTAGCAGATGAGAGTGGAACTGCCGTTTTTGTCAATTCCGTGTTGAATTCACAGTTTTCAATTAAATTACTGCCCCTCGGTTTGTACCAAGGGGCAAACTCGGCCTGCCAAAAGTAAAGCCAACACGAAAGTCACAAAAATTGCAGTTCCCTTGTCATCCACTAGGGGCTGGCACCAGAAAACAGAACATTCCCATAGGGAGTCTAAGGGTGTTTCTCAATGTCAAGACGCCTGGCCTCACAAGGTGATGTCTTGCTAGGGCAGGCGCCTTGCTTACGAGGACACTGTCCATCCTTGGTCAAAGAAAACGGTTAAATGGAACAGACTTGCACAGCATCACGTGACACAGGAAATAACGTTTTATTTTATATGTATGAGTTTCAATATGTTTTTGTTTTTATGTTTTTATTTATTTAGCAGACACTTTTATCCAAAGCGACTTAAAATTTATATATATATACAATATAAACCTTTTAATTTTAAATTGTGTATATAAATATTTAAGCGAGTTACTACTTGCCACCGAATGTGCAATTACCTAGCAACTAACCATAGCCAACTTCTTTGGATATAAAAAAAAACGTTTCGGATATCAACCTGATAGCTACAATTAGTTGACTTACATTTAAACTTGAAATTTGCCCCCGAAGTAGCTGCCGGCTTCTGATCCTCCATCCTTTTAAAAATACCGCGCTGTATTCTGGGAAATTTTTTTTACCAAGGCTAGACTACAAGACCTCCCGTGTATCCTTGGTCAGCTAGCTAAACGGCTAGCAAATGAACAGATGCCTTGGTAGAACAAGAACATTGGAACACGTCTTGGCAGTTCCTGATGCCGTATCTCCTAGGCAATCGGGGCGGGGCCAAGACATCAAGGCAAGGTTCCTTAAGTCACACCCATCAATGGACCTTGGATCCTTGGAAACAAGACAAAATGAATGCAAGTCAATGGAGCTATAAAGG